AAAGGAAAAGAATAAAGGCCATCAAGTACTTGTATTTTTTCTTTATTTACTTTTTCTTTCGGTCGTCCGAGATGATTAATTGATGCTACCCGGATCTAAGTACATGGATACAACATGATGGGAGAGGCTAAGACAAGCTATGCATTTCTGGGTCTGGGTGACCGACTGATGGTGATGTATTAATATCCCTCTGACGTCTCCCTCACATGCTTGCCCTCGGCCGTTCTTTTTTCTCTTATTATTTGCTGCGTGGACTATTACTTTTTGTGCTCCTATCCACTGCACATCGTCGTCATAAGCTGTCATAATCAATACATCTCGACGACCGCTTTTATATGGTCTGATATCAGTTGTTACTACCACCGGCAGCTACCTCCACAACCACTCTGTCTACGAGGTATCGGTATTTGTGTCCATCTACCTACTCCCGACCGCCAAAATGAACGCCTGCCCATGTGCAAACTATTACAATGTATGCTTTCGCTATCGTCGCTTGAATCTTGGTGACGGATATTAACGGCTCTGACTTACATAGAGACCCAACCCGAACCGTTGCACAAATTACGTATCCAAGTTCGGCGAGCGGTGTAAGCTCTGCGTCGTGAGTCATATCCCCATTCCTCTCGGAATTTGTCAAATGTGCAATTTCTAATCAGCTCTCACAAATTCTCAGACAGTCAAGGACGGCCAGTCAATGACGCGAGGCTTGCTGCCCGAGGATGAGCTGTGGATGACTGCCACACCGGGGTACAATGACCAAGCTTATGGCAGTGGCGGCCAGGGATCCAAGAGTGGCAATAAGAAATCTGGGAGCAGCAGTGGCGGGTACATATCCTCGTGGTTGAGGAAGTGACTGAGGAAGATGAAGTGACTTTTGGCTTTTGTCGGAATATTGGTGCTGGACACCATGGCGCATGGGAAAGCCTTACTATAGGCTGGAGTTCACGGGGAAGGGATACTGGAGTCTTGGAGTTGTACTTGGTTTCGTGATGGGATGGGAAAAGGTACAGACTGAACTTTGGGATTTGGCAACTTTAGTGGAAGGGGCATTCAACTGGAACGATACCAAATATACTATAGACGGGGTAGGAACAATCAACACAGGACTTTATCATATACAATAACGGTTCATCAAGCATCAAAGCTATGCTCCCTCTTTACAATCCAAAAGTGATACCCCCATGCGCCGCCCCGTACCTAACTCAAAAAAAAAATGATCATATCTCATACTCAAAAGAAATGGTGGGCTTTTTTTTTTTTCCATCACACGCGTGAAGTTGGACCCCCCGGCCCTACCCAGTCTCAGTTCCCGCCAGCACGCCTAGACAATCAGTACAACCTCCTCTGATACCACCCCCTTTCTTCACCTTGCGCCAGTCTCATCAGCTCCTCCTTGATCCTCTTCCGTCTCTCCGCTCTGCTGATTGGTTTCTGTGGCCCTTCCTCCCCGTCTTCCCCTTCTTGCTCACCATCGTCTCCTTCTGTCTTCTTCTCAGCCTTCTTACCAGTCCTCATCCACCCAAGCAGCCCCCCCTCCTTCTTTTCCTTCTCCTCCACCTGCTTCTTCTCAGCCAGCACCTCCTCCTCAGTGGGAACAGTAGGAACAACAGAGATCACCACCTCCCTCTCCCGTTCCAGCTCCTTTTCCTTCTCCTCCTCCAACAAGATTTCTTTCAGTGGTCTCGGCGGGCGGGAGATATTCTCATCCTCGATGATCACTATCGTCCCATCCTCGAGCTCAGTGGTCGATTGCTTGAACCGATCAGGGAGGAAGATTTTGGGGGAGGGTTTAGGGCGGTTGATGCTCGCTCTAATTTCGCGGAGGGTGCGTTGTTGGATTGTGTACCCTGACAGGAAGAGAGCTAAAGTGAAGAAGAATACTATTTTGCGGAGGGGGTGGGTGGGTGGAATGTTAGTGACATGGAACATGGGACACGGGAAGGACGGGTAGGTGCATACCGACGCCGGAGGAGACGGCTATGGAGACTTGGCTGGAGGTGAGGAGCATTGTTTTTTTTTTTTTTTTTTTTGTGTGTGTGTGTGTGGGTATGTGTGTGTATGTGTGTGTGTCGTCTGTCCCTCGTTGCTCGTGTGTGCGTGTGTGCTTGTGGTTCCCGAGAGGGTGAGGTATATATATATATATATTTATATGTATGTATGTATCAATAGAGGATGTTGTTGCTACAACAGCTCAACAGAGAAGTCATCCATGGTTTGTTGAAGAGAGAGTGGTCACACTTGGATTTTGTACCCATCCACGCCAACCTTGGCTTGCCCCTCCAACCAAAGAGCGAGGCGGCGGCGTGCCTTGGAACACCCCCGGTCTCAACACCATGAACCGCGGTTGGACGGGCAACAATCGGTTATCAGCTGTGTCTTGATCAACGCCGCCGCGCCGCGCGCGCCAAGCAAAAGCTGGGGGAAGCTCTTCTTCTTGGCACCCTCTTTCCCCAAAGCCCCACATAAATTTCAATGTGGGGCACCATCTTTCGCGGCGCGCTCTGCGTCCTTCTCCAACAAATGTTCGCGATTCAAAACATCCCAATCCCCTCAAGCCGACCACACACAATCACAATGACCGACCGCAAACCCAAAACGTCTGAATTCCACCGCGCCGACGAACGCCGCTTTCTCGACGAGCGCGGCTCCTCGGGTCCCCTAGCCCCCAACGGCCTCAACCCAGCCACCATCCTCGAAAAAGCCGTCCGCGAGCGCATAGTCGATTCCTACTTTTACAAAGAGCAATGTTACGCCATCAACGAAGCGGACATTGTTGACAGGGTAGTCGAGCACGTCGACCACATCGGCGGTGTAACCGGGACGGTCCAAAAGCCCACGCCGTTCCTCTGCCTTGCCTTTAAACTCCTGCAGCTTGCACCAAACGATGATATCTTGAACGAGTATCTCAATTTCGGGGGTGAGAAGTTCAAGTATCTGAGGGCGTTGGCGGTGTTTTATATTAGGTTGACGAGGCAGGACAAGGATGTTTATACGAGGCTGGAGCCGTTCTTGGAGGACAGGAGGAAGTTGAGGAGGAAGGGGAGGAACGGGGTTAGTTTGACGTACATGGATGAGTTTGTGGATGATTTGCTGGTCAAGGACAGGGTGTGTGCGACGAGTTTGTGGAAGATGAGGAGGAGGGATGTGTTGGAGGATTTGGAGCTGTTGGAGCCGAGGGTTAGTCCGTTGGGGAGTTTGGAGGATTTGCTTGAGGAGGAGGATGAGGAGATGAAGGATGGGGGAGAGGATAAAAATGGGAGGGGTGGGAGTGGGGGTGAGAGGTCGAGGTCGAGGTCATATTCGAGTTCGAGATCAGCGGACAGGCGGGATTCAAGGTCGAGATCAAGGGACAGGCGGGATTCAAGGTCGAGGTCATATTCGAGGTCTAGGTCGAGAACGAGATCGAGATCGAGATCAAGGTCAAGGTCAAGGTCAAGGTCAAGGTCAAGGTCTAGGTCTGGGAGGTATAGGTCACGGTCCAGGTCGGGATCGAGGCACAGGTCGCCATCACGCTCGAGGTCGAGGGGAGAGCGGTCAGATCACGACAGGATGGATATTGACAGGTCTGACAAGGACCGTGAGGAGGGCGAGGCAAGTCCTTGAACTCTGGAATCAAGGCAGGGGTGGAAAGGTATCAGGGTGGGTATCTTGAGGGTCTAAAGGACCGATCTGCATCTAGGCACAAACAACATGCATACATGTACAATAATACCTTAAATCACATATTCGTACAAAGTGCCTTATGTTCTGACCTCCTTGGCCACAGCATCCGCAACATCCAGCAGCCTTGCATCGTCCCAGTACTGCCCGATCAACTGCAGTCCTGCTGCTCCTTCGGTCGCCACCTTCATCGGCACGCTAATCGCTGGCAGGCCCGCCAAGCTGGCCGGCACAGTAAACACATCATTCATATACGCATCCACCGGCTGCTGCTCCATCACCCCCTTCAGCTTAGGAGCCAATGTCGGCGCTGTAGGACACAGCAGAAAGTCCACCTCCTCCGGTCCCCATTTGTCCTCCATCTCCACCTCCTCAGGCAGATCACTCAGCTCGAACGTCTCCCTCTCTTGCAGCGGGTTCTCCAGCGCAAACACCCTGTTGAAATCCCTCCTCACCAGTCTCCGCACTCGTTGCGCCTTTATAAAGTAGTTGTCCATCGCCTCTGAACTGAGGGTATATGAGCCCAGCAAGATCCGCCTCTTGACCTCCTCACCGAAACCCTTTCCTCTTGTCGAGGCGTAGAGAACACCTCCGGCTGATGCATCACTTGCTCCCTCAGCGTCCCTCGCTCCATAGCGTACCCCGTCGTATTTTGCCAGGTTGGAAGACGCCTCGGCCGGAGCAATGACGTAGTACGCCGCGAGGGCATGTTTAGTTGTCGGCAGCGACACTGGTACGATCCTAGCACCGGCATCTTGTAACCTCTTCGCAGCAGCAGCCCAGGCATCCCGGATCTCGGGGTCGAGCTCGGCGATGTTGTACTCGAGTGGGATACCAAATTTCAGCCCTTCCAACTCTGTAGTTTGACCTTGTCGGCTGCGATACCCCCTTCGCTGAGCAGCGCATCTTTTCCTGGCCGCCGTAGTCAAACTCGTCGGATCATTGCTGTCGTGTTCCTTCCACAGCCCTCGCTCTCCAATAATCAACTCCTTTAGTGGGTTGATCTGCTTGCTGAGAAAGCCCACTGTGTCTAGGCTGTTGGCGTAAGGAATGACTCCATAGCGTGAGATCATTCCGTAGGAGGGTTTATACCCGATGATACCGGTGTATGCCGCTGGTAGTCTTACCGATCCACCCGTGTCTGTCCCGAGAGCAAGTTCTACCTCCCCGTTGGCTACTGCTACGGCGCTGCCTCCTGAGCTGCCACCTGCTGATGTTTCTGGGGGGGTGTCTTGAGATACTGGACCATAGTGGGAGTATATCGAGTGGCTTCCCATGCCGAACTCATCGAGGTTAGTCTTGCCCGTAATCACTGCGCCGCGGGCGCGGAGCTGGGTAATGATTGTGGCTTCGATGGGGGAGACGTAAGATTTGGAGAGGATGCCGGAGGCGCATGTTGTTGGGAGGCCTGGGATTGTGGTGGCTATGTTGTCTTTTACGGCGAGAGTGAATTGTTTTGGACTGGGAGAAGAAGACGGAGCCGGTGGGGGTGGTGGTGGTATTGGCTCGGGGGGGTGTGTAATGAAGTGGTTGAGAAGACGGCGTTGTGAGGTGAGGCTCACAACGCGCAGCCGGGCACCCCGGAGACCCGACCGGGATAGCATTGGGCTAGCTTTGAATATTACAGCCAACGATTTGTCGACTCCAACTGGCTCAAACGGGGGCGTGGTCCGGCATCATTGAAGCTTGTCGTGATCGGGTTGATGCGTTGGTGGTGTTGAAGATTGATAAGATTCATGAGCTCCGATAAGGGTTAGGGTGTGGCCCAAGCTCCTCAACCTTGGCCATCAAGGTTGCATTTCCACCGGGCATGACGTCGTCACCGAAACCCGATCTTGAGAATGGAGAGCCCGCGGGGGGACGGATGAATAATCCATCTGACAGGAAACGGCCAGGAGCTTTCAGTTCAGCCGCTTGATAGATCACAAGCCACCAGGCGGTCCCCATGTGAAATTTGAGTTTGTGCCATTCCAAATCGTTTTGAGTGCTGAGGTCATCCCAGCTGCCGAGGTCAATTTCCAAATTCAGGGGACCTTTTGCACCCTTGATCGCATTAACCTCACTCCTGCGATTGCGGCATCCCCGTCGCAGTTGTACGCATCGAGACTCTATTGGTAAAATATCCGCTTCAAAATTCGAGAAAGCTGTTCTTTGTCGTTCCATGCGCGTGATTTGCAACCGCCAGGCACTCCGTTTGTAGTGAGGCGCAGCTTTGTTCACACCACCTCCCAATTACTAAGTGCCATGCCAAGAATCGTCCCATCACCATTGCGCTTTCTCAAATACGGCCTTGTAAGTGACGATGTCATACCATATAAGAGTGGAAACACATCATCTGTTCTCTTGGGCTCATTAATTGACTTCTCGTTTTCACAGCCAAAACAACATTACCATCACCAGCAACCACTTAGAGCTTTATTCAGACCAACCCACCAATACCAATCTCTCAGACATCAGTCTCAAGGCCCGCGCCAGTCTCGCGGCGGTTACAACTACAACTACGACCACAACTCTTACCGTCAATACAGGCCTCCAAATCGCTGGTCTATCAAAAGACACATCGGCAAAGGCTACTTGGAAGCTCTCATCCTCATCTTCTTCCTCTACAAGTACAAGTACCCCAAAGCAATCATGTCCTCCTCCCTCATCCCCGACAACCCCGACGAGGTAATGGTCATCCGCGACCTCACGCCCAACGTCGCCATCTTTTCTGTACCCTTCTCCCGTTTCGGTAAAATCCCCATCGGCGGCCGCGGCACCGCTGTCCGCCTCACCTCTGGCTCCATCGCAGTCTTCTCCCCCGTCGCGCTGACGGAAGCCACCAAAGCCAAGATCGCTTCCTGGGGAGGTCAAGTCAAGTACCTGGTCGCGACGGACATTGAACACCACATCTTCCTCTCGGAATGGAAAAAAGCCTACCCCGCGGCGAAATTAATCGGCCCAGAAGGTCTCCCCGAAAAGCGCCTCAAGGTGAAGAACGACCCTAAAATCGGCCACGAACCGTTTGATGTTGTCATTGGCAAAAACACACCCAGGCCGTACTCGGTAGATGCCGAGTTCGACAAAGACTTCGAGGTGGAGTATATCGCCTCCCACCCCAACAAGGAAGTGGTGTTTTTGTATAAACCGGACAAGGTGCTCATCGAGGCGGATTTGTTGTTTAATTTGCCTGCGACGGAGCAGTACTCCAAGGTACCGGAGGAGAAGAAGCCGAAGCCGGGGTTGTTGGGGGGATGGTTTATGGGGATGAACAGTACGGAGGGAGAGGCGAAGGGGATGAAGAGATTTTTGTGGTGGGTTGTGAGCAGGGCGGATAGGGAGGGGTTCAATGAGATTGTGGGGAGGATGTATAGGGATTGGGATTTTGAGGTGATTGTGCCCTGTCATGGGGAGGTTATTGAAAAGGGGGCGAAGGAGGTCTGGGGGAGGGTGTTTGAGTGGCATTTGGAGGGGAAGAAGTGAGTGCTTTTCTGGCTGTCTTTTGGTAAATAGTGGTTGTTAATATGGAGGGGTTTCTCTTTGCAGGGGGTCACATTTGTAAGATAGGTGGCTAATGGCCGTGATTAGGAAGAGTCTTTTGTGTTTTTGATGAAATAATGGGCGAGTGATTGTTTGTTAACACACCTGGAATTGGGCATTTAATGGGAATGCTATGTGGTTGCGAAACCTCGACATTGGGCAAGTGTGACAATCCGTCTTTGAGGATATGTTGGCTAGTGAGTTGATCGTCTGAGACATTGATGCAGGTACCGTCATCTCGCCACTCGGGTGTTGTACCCGGACTGGTGACACATATCAGATCTCAAAAATACAGTGGCAACTAAAGCATCATTGACAGGCTTGGGCTTACCAGGCTACGAAAAAGGGTTGGCTAGTGTTAGGCTTGGTTCTCACGGTTCTGTCCTTGTTGTGGACTTTCTGGATCACTGTTGCAGTTTTGGTGACAACCTGGCCCATCTGCGGTCTCGCAGTTACTACAGTTTTTGCTGTTGGGCCTAGGGTGGTCCTTATCCATATTGCCGTCGTCCTGGCGATGGCCAGCCCTGCCCCTGAACAGGGCACCCGCTTCTCCGGTTGTCCTGCCGGTCCTGCAGCCAGGACCGGTGTTGATATTGCTACTGCCACCCTTGCTGCCGTCGCCGCGGCAACTCGCCGTTCCTGCGTTACGCAACCCAATTCTAGCTCCGTAGTCTCCATCACATCTAGTCAACCCGGAACTTCTAGTCAACCCGGCATTTCTAGTCAACCCCAACACCTGTAGTTAACCTTGCACTTGTAATTGTATGACCCTAGCTATTCGGAGTCTTCTAAAGAGAACAACACAACAGAACATCTACAGTTATTATACATATCGACCGCCTTGGACTGCAGACTCGCTTGCCATGTCTTCTAATAAAACCAGACGGAACTAGAAGTAAAGTAGAGTTACTCACTGCTGCTTTCCTTGAAGCTCGGGGCATATCTCATATCAAACGCTACTAGCTTATGATATGGTTGAAGGAAGTTGAACACACATCCTCTTGGAACCATGGAACTAAGATACAAGGTCTTTCCGTTAAGTCTTGGTTAATTCTGTCCTTGTTAGAGTACTTAACTATGAAGTCTTTAAATCGGATCCACGCCCTCTCTCAACATCCCTGATCTAAGGTAGACGAGAAGTTAGAGCAAATAAGGCCCTTGTTAGTATTCATTTACACAGCTCTAGCTCCGCTCTACAGATTCTTCCCGATTCATTAGCATTATAGTTATTCTATTAACTAGCATCGTGTATTTACTTTCCATCAGCTCATCAATAAATGTCTTTATATTCTACAGACAAGAATAAAGCTCAGCAGTGCTCACAAATGTGAAAGGTACCAACTTGATAGTGTTTGCTAATGCAAAAAGAACTGAAAGCAGCGTTCACACATAATGTCTTCGTGAGAATAAGATAGGGGATTCTTTGAGGAATATTGTATGTTGAGAGGGCTGTTGTCCTTGGGGGCTCATGAGCATTTGATTGGGTTTGTTTCCGGATTTTCTTCCTACAATGTCTTCTCTCCTTGTGGAGTGGGATTGATGGGGAACGTTATCTGAAGTTGATGGGGTTATTGGACGTTGGCGACATGAGTAAGGGTTTGATTGATAATAGGACCTAAGCGAGGGCAGCAAAATTATAAGGCCAGCAGTGCTCACGAGGATAAAATCCAGAATCCACCCGCATTCAGACATCAATATAGCATATATTTATCATTTCCAAACAACAAAGTAAAACTCAGCAGTGCCCAGAAGAGTTGAAGATATTAGTGGCAGGTGCAATGGGCCTACAGTTCATGCTTTAAATTTGGAGTTCCTGGTGGCAGCTCATAGCTCATAGAAAACAACCATGATTTCCCCTTTAATTTGATGACTTGCTGCTACACACCTTGCGACATGAATCCATCCAACTGACCTGCAATATAGTCCGGGAGCATGGACACATGAATGTCTTTGTCGTTTCTGACAAAAGTGTTTATCAGTATTTGCACATACCTAAGTTAAACCTCAACAGCGCTTACAAACAAATATCTTTATCGTTTAAAATCAAAAGAAATAAAACTCAGCAGCACTCACACACAAATATCTTTATCGTATATAAACGAAAAAATAAAATTTAGCAGTGCTCACAAGTGCAAAATGCATAATCCAGCAGTGCTTACACATAAATGAATGTCTTAAATCGTTTAAAAGAAAAAAAACAAAATACTACTCACCAGCACTCACACACAAACATCTTCTCCGTCTACAAACAACAAAACAAAACTTAGCAGCGCTCACAAGTGTAAAGTTTAGAATCCAGCAGCGTTACATATGATGTCTCGATCGTTTAAAAACGAAGAATAGCGCTCACAAGTGCAAAACGCATATTTAGGCAGCGTTTACAAATGATGTCTTAGTCGTTCAAAAACAAAAAACAAAAACTCAGCAGCGTTCACAAACGATCTCTCATGTTAAAGCTTGGATGACGATTGTTCAAACATAATTACCTTTAAAAAATCTATGCAAATGCCATGTAGACTTCATTCAAAAGACTTCAAATGCAGCATTTTTGACCAGTTTGGGGGGGGAGGGGAGGTAATGCAGGGCTTTGCAGGGCTGTGTGAGACCCCTTTTGGCCCCCATGTCAAGCAGGCAAAACTCCATTTTGGTCGACTCTTACAGCCTCAGTTGTGAACATGGCGTGTTTGAAGCTTGGTATTGAGGTTTTTTGGCGTTGAACTGAGGTTGAAGGGCTGTATTTCTGACTGTGTTTAATGTTTTAATAGCCTCAAACAGGTCTATATATGGGATTTGAGGCTCGGGCAATGCATCATCCCACACAAGAAGGCCTCAAAAGCCATTAAAATGTGGATCTCTATGCATTAATATGCAACATTATGTTGTTGAAGGACATCCAACTACATCCTTCTAACCTCCCCTGAAGCGGAGAAAACAGATTTCTGTGATGTTTTCAGACCTCGGTTGTGGAAACCCTTGGATTTGATGCCTACAATCGACAATAACGCCCACAGCCAAGGATCACAGGTCTCAAACGTAGGACTGGACGTCCAAATAGCTACATCAAGTCACAAAAAGACCTCAAAAAGTCATAGATAAATGTCCGCATGTATTTGAATGTCTACAACGCTATGATTTCCCTCCCCCCCAAAACTCCTCGCCATTTACCCCCTATAAAAACAAAAGCAACATGTCCACGAATATTGCGCCCAAGTCGACGTGCAAATTACCCCCTAAGATCTCCACGATATCCTCCGAGGCCTCAGAATAAAACTATCATGCATGGGAAAAACGAAAATTGCACGAGAAAGCCCAAAAGAAAAGGCGACAACAACTTGGAAACGGCTCAGAAGCCGTCGTACTCGAAAGCAGCGGCGTATTCGGGGATGGTGCCCTTCATAAGGGCGTCATCTCTGTCCGCCTGAAGCTCCATCTTCTCCGGGTCGATGAAACGGGCGGTCAGAGCGAACCGTCGCTTTCCCTCGGGGGTGACGGCGTGCTGTAAGGCTGAGTGTTAGAGATAGGTACACAAGTTGCGGTCAGGGAAGGAAGAGCGCACCTCATACAGCTTCTGGATGGTGCACCCAGCCATCACCATCATATCACCGTGCTTCATCTCCACCTCCAGAATATCCTTGTGGTTTTTCTTCCCACCGGTTTTGGTGAAACCATTGGTTTCGAAACCCTTGTTTCGCTTGGGGCGAAACCTCATCGTGCACGGCGACCCAAGTGATAGAGCGGCGACAACAGGGCCAAGCTCCTTTTCACCATCATCATGATACTGTGGAATGATAGGTTAGTACACTACAGTAACGTCGCCAGCAACGGTAACATACATTAATCTTATCATCCTCCATATAGCCCAGGGCGAGTAGCTCATTGAAGCTTTGGCTATGAGCGTCAAGGTTGGTGATGGTTTCATCACCAATCTCATGATCAGCCGGGAAGTTTGCCGTGGCAGAAGACACAGCAACATTCTTGGCCCAGTCAAGACGCTTGAGAGCCTTGAGAATGGCAGCGGGGGCCTCGGCGAAACCCTTGGACTGTACCGAGACTCCAAACTTGTAGCGGGCACCCTTGGAAATCATTGTGAGTTTGATACCCAACAATCTGACATAAGTGTTGGACTTACAAAGTTTTGCTGGAAGTGGCGGGTCAAACCTTCAAGCTTGTCTGGAAGAGGGTCAGTATGGTCTCCCTACTGGAAACGACATGGAATGAGTATGACTTACGACCAGCGACGGCAGCGGGGTTCCTCTTCAGACCAATATCCTCCACCTCCAAAGACCTGAATAGCTCATCTGGGCCACCAGGCCTGGCGTTGATGACATCATTCGACTGGAAAATTGTGAAGGAGCCAATAATACGTTCCTGGGCGTCGGTCAGGAAGAACTGACGAACGTTATAGCCTCCAAGGCCCATAACAGATGATCGAATGGCATATTTCTCAAGCCAGATGGTGGTGAGGGCATCGTTGGCTTGATGGCGTGATCTTCTGGACGCCATCTGCTTTGTGAAGGCCTCAACCTCAGCCTCAAGCTCTGCCTGAGGGAATGGAGTCATGGGGGCTGCCTTCTTGAACCCGCACCCTGGGATCTCGCACTGCAGCCAGTTCCAGTACCGACGTCTGCAGGCATGATGGCACTGGGGGCAGACAAACCCTCCGCGAAGGCCCAACTCTGTGCCGTGGTGCTGAGAATTGACGGCGGGCAACTCGGGCATGAGCGAGGGAATGGTTCCCGTGAAAGGCTGGCGCTCGTCAAGAAAGGCTTGGCTGTAGGCCAGAGCATCGAGGTCGACCAGTTGGTCGGGCAACATCCGATAGTACATGTTGCAGCCGTATTGGAGGCAGAACCATCCAATGGTAAAAATTTGTTTACTCTCCTGGTGACAGGAAGAGCAAACTCTCATGGGACAAGTGACCGGAGTCACGATCTCCTCCTGCCCAGCAGGAATCCACCAAGACGGCGTGAAGGGGTTGGCTTTTTCGAACCGAATACGCCAGACTGAAAAGATCCTCTGAGTCTCAGGGTTCCTCAGAATTTCTTTCCACATGTATGTGATGTGGAACCAGTCGAGAACAGCGTAAGGGGCAGGCGGCTGGCAAGGGTAAAGCGGATGATTCTCACCTTCAAAGTGGGTTAGCATGCTCTAGTTCATGGAAAACCTGAATTTCACTCACCCGCAATGATAGCAATCAAAGTACGTTGCTCGTAAGCGTTCTTGATGGATCGAACGTTGGTGGCGTTGTCATCGGCGTCGCGACCACGAACCATTACGCTTCCTTCCCTCACTCGGCCACCCCCACTGTACCTAAGTTAGCAACCATAGTAAACACTACAAGGGCCTACGGACCCGAAGAAGGTGGACGAGGATGAGAGTACTTACACAGCCGAAATGACAACGCTTTGGTGGAAGACATCGCCCTTTTCGACCTCCAAGTCAATCAGAAATCCCTTGGCAAGCAGACCGATGTTGTAGAGACTGCTCTTGTAGGACTTGTAGTAAGGGAGGGCCTCGCATAACCCCCCCCGGAACCTCGAGTGAATTGGAGGCGGGCCACGAGGGGCAGGCCTGGCAACAGGGACACGAGGGGCGAGCTTGACAACAGGGGCAGTCTCTTCATCCTTGTCGGCGACAGGCGCGATAGCCAGGTTAATCTTGATGTTGGCGGCCTGGGGGATGATGTCGTCAATGTCTGGGTACTGAGCCACGTCCAAGATAGGACTGTGAGGGTCAATCGCGGGTAGGCCGACCACGGGAGAGCCCACCGCAGGACGACTGGCGACAAATGGGTAGACACTCGAGTCCCAAATTGGGATCTGAGAAGCCAGAGCACCACTGTTGTGGTTGTAAAAAGGCAGCGGCTGTCCGGCCTGATGGGCGGGGTCGGGATGGACGAAAGGGTCGACCATCGGAGGGTTAACCAATGGAGAGTTGGCCGCGAGAAGGTTGACCACGGGCGGGATAGCGACAAAGGGGTAGGCGGCGGGATGATAGCTTTGGGTGTGAGGGTTGTACCAGTTCTGGTCAAACACCGGTTCATTCATAAAAAATTGCTGGTGGGCTAAGAAGGGGTCGACGGCACCATGCTGAGTTACGGCTTGATGGTTAACGATGGCCCTCAGGTTGAACATGATCTTTTCAACGTAATATTCCAAGGGCACATTGGCCAGCTGCATATCCATTGCGTCTGCTTGCATGTGGAACGGAATGACGGACTTGGCCTCGTGGTTTTCGGGTGCAGCTGGGTAGAGAGGCACGTTTTCGCGCTCCAGGTTGGGGTCAATGTTATTCTCGACATTGGCGCCACACTCGGCATTGACGACAAAGTCAGCGTTCATGTCATTCTTGACGACAATCTCATGCTCGGCGTCAACTTCGTGTTCGGCATCAATTCCGTGCTCGGCATCGATGTCAGTCTCAGCCTCGTCATTGACATCCTTGGAGTGAATCTCGGAGAATTCCCGAGTCCGCAAGCGCTTGCTGATAGATTTGGTAACCGCACGCGAATCCTCAAACTCGGGAGTGTCTTCCCGGGACCGCTTGTTGGCCCGCGGGAAGTCGTCAAAGGCACCAAACCCCTGAATGATGCTCGTCAACTTCTCTGTGGCTCGCAAGGCAGCCTGGCGCTTGGGCCTGCCAGAGACAGGCATGACAGGAGACGAGGGAGCTGAGCTCAGGGGCGAGGAGACGCCGGAAAAGACACCGTCAGCCTCAGGGGAGCTTGTGCCGGTCACCTCGGTGGTCATGTCAGACATCGCTGTCAGATGTGTGCAAGTCAGCTCTGCGAGGTCGGCGAAGTAGGTAATTGGGCTGGTTAGAGGTTAGTATATAGACTCGAACAAAAAAGGGGAGCCAATGAGAGGAAATTCAGGTGCTCGCAGGCATCGCGATGAACCAAAAAAAACACTCTCCGTTGACGTCCCCAATGTGAAAAGAAGAACCAAGACTTGCCTTGTGAGCCCTGTCGCGGGTTAAGAATAGGGAATAAGACTGATTGATGGGCAGTCGGGGCCTGATGGCTGTTTGTCTCTTGCTTCTGCTGGCTCTTGTCAAAACAGACTCTGAACAGTACCAATCATTTGGCAAAGCAGAAAAAAAGATACTGAGACTTTCGCAAGAGTTTGAACCGCTCCACGCAGGGAGAAAATCCTGAGTGGTCATGTAGTTGCTCTGCCCATCTCTGGCCATTTCTCATTGGCTGAGGTCTTTGAGATGATATTGGATGGTATAGAAGGTGGAATGAGGAGTTTTCTCGAAGCAAAATGACTTACCGCAAGGTCCGATTGTGCTGGGAGGATCTGGGGGACTGTAAGGTTGCGCCGTGTTAGCCGCCAAGATCAACTGTGGCTTAAATACTGTTGTGCAGAGGGTATCATCCACAGAAGTCAAAATGAACCGTCGAAGACATTTTGAATTCACGATACTTCGTGACGACGCGCGCGATAATCGTGGAGGAGTGTAGGGGAATTCAACTTACTCGACGTTCACGAACGGTGCTCGCAAGCGAGCAGACGGAGGTGGGAGGGTTCGGTGGTGTTGAGGAGAAGTAATAGAAAGGGAAAGGAAAAGGAATCAAATAGGTTGGGGAGGGTAGAGGAGTAGGGAGGTGGTCCAGGCCCCAGGTCCTAGGCACCACTCGTGCCTTCCGTCTTCACTAGCAGATAACAATGAAGAAAAACTCTTCGAGCCTCGTGGATAGCTGTGGAAGGTGGGAGGGAAGGAGGAAGGACTCTGGTACTGTGTAGACTAAGAGCTGGGGGCTGGCTATCTATCCTATGGACGACTGAGGAAAGGTTTGCTCTTGCTGCTCGTCCCATCCTGAACATTACAGGACAGCAAATCTCTTCAGCAGATATGTCTATCTCGGACGCGTCTTAGAGACTCAGAAGATTAGACGAGATGATACTGGTGCTGTGATGTGTTGTTTGAAAGTAAGTAATAGTGACGAAGGTTGCTTGTTAATATATTGGTTTAGCTGATCTCTGTTTGATTACTTTGAACATATTGAGTCAGTTTCCTTATCAATTCACCCCCCAAAGTGTCTCCGGGCCAAGTACTCCTGCGTCCTCTTTGATAGTCTTGAGTCTATGGAGACACGCAAGAAGTCGAGCATAAGATCACCCGTCCTCTACGCGCAGGGAAAGAGGTGGGTTCCTCCCAAGGTCTTTGAATTGTGTGCACTGTGCCATGATCGCCGCCGAAGTAAGGACCGACCCCTTCTCCTGAACAGGGAGCAAGAGCGACTGGGCTCAACGGCACCGAATTACGTCATTCCGCTCCTTACTTTGCCAGGCAGCCACGGATTGCAATGCGCCTTTGAAAATCGAGTCAAGTCCCAGAATCATTCACCTATATCTATATTATTGTCTCTTTTCTGCTAGGTGCTGTGAGAAGACAAAAGATAATGGAGGGAGTATGCGAAAGGAACGGACTGCCTACATTGTAGGTGTTGCCTGCTCTGTGAGACATGACCAGAGCGGAGTTTCAGGCACATGGAAGCCTCGTGTGAGAGGAGTCGTCTGAAACCGTAGCCCTGTAGAACTTGAGGCTCTGCGGGAGATCGAAACCAAGCTTTTTCATATCTCGGATCATCCGATGTGGAAGGAGAGATGGAGCCCTGCTACCAACTCACCTCATATGTGAAGTTTGCCCTCTTGGTGAGAGCATACCAACAACTCACTTGTTATCTTCTTTCAAAACGGTAGAGCTTGAGAATCGGCCCAGTTCCCACCAGCTCAACTCTCTACCTGGTTTTAAATCCAATCAGAGAACCACAATAGTCGTGGAGAGGTGACGAAGGCGGGCAATTGTTTGTGTATTGTACCTGCCTGGCAAGTTTTTTTCCCCAAATAAAGCGGCGATGACGTATGTTGAGAGAAATTAGGATTACGGCGACGGAAGGAACGGACTGAGGTGGCACCATGGGGCATCTTGTGGATTCGAACACGTAGATTGGCCATCTCACTCCCACACAGTTTTGTATGTACTTTTGAATTGCCCAATAACAAACCTATTGTTCCTGAAAACGTCATCCAAGTGCCACAGAACACCGGCAATGACTCGATGTTAGCCAAATGCCTTCCGAAAGACTTGATAACCGAGGGGAGACCGGAAGTTGAGCAGTTGGTAGAACTGGTTCGTGCATGTCTCGCGGTCAGCTACCCCGCATGTCAAACAGCGCTAGAAGGGGGTTTACCGAGGAGCTTGGGGCAAATGCGGGGGAGACTGCGGGGAAGCCTCGCAAGCGAGCAAGCGTTGGTGGGAATGGAAGCGCCAAGTCCTCAATCATGGGGAAAGTGGGCCAGAAACGGGATCATGAACGGTTCGGGGACCCTTGTCAACTGTGTCCAAGACGGTGTAGAAGGGATCGAGGATGGCTGGGTCGTCGCCTTGTCTCAGCATTCGCATGTTATCACAGCATTGCGTGCTGTCAAAAACCCCTTCTCCTTTTCTTTTACCTCACCGACTGTGCTGCGCTGAAAACCGGTTTCGTTGACGCTGAGTGGTTGAGACAGCACCACTGATCAAGCGCTGTTGTATCAAGAACAACATTCCCAGCTAACAGGTTCGGCCGTGCCAGTTTAACAACTGAACACACTACAACCGTGACAAAACTACGTCAAGATGGTCTTTTACCCCCCTCCTTGGGTCCCGAAGCTCCCATTCGGTGAGGCTTACCCCAGAATCCGGTTGAGATGTAGGCAAACATGGCTAACTGGTTCATACACAGACCCCCCTGATTCGATTACCATTGGAGAGTTTATGAAGAATGAGATCTACGGTCGTCGCCCAATCGCAAAGAGCCGGAATCCCTTCACCTGCGGCTTGACAGGCAAGACATATGGTGTAACCGAGCAGCACAACCGCACCGAGCTTCTCGCGAGGGCCTTGTCTAAGGTTATGGGCTGGGAGCCAAATGTTGATTCGCCGTGGGACAAGGTCATTGCTGTTTTCTCTGTCAATACTGTAAGTAAACGAACAAAAGGAGTTCAGGGTGCAGAATCAGGGGTGCGCGCCGAGCTTTTCGCTGACTTATCGCGTGCGTCGCCGACAGATTGACTACCTGTCTGTGCTTCATTCAGTCCACCGACTGTCCGGTATCGCTACACCTGCCAATGTCGCCTACTCAGCCGGAGAGCTTGAACACCAGCTTCGTTCCTCAGGAGCCAAGGCACTGTTCACCTGTGTGCCAGTTTTGGAGACCGCCTTGACGGCTGCAAAGGCGGTAGGAATTCCAGATGACAAGATCTTTATCATGGATGCGCCAGTGCATTCAAAGAAACTCCCCTACAAGACTGTGGATGACTTGATTCAACTGGGTCAGTCCGTACCTGAGCTCGAGCCCCTGAAATGGGTTAAGGGTCAGGGTGAGAGACAAGTGGCATTTTTGTGCTACTCCAGCGGTACTTCTGGTCTGCCAGTAAGTCGAAACAGTTGAGTCTTGGTTGGATATGGGTTCAGCTAACTGGGGGCCAGAAAGCTGTCATGATCTCGCACAAGAACGTTATTGCGAACACCATGCAATTTTGCATCTACGACTCAGTCTCAAGAGAAAAGTTTGGGGTGGAAACACAAACGGCTTTGGGATTGCTGCCATTCAGCCACATTTATGGGCTGGTGGTCATCGCTCATTCTTCAGTTTGGAGAGGCGATGGCGTCATTGTCCTCCCCAAGTTTGATCTAACAGAGTATCTCCAGGCCATTGAAAGGTTCAAGATCAACTATCTTCCTTTGGTGAGTGTGCTTTTCGCTTCGTTTTCTGCATCTGCTAACAAACGTAGGTTCCTCCAATCGTCATCCGTATGTTGAGTAGCAGAGACATCCTCAAGAAATATGACCTGAGCAGTGTCAGACTTCTCTTTACCGGAGCAGCGCCTCTTGGAAAGGAGACAGCTGAGGAGCTCCTGAAGATCTACCCAACGTGGCATGTGGGTCAGGGATACGGCATGACTGAATCGGCTACCGTCGTATGCACCACCAGCGAACACGATATCCACCAAGGCACATCTGGGTCTCTGGTGCCAGGCACACGGGCCAAGATCATTGATCAAGACGGCAAGGAGATCACCGAGTACAACAAGCCGGGGGAGCTTCTGGTTCAGTCACCCTCCATCACTCTTGGATACCTGAACAACGAGAAGGCTACCGCCGAAGCTTATGTCTGGGATGAGGATGGAAGATGGCTGAGGACCGGCGATGAGGTCATTGTCACCAAGGCGCCCAGTGGGTATGAGCACATTACCATTGTGGACCGGCTCAAGGAGTTGATCAAGGTCAAGGTGAGTTCATCATACCGCCTTGAAAATATCGACATTGAAACTCACAACGTTATTCTGAACAGGCCCACCAAGTCGCCCCAGCCGAACTCGAAGCCCACCTCCTCACCCACCCAGCCGTCGATGACTGCGCGGTCATTGCGGTTCCTGACGAGCGCGACGGCGAAGTACCCAAGGCTTTTGTGGTAACACCGGCGTCCATGGCCGGGCGGAAGGACGAGGACATGGCGGCTGAGATTCTCAAGCATGTCCAGGATCACAAGGCGCACTACAAGTGGCTCAAGGGCGGTATTGAGTTCATCGATGCTATTCCCAAGAGCCCGAGCGGCAAGATCCTGCGTCGCTTGCTTCGGGATAAGGAGAGGGAGGCAAGGAGAGCGGCGGGCGCGAAGCTTTGAGTGGTGGCTGTTTTTGGATATTGAGTATTGTTTTGGAAAGCCATGGTAGTGTTTGCGTGTTGGATAGTAATGGAAGCTAGTATTTCGGAGAATCTTCAACCTGTTAGCCAAATTCTGGAATGCTTGTCGTTCAGAGTGGTTGAGGACTTGATCTCTACCTACAAATCATGTCGCCATCATTCAACGCTGCAGCTGATAAATCTTGCTTGCCGGTAGAGAGAGACTCTGTACAAGGACTCCGCAGAGCTACAAAAAGGAGATCTGGACGAGAGAGCCATTGCATGTTGAAAAGTTGCAGTTGCTTTACTGGGATTTTTTTACTTTAGGCCAGTTCCCAGAACAGGGCACATTCCATCACCTAAGCACCACTTACACGACGTCTCCACCTTCCCAATTCGACCACCCAATCTCACCTCTCGCCATAGGTACCAGGTATCTTTCGACATCGTCTCGTAAGGTAAGCTATGCAAGTTGACTACCATCCTCCTCATTAGGACTTGGCTAATGACTGGCTTGGTATGGTTGGTGCAGGAAACATGTTGCACTTCCTCGGGTCCGGTGTGCCTTTTGTCAGACCATTAACAACCGACCACCCTTGCCCAACCCTCTACGCCAGCCAGCAAGACTCCCAAGTATAAGATTCTTCACCATGCAGCTCCATGTCTACCAGGCACTATTGCAGTCTTGTCAGCATGTGATGGGGTGGATCATCTGACGGGAGAGCAATCAAGCTACACCCTCGAGGCCATGTAGACTTGTTTAGCTACTTCACAGGGTGGGGGAGACGGGGTGAGATGCCTCTACAGGGGATTTCCATCGGCCGGCAAAGAACAAGAGTGTGACAGGAGGGATTAGCCGGCGATGCTGCATGAATTCATAAACGATGAAGAGTAGGGACCGGCGACCTCGGCTGGCTACATCCCCGGCCTCGCCGTTGACTCCCCTTCCGCTTCGGCGGCGAGATCAGCAAGGGGTTCCCGTGTAACAAGCTGGAGGATTTCTCGATTTTCGAAGGGTAAGGCAGTGTCTTGTCATCTGCCATGCCCTTATCACGACGGGGATGAGATGGGGTTTTTGAGGATGGCCATCGGGAGTGTGATCTTGACTTGGTGGATAGAGGCCGTCCAAATCACCAGGCAGCTCATAGTCATCAGGAGGTTCACCTCCTAATGTCGTGGAGACGGGGTAGACAAAGGTATCCTTACATTGAAGGAAGGCAAGGAGAGAAAGCAAGCATAGTTGCTTGGAAGGATCAGTCGGTGAGTGAAACCGTCGAAGAGCAGGTTTGAGAGGTTGTATCGGAGGGTGCAAACGAGGGCTGCTCGACTGAGTACCCCTTTGTGACGGACCTCAGGAGTGATGTCTCCGGGAGATATGGCCCAAAGCCCCCTGTGCTCCCCAGCAAGAACAGTTGTGATTGGCAGAGAGGGTCTTTTTAGGTTTCCATAACTCAGCCAAAGGAACGCCACCCACCTCATTGCCCGGCGCTACCCTTAACACCAGCCAGACCTCACTCCCTCGAGCCTATATGATCTGAATTTCTCTGGACAGTTTCCGTGGCGCGGTAGTATAGCGGTTCTTACATTCCCAAGTTAGAGCGAAGATTCAGGTTCGACTCCTGGCCCGCCACACAGCCTTTGATTTCTCAGGGAAACGTTTCCAGCGTTTCCTTTTTTATGAGCAATAGTTTTGGTTTTATTTGTTCACCACCGCTATACCCAAGGTATAGATCTTGAGCCATCCAAAGAATAGATAGCTTTTGCCACATCAACAACACCCACACAGTTCACTCATGTATCGGTCAGGGGTATATGACAGATCCGCTCTCCATCTTGGTACATTGCAAGTCCAGAATCTTCCTCAACTTCTCGTGCGGCCCGACATCCCGTGATAATCGCCTTACATTTTGCAAATCCTTCGTCGCGAAAAAAACATTTACATCCTGGTCTTGGCTGTGTTGTCGCTAGTCGCGTTACATAGTCCGGTCTGTTGGTAGTTGGGCGGCCAAGGTCTTCTTAAAGCCGTTGTAGTTGAACAGGCATGTCTGCGGCAAACCAACAAACCACAGCCAAGGTCTTCTTAAAGCCGTTGTAGTTGAACAGGCATGTCTGCGGCAAACCAACAAACCACAGCCAAGGGTCACGATCCTTTTCATATATCGCTTCACCATTGCTAGGGAAGGTAACAATGCTCCTACTCGACATTGTTTCATTCGACATCACCAAAACCTTCACCGACATGCCGGATAACCGTCGAGGGAGCCATGACACGCCACAGGCAGGTTTTGCCAGAGCTGCGGTACAGGAGCCACTGCATCGTGAGTTGGTGATCGACTGATCATTTCGAAGGAGTAGGTCAGGGAAGTGGGTATAAGTATCGCGACTCGTCGGCCTCAACTCCTGCTCATCTTTCACCATCATCCTCCCTCATCAACAAACCTCAAAAGCCAAATCCAAAATCTCCTCTGCAAAGATGCAATTCTCGGTCACTCTCATTTCCTTGCTGGCTTCCCTGGCCATGGCCGCGCCTGGGAACAGTCCCGCCCCCGACTCCATCCACCTCGACCTGCCCGCTCTCAATGATGGTCTGGGATACATGATCAGCCCGGAGTTGAAGCCCGAGACCGACCAAACCATTGTCAAGAGACGCGAGGGTTGTGTTGCGTGCCAGTGGTGAGTGCTTCATCGACCCATCACACCAAAGAGAAACTCACTGACAACGAACCCAGGTGCGGTGGATGTGGTGTGAACCAGGGAATGTGCTGCATGCCTATCTGCTGCCAGAAGAGCTCTATTTCGAAGGAGAGCTGCTTGAGCAGCGGATGGCGCTGGTCGACCAACTGCTAAAGTCACGGGACATTTCCACAGGGTGTGCGAGCTGGGGAAAGGTATGGTGGTTCATCCTTTCAAGGTGTTCTGCGATATCGGTGTTATTTCGGTGAAGCAGTTTGAGCTAGAGATAGGAAGAATACGTAGGAATAGATCCTGTGATCACTTCAGCCTCCAGCAACCCAGATCATCACCCTGAGAAGAGGATCCACCTCCACTTGGAGTGGAAACTGGGATTTGCTTGTGTACTTCTCTCCACAGGTAGCTGACATTCGCGGGGGAACGCGATTCGTGGACGAACCGGTGGATTCGAGGTGACGCAACAGAGATGTGTGACAGAATTACTCTAGCTGAAGCTATTTCTGGTTGGATGTGTTTGTATGGTTCAGGACAGGAGATGAAGAAATCTGGAAAACCGGTATCGAGCCGCTTGAGACTTTGCATGCGACAACAGCAGCTATATGGCCCGTGCAGTGCTCTGCTATTCCATTATCAGTGATATGAACATATCTAGTATGAGGGCACTCTCACTAGGTAACCCATGCTGCAAACGGAGCTGCCAAGATTGGCTTTGCCAAGCGCGGGGTGAATTGCAGATCCAAGCATCTTCCCTGGGCGCACAAATGTTGAGAAGGCCGAACATGTGCTCGTCTCTCAAGCAGTTGAGGCTTGGGGGGAGAGGATAACGATCAGAGCAACAAAACACCAAATATACCGATTAGGAGATAGACAGTAAGGACATACGATGGAGACGGATCTACGGATCTCAGAAGCTCAGAAGCTAGGAAGAAAGGGGATTTTTTTTCAGGGCCCCCGAGAGTGGCAAGCCCGGAGGACGAGATGCTGGATGCAGTTGCGGATGCGGGGGTGGTTGGCTTCGGCATGCCGCGGCAAAACAACTGACAGCCTCCGCTCGAGCGATGGTGTAGCTCCCTGTGGCAGCTCGCGGCTTACTTGAAGAGAAGATCTCCTGTTGCATTTTCTTATTTTTTCTCTCTCGAGTTGTCCCGTCCCTAATCAACAAACCCACCGTCAGCCATTGCCAGGTGCCATTGCTGCCATTGACGATGTCTGCTGTCAACCGTGGGTTGCGCCAGGCCACCAAGTCCCTGCACACACGCCTTCCCCAGCGCATCTCGCAGCGCTCCGCTCTGCCATTGTTGAGCAGCACATTTAAGACGGCTGCCCCCCTCACTCCCGCCGCCCTCCACGCCCGCAGAAGCAACTTCTCCACCATGGCCTCTCTTCAGTCCGCCGCGACCACGGCCCCTTCCCCCGCCGGGCACAAGGGCTACGATCCTGAGATCCAGGACATCGCCGACTATGTGCACAACAAGCCCATTGACTCTGAGCTTGCCGTGAGTTGAGCCTCCCGGAGCTAGCCCCGCTTTATCCCATCTTTGGCTGATGTTGACCTTTCCCCCCTGAACAGTTCGACACAGCGAGATGGGTGTTCCTCGACACTCTCGGCTGCGGTCTGGAGGGTCTCCAGTTCAAGGAGTGCACCAAGCTCCTCGGCCCTATCGTCCCAGGGACCGTCGTGCCCAACGGCACCAAGGTTCCCGGCACACCCTATCAGCTCGACCCCGTGAACGGTGCCTTCAACATTGGTGCTATGATCAGATGGCTCGACTACAACGACTGCTGGCTCGCTGCTGAGTGGGGACATCCCAGTGACAACCTGGGCGCTATCCTGGCCGTGGCTGACTGGATCACCCGTACCAACAAGGCCGGCGGTAACCTCGCTGGCGGCAAGATCTTCACCATCCGCGATGTTCTCGAGGCTATGATCAAGGCGCACGAGATTCAGGGCTGCCTTGCTCTGCTCAACTCGTTCAACAAGGTTGGTCTGGATCACGTAGTTCTCGTCAAGGTTGCCAGCACGGCTGTTGTCAGCAAGATGCTCGGCCTCAACGAGAAGCAGACTGCCGATGCCATCACCCAGGCGTGGGTTGACGGCCAGAGCTTGCGTACCTACCGCCACACCCCCAACACCATGTCCCGCAAGTCGTGGGCTGCCGGTGATGCCTGCCAGCGCGCCGTCAACCTGGCCCTGAAGGTTCTCAAGGGCGAGAGCGGTGTTCCCACCGTTCTCTCCGCCCCCGTCTGGGGCTTCTATGATGTCCTCTTCAAGGGCAAAAAGTTCGAGTTCCAGCGCCCCTATGGCAGCTACGTCATGGAGAACGTCCTGTTCAAGGTGTCCTACCCTGCCGAGTTCCACTCTCAGACCGCTGTCGAGGCCTCTGAGAAGATCCACGCCCAGCTGAAGGCCATGGGCAAGTCTGCCGCCGATATCAAGGAGATCACCTGCAGGACACACGAGGCCTGCGTCCGCATCATCGACAAGCAGTTCAAGCCCATGGACAACTTCGCCGATCGTGACCACTGCATCCAGTACATGTGCTCCGTCATGCTCGTCTTCGGCCGTCTTACTGCCAACGACTACGTTGACGGCAGCGAGGCTGCCACCTCCCCTCTGGTCGAGTCTCTTCGCAAGAAGATCAAGTGCGTTGAGGACCCCCAGTTCACCGCCGACTACCATGACCCCGCTCTCCGCACCATCAGCAACGGCCTCACCGTTGAGCTCAACGACGGCACCGTCCTCCCCGAGGTTGTCATTGAGGCTCCTCTCGGCCACCGTCTCCGTCGTGAGGAGGCCAAGCCAGTGATCATGGCCAAGTACAAGCGTCACTTGGAGCCTCACTACAGCGCCGAGAAGGTGCAGGAGCTCCTTGAGCTCGGCCAGAACCCCAAGAAGCTCGAGGCTATGGAGGTTGACCAATATGTGGATTTGTATGTTAGCGAGAACAGCAAGTTTGTCAACTAGAGAGTGACAGACAGGCTCAAAATAGACTTTACTAAATGCAAATACAAAAAAAATAATTTTATATATATATACCCTCATGTTGACACTGTATCGCTGACTCGGGACGTTGTTTCGGCCCGCCCCACTGTCGGGACGGGGTTGCACAGCCCCTGGTTGAGTTCCTTGACGGTTCGGGTACCGGCACACAGTGCATCCCCGGCGCCCGGGCGCCACTGGACTTTTGGTGGGGCTCCGGACTCGTCACAGCACTGCGCCACCCTGTAACCTTTCTTGCAACCTTTGACCAACACCACAATACTTCTGTTGACTGCAACGACAAGCGCCAAACTTGAGACGACATTTCCTTTTACTGCAGAACGAACCCTAACGATTCGCCAGTAAACTTCACCGAACTCAGTCATCATGGTCTCCGAAGACCGCCAAAGAGTCATTGAGACCAACCGGTCTCTGCGCAACATCAAGAATGTAGGCAACTCTCCCCTCAACCACATCACAAACGCCCATCTAACCTGTGTTTTCTGACTATAGGAACTCGAATCCCTCCTCGAAAAAGGTGTAATCACCGACGAAGCCTACGACACCATCTCGGGCCTCCTCCCCGCCGAGTCGTCGTTCAACTCGCGGTCTACCCCCGCCCCTCGCACCAATCCCTCCTCCCTTCCCACTCCAGCTGCTACCCCCTCCGCCGCTGTCCCTCCCACAGCAGCAATGGCAGCCCTCTCAGTAGGCGGCAACCCCAACCCTCCCCCTTCATACGCCCAGTCTACCGGCCCCCCTGCCCTCCCGGGTCGGAACCCTCCCCCTGCTAGTGCCCCGACCAAACCGATCATCGCCCACGCGAGAGCGCTTTACAAGTACAATGCCGCCGACGCGAGAGACTGTAGCTTCGACAAGGACGATAGGGTTGCTGTGTTTGAGTATATGAATGCGGATTGGTGGATGGGGAGGAATCAGCGGACGGGGCAGGAGGGGATTTTCCCACGGTCTTACGTTGTGGTGGAGGACGAAAAGGCTGCTCAACCTGCGGCGGTTCTTTATCCTCCCCAACAGCCGGTCTATGGTCAGCCTGCTCCGGGGGCGTATGGAGGGGGTTATCCGGGTGCGCCACCGCCCGGGCAGCCGTATCAGCCGCATGATCAGGGGCAGCAACAGCAGGGAGAAGAAGGGGGGAGTAAGATGGGTGAGCATGGGAAGAAGTTTGGAAAGAAATTGGGCAATGCGGCGATTTTTGGAGCGGGTGCGACGATCGGGTCCAATATTGTGAACTCTATCTTTTAAGGGGTGGGATTGGAGATGGATGGGTCTCAATGGACAAGAGACTGTGAAGCGGAAAGGATGTATCTTTCTTGACTTTCACTTATCACCTTTACACCTGAAGCCTTTTTGTTTTTTTTTTCCTTTTTTCTTTTTGCGTCTTTGGGACTCTTCATCATATCATGTTAAGCCACGTCATGTTCAGAGTAGGGTTTGGGAGTTTGGGGATTCATGTTGATTTCTTACGCTAGGTTGGGATAATCTATCTTTTATTTTGTGAGAGATGCGGGAGTGGTATTGGTTAAATGTTGCTAGACATGGAAAAACCAGATAAAACAGTATTCAAACGTTTGGTTCCTAAGCGGGATAGATCGTTGCCGGGAGAAGTGTGAGAATATGTCTGTAAGGAAGTACTGATATGATGGTTTGCCAACTTGGTAGTGATTCGGTTTCTGACTGTCAAATGTCATCGACATGTATCCTAATTCTGTTGGTCAGAACATGAACAAGTAACAGCATCAGTGGTTTAGTGGTAAAATCCATCGTTGCCATCGATGGGCCCCGTGTTCGATTCACGGCTGATGCACAACACCTTATTTTTTGTTCTTTCCTTGCATTTTTTCTTCTTCTCCATTGTGCCCAACAGAGAGTGTCTGATTATTATTTTTTTGGACAGATTGGGGGTTTGATGTGATTTTTGCTGGATTTCCACCCATGTAAAGTTCGATTTGTGAAGGTTGTGGGAGTGGACAGATGCCCGTCGTCGTGGTCGAGACCAATTCCAATTCTCCGTTTTACCCAGCCACAAAGATGGTGCCATCCGGAGAAGCTATGTTGTTGTTGGTGCGTCGTATAGGCGAAAGCACCTGCTGGCAGGCGGGGCCATCTAGAATCGAAAGTCTCTCGGGATTCCCCAAAAGCGGGGGGACCAGTCCAAGGGGAAGGGGATGCACGTTGTCGGTCTAGACCTTACCCATACCAGAATAGCCCCAACCAACCATTGGAATGCTACTGGGCGAACTCCGAAAAGGGTTGTTGCAAGCACCCTTGTCACATCACCAACCCCAGGTGGAAAACGTGTGTACACAGTCAGCCGTCTGCGGCGATGCCTTACTTTGGCTTGCCCACAGTTTGGTCTCTTTTATTTAAGAACGTGAGATGGTCTGAATTCGGCCCTCTTCCTGATCTCAGCTGACAGGTTGGTTTCTTTTTGACATACAACCCAAGTTTTGTTAATCTTCCCTCTCCAACCTCCTCATATGCACTGTTTCGGAGGGCTGTTGTTCTCTTTGACGCTCACACAACCGACATCCCACACTTTTCCGATGTGGATTGTGAAAATACCACTGTGACAAATGAGACAACCATCATCACCCGCTGCAGGGCGTGTGAACCTCGCAGCAATGTCTCGAGATCTCTCCCCGGCGCACTCCGGCTTGTCCTCCGGCGCCAAGAGTCCGATCGCCGGTCCGTCATTGGCAGCACCGCCAATGCCGGCTCGGTCTCCGGGCTCTGTTGCCGACGACGCCGCGGTAGAGTCCGACGTCAAATCAACCCTCACCACCGCCGGCAGCATCAGCAAACGCCCCTTGATCGGCAAACGCCACGCCAGCACCCGGTCTGATGCCTCCGGTCTTCTACCATCAGAACCAGGATCACACCCCGACTCCCCATTACCACCACCCTCCCCCGGCTCCGACTCGGAAGAAGACACCTACCCCGAAGGCGGCCTCCGCGCCTGGCTCATCGTCTTCGGCAGCTGGCTCGCCCTCTTTGCCTCCCTCGGCCTGATGAACGTCATGGCCACATTCGACACTTACCTCTCGGCGCGCCACCTCGTCGACCACGACAACGGCACCGTGGGCGGGATTATTTCTCTGTACACCATCCTCAGCTTCACTCTGGGGATATACGTCGGTCCGGTATTCGACAAACACGGCCCGCGGTGGCCGATTGTCGGGGGGAGTGTTTGTCTTTTCGCGGCGTTGATCGTGGTCAGCATATCGACCAACTACTGGCATTTGCTGGTGGCGTTTGCGGTGTTCAGCGGTCTGGGGAGCGCCTTGCTCTTCACGCCGTCGATCGCGGCGATAGGGCATTTCTTCAACGAGAGGAGGGGGTTAGCCACCGGGGTGGCGACTACGGCGGGGAGCGTGAGCGCGGTGGTGTTTCCGTATGTTGTGCAGGAGTTGTTTGTCATGATTGGGTGGCCGTGGACGATGAGAGCGTTGGCGTTGATCTGTCTTGGGGTTGCGGTGGGGGCGAACTTCTTGATCAGATCGAGGTTACCGCCGGCGAAGCATGCCAAGATCACTCCCAGTGTGAGGGTTTTCCAGACAAAAGGGTTTGGGTTGACGCTGGGGGCGGTTTTTCTGATGCAGTTTGCGGGGTTTGTGCCGCTGAGTTATCTTTCGGGGTATGTGCTTGCCAAGGGGTTCGGGCAGGAGTTTTCGTTTGATGTTGTGACGGTGTTGAATGCCAGTTCGGCGTTTGGGAGGGTGGCGGGTGGTTGGTTGGGGGATTGGGTTGGGGTCTATAATGCGAATGTGGTGTTTTCGGTGGTGGCTTCTATCGCGTGTTTTGCGGTTTGGTTGCCTGTTGAGGAAGGAAAGGCCGGGATGATTGGGTTTGCGGTTTTGTTTGGGTTTACGTCTGGGAGTAATGTTAGTTTGATGCCGGTTACGGTAGGGAAACTGTGTGGGACGAGGGAGTATGGGAGGTATTATGGGACGGTGTATACTATTGTTAGTCTTGGGGTTTTGGTTGCTATTCCTATTGCTGGGAAGTTGGTGTTGGGGAGTAAGGGCAGTTGGGATGGGTTGATTGTTTTGACGGGGGTGGCGTATCTTGCTTCGGCGGTGGTGTTTGCGGTTGCAAAGATGTCGATTGTAGGGTGGAGATCGAAGCCTTGGGTGATTTTTTGAGGTGGAAGGAAGGGGGGTAGTGTATGAAGTTATGATCTTGCTTTCGGCTTTTTTTCATTTCGGGGGGGGGGGAAAGCGGTGTCACTGGCTGCAAGCTGTGTAACACGCTCAGAAGGGGAGCTAATCTACGATACCACAGCATGGCATGTATATAAAGTGCGCTCACACAGCGAGTCTACAGTTTTCTTGCATACCAGTCAGGTTGTTTGAACAGAGATACCATATCAACTCCTTCGCGCGAAGATACACATCAGAGACCTTCCTACTCAGCGAGTTATAGATTGGGAAATCCAAATTACTACCTTCTACTGCATGAACGTGAAACATTTTATACCCCCACCTTCATCGCTCAAGGCGAAGAATACATTCCCCTCGTCCCACTCCCCCCCATCCCCGAAGCCAAGCTGACACTCCTAGGCGTAACCGGCAACCCCATCTGCCCCCTCCTCTTCATGGTATTACTACTACTCCCCCCAAGCCTCAGCCCAGGACTCCCCAACCCAGGACTCCCCAACCCAGGACTCCCCAACCCATGACTCCCCAACCCAGGACTCCCCAACCCAGGACTCCCCAACCCAGGACTCCCCTGCCCACCACCAACATCCAACCTCCCACCACCCCCTCGAAGCGCAACCATCAACTCCATACACCCCCTGACCCCCTTATTAACCCCCCTCAATCCCTCCACCATCCCCGGCCCAAAGCTCAAAATCTTCTTCCCTAGCGCCTCCCTGATTTGTATCCCCAGGTTCGTCCACTTGTTGAACAAGCTCTTGCACGTCGACCATATCGGACCATTTTCACTGTAATTGAGCGGCGATGAAGAAGACAGCATTGAGCGCAGAATGTCCGTTTGCTGGAGGACAGAGCTCGTTTTGGAGATGAGGTCTTCGAATAGGGGTACCATGGTGGATGATCGCAGTGAGTCGGTGGTTGTGGCGTTGTTGATGACGGATGAGAAGAGGGTGTCGAGGGACGGGAGGAAGGTGTGGATTAGGGTTGTGAGGTTGCGGAGGGAGGTGAGAAAGGCGGTTAGCTGGAGGGTTATGGGGGTCGTGACGTTGAATGTGGTGTTGGTGGATGAGGGGGTTAGGAGGCTGGGGAGGGGCGTTGATAGGGGTGGCGGGGAGGCGAAACGGCGGTCGTCGCTGTCGTCGTCGTTGGAGGAGACGGCGGAAGTGAAAGAGTCGGCTGATTTAGGGGTTTGAGGGATGACGGCTATGGTTGTTGTTGGGTAGCTTTGGGAGGTGGATCGCGATGATGAAACAGAGACGGTGACAGAGTTCGACTTGGGACGGTAAGGGATATCGGTGCGGACTTGCATAGGTGTCTTGGGGGTGATGGCCGCTCGTTTTGCACGAAGAGACGATGGCTGTTGCGGCTGAGGCGTTTGGGACCTGGGCGTCATTGGCAATGGCTGCGATGGTTGTCGACGACGGACAGAAGGAGGTGTCACTGGTGGTGGTTGGGAAGGACGAGCAGTCAGGATGTTGTTGCGGTTATCCAAAGGCCGGCTGGAAATGGCCACGCGCAGCTCCATGATGCCATGATAAACCTGCATGAGAAAGGTGCGCATATATCGGGGATCTCCATTGTCGACCAGTAAATCAACATTGCTGGCCAGCCGAGCACAAATCTGGACGTAGGCCAATATCAAGGCTGTGTAAGCGCGTTGCATAGGCCCGTAGTCTCGTGCTGATGTCCGACCGCCTGACGACAGTTCAAAATCCTGGATTGCCTGCTCTAGCTCTTCAAAGTACTTGTGGGTGTTGTAAAAGATCATCTCGAGACTGGAGCGCCGTGAAGTCCCGTCGTTGGTCAAACTCATCAACGTTTGTACGCACAAATGGATCTGATAAATGGAATATAGAACCCCTTTGAAAAACTCCAAGACCGGGTCTGGAATTTGAGATTGATAACGACGTATTGGCAGAGCGGAAAGCTCGCGAACACACAGCGGCCTCTGTAGAGACGGTTCTTCCGGACTGAAAGGATTGGAGAAGGTCGGCGCACCACTGTAACTGAAACCGCGAAAATGACTGCTAAGCCGGTTCATATTGGGCACATCTGTCGAAAGGCTTGAAGCCGAAGACGGCGCAAGAAAAGAGCTTGCTGATCCAGGGGTGATAGTCCTAGAAGAGATGGTAGACTCTGTCGTGCGAGAAGATGCCGTATCTGGTCTCTTCGGCTCCGGTGATACGGCCGGCTGCTCAGGCGGGCTCCGTAGATCGTCACTCGATGCCGTCATTGTCAGTGGTATCATTCCCGACGGTCTCCTGGTGAACCCATTGCTGTACTGAGAAAGAGACCGTCTGCTGGAAACCCTCGGTGGTCTAGACAAAGATGCAGATCTCGATCCTGGCGAGGATGCAATTCCGGATCCATTTACCTTGACCGGAAACCGGCCGCCTCGGCGTGATGGTACTCGCGGTGTATCAGCACTCTCACTCGACTCATCCCCCGTCTCTGTATCAGCCATCCCTTCAATGATACTCACACTGACACTCCGAGCTAGAAATTTCTTGATACGCTCAGTCACAACACGGTCTGTCTCGCTCTCGGCCAGAGCCCCACTGGACAGTTGATCCTGGACCGTTGGTAGCTGCAAGACCTCCTTGGGAGGGTAGATGATCGGATTGCCCGTGAACCTCAACCGCTGAAGGGAGACCATATTCGCCATGCTAGCGGGAAGTCTTGTAATTTGGTTCTCCTGAACCGAAAGCGCCTTGAGCGAAGTCAGCTTGGAAATCTCGGGAGGGAGCTCCCTCAACCGATTCCTTCCCACATCGAGGAACTCCAATGATATTAGATCACATAACTGTAGCTGTGGTCAGCATTAAGCCCTCAAATCCAGGTCAAGCAGTACTCACTGCCAAAGGAAAGACCTCGAACGCATTGTTCCTCGCCGCAAGGTACCTCAAAGATGTACATTGCGAGAACCTCGGTGGAAGTCCCTTCAAGGCATTGTGTGATAGCGCGAGCCTTTCAACCCCTGTCCTCAGGATATCGACAACCTCATCAGGTAAAACAGGAATGTTTTTCCCAATCAAATCTAGCGTGATTCCCGAACCAGTTGCCCCAGTGGTCCCCGACACTGGCGTTCTTGTCTCCTCATCTTCAATCGCTTTTCTCCTAGCCTCCCGAACGAGAGCAACGACCTGATTTGGCGAAAGCAACGGCCCAGTGTTGGCATTATTCGCATTGGGTGATGTACCCCTCGATGTACTCTGCCCTGTCGACAAAGGCGGGAATCGCTGCTGCTGCTGATGCAGTTGATGTGCTCTCGAAAGCGGCATCCCACCTCCAGAGACCGACCGGGCTGCCATCGGGGGAGCCTTGCGATGGGTGTCCATTCTTTATCAATAAAGTCAAACTCGATTCAGAAATTAACAATGCAAACCCCAACTGAAAATTTCATCAGTGGCAGTATCAACGGAAACGCATATCTCAAAACTGAGAACCACTGTGTAAGAAGAGAGCTGATTGATCGATCCCGTCGCTGTGCTGTGTGCTGCCGTGCTTACCTCCTGCAGCACCATATCTCTAACCCTTCTGTGCCAGCCTGCCGCGCTGTACAACACAGCCAATCCTGGCACATCCTCGCGTGCTTGCTGCAAATCCCGTCAGCTCTCAGCCGTGTTTCTTGCGTTGCGTTGCCTGCCGCTGGGCGGGTGACGGGCAGCCCCCAATTACACACGAGGGCGCGGCCAGTGAACTGTCATGGATTCCATACCATCAAAGCTAAAGATCACCCACTCCGCCAAAAATATACATGAAGCCCCTCTCGATTTGTGTTTGGATCCAAAGCTTCCATAGTGGATATTTCCGGTTATTCTTGTTATGAGAGTTTAGCAAAAATCATTGTTTTGAGCTCATGGAAGTAAGACATCTCCAACCAAGTCTGCCTTATTCTGTAGCCACAGAAACTCACCCATGTGCACGGGCCAACCATGGGTAACCATCACCTCCATCCTCCCACTATCCGTCCGCTCACAACTCAATGACATGAAACTCGGCAACACAATCACCCGAACACATGTCACTATCATGCGTGTCACCACTTCTTCAACTCATTCGTCCCAGCTCATAATTTTGAGCATTCTATGGGAATCCCTCTCATAGGGGAAGCTGCCTCACTTACATGTCCCATGAGCTGTAGATATGTCGTGCGACGATCATTTTGCCTTTGTGGTGTGTGTTGGCCCCCTCTCACTCGCTCATGTTGTGACCAGCAGCCTTGTGAGCTGGCCCATCAGTCAGTCACCGGATGTAAGTGAGATTACAGCTGTCATCTCGTCATGTGACCTCTCTCCTGTTGTGTTGCATGAGGTAGGGTGTTCCAATGACGATGCCCGAGGCTGATCACTCATTATTGAGAGTTGTGAGAGGTATGCTTATCTTGATATTGAAGTTGAGATGGTTGTCATGAAAATATCTTCTCACAAATGAGAACCGGTAATTCTGCATTACTGCGTCGCATCGCATTATAAAAGCTTGATGAGTTGGTAAGCATTTATTGAGCCAACCCTGTAAGTGATGAGTCAACCCAAGACAAAAGCTGAACGTAGCCATCACCACAACCACAAGCGCCAGCCTCTCCGTTTGTGAATTCTAGTCATTCACTAACCAGATTTCCAACAGTAGAAACCTGCTTTCTAACCCACCTTCATCAGACCCTTTCCTTACTTACACTGTGTACTTCATCTTGAGTGACAAATATATCCTCTCCCTTCAACCCAAATAGCCACCAATACGTAAACCACCACCCAAAAACATCACCCCTTGACACTTCACCAAACAACACCATGTTACGGCAAAGCTCAAAATTGATAATGCCAAACCCGAAATAACGTACGAATATTGTAACAGCATTCACATACCAACCAACCGAATGCCCTCTCATACTCCCAAAACCAACGTCTCCACTTGAACACCAAAACTCCCGAAACTCCGCTCACAAGCTATCTATTCTTATTTGGCGTCATGTTCATCAAGGTGCTTACCTACCTCACATCGGTACCTAACCTACCTGTCGTCCGTCACCCATCACAACAAGATCACGATCGAAACACCCACCTTCCCCTAACATGGAGAGCCGTGGCAATATGTTATCCAGGCAGTCATAAGCATAAGCCAGGCAGAGGTGGGCCCAGATCTCCCATGCCATGCCCATCCTCCCTGTCGTCACCCTTCTATGTTCCATTCTCTCCGATGAGCGATGGCGGCGGCAACAAATTTCAACCGTCCCTTGTCCACAACTGTTAGGGTAGCCCCGCCAGTTCCAGAACGGAGAAACGGGATTTAGAAAATTGTGTTGTGTCCTGTCTCTTGTTGTGGTGGTGGTGTGGTGTGGTCCTCAGTCCGCCGAATGACTCACTCTGGAAGAGCGACCAACCCAACCCGGGAAGGAAGGAACCCGGGCCCCGGAATGCCGCCATCGTGATTCGTGACAAACCCAGCTGGTTGGACAAGAAAATTTAGGTAAGAAATCGGTTGACTTTGGAACGCATTGCATTGGGCTTGGAATTTTCCTGGGATCGGACCAGTTAGAAATGCAAAATGGGAACGCGAGAAAAACGCTGCAAAAAACTGGGGACAAAGGGACACAGCAAGCAACCAGATCGACCCCCGTCGTTACCACACCAACGATCCCATCTCCAAATACATGGTTGTGGCAAGTTGCTCGGTTGCCTGACCGTCGCTCATTTGGGCGCCCAAACAGGGGGTTGATGGTAAGCGCAGGCAGGACACGTCGGAGGCACGATTGCTTCGGTTTGAGACAGAAAGGTAGCTGCTAGCTCCGATGATTTTGGCTAATAGCATGGTATTTGTGCGGCTGCTAGTCGCGAGTCGGAATGATTTCCTTGAAGAGGATCAAGTCTGTCCGTCTTGGTCCCTTTCAGGGCCCGAAGGTCTCGGTCTTGGTAGAAAACCTACGGCGTTCCTATAAACTCCGTTTGATGCAATAAGCCTCAGGCCTAAATGCAGAGAGAATTGTTCTGGCGGTTGCAAATCGTCAGTCTCGTTGCTAAACGAGAAAAGGCGTTAGCAGCTGTCCAGCTCTCCGCTGCCCAGTGTCCGTCCATTATGCTCCTAATAGTTCCCAACGCCCCCTCTCTGCGCCCTCGGACGCGAGATACTGTGTCCTGGTATGTAACAACGACTTAAGAACAGAAAAAGCACGACAAACAACATCGTACACAAAAAAACACCCACCACCGTTCGCCATCAAAAAATGACCATGATTCCCCGCCTTCGCCTGTCGCCGTTTACCCCAAATCCAGGATGTCGCATGCAAAAACCCCCAGAACACGCTTTTGCCCATTTTCCTTGAGCCATCTCCAAGCCCTCTGCTAGGGACTTGATCTCTTCCGAGAATTACCACTTCTTCTCCCTCTAGCGAGGGACTGACAAAGAAACAAAGAATGGTGTCACAGCGAAGGGTTTGGTTGATTGATATGATCGTTATGTGCAGTTGGCGTATGAAACGCAAAAATAATAAACAAGGTGTTTGTCGAAACGTGTGGTGTAAAAGAATTACTGCAGAATTCCCTGCCACATCCCTGGACCTCCTGGTCCTCCGACTGCTGGGTGAAGCGAAGAGATCATGTACGGCTGAGCCGCCTCGGTTGAGCAGCAGACTCTCTTGTGACTTCCTCGAACCATCGACTCGGGCCAGGCACCGGCGTTGGTCGAGTCCATTGAAAGGTATCCACGCACACTCTCCTGCAGCTGGGCATTGTCCATTGAAAAGGTCCGGCTTCGCTTGGTTCCGATTCTGACCGGAGCTGACGAAGAATCGACCGCTTGACGCTGCAACTCTTGAAGGGCCATGGCCGCATCATTCATCTCACGCTGCCTGCACGCATATTGAGCATCCAGCGTGCCATCGTAAAAGTCCTTACCCGCCGGGCCGGTGTAAGACTCTGGCGACGCTGTCAGACAATGACCCTCCTCATAGACTTCGGGAACCGAAGCGATGGTGGGCTTCAGGCTCATCCTCTCACTGAACGACCTTCCATACCGGCATCGCGCCTGAGCATCCAATTTGGCTGACGGCGCGTTAACCGAAGAAAGAGACGAGATCGAAGAAGAGCGAGAAAGACGAGAAGAATCCGATACCATTGACTCGGGCGAGGAGGCGGTCGAGACCGAGTTGGCAAGAGATGACCTGCGGGGAAGGTGGTTCATGGGAGACGAGGTGACAGCGGGGGGCCACCGATCCAAGGTCTGAGCAACAGACGTGGAGGAGGCTTGGGCCATGGCGAAACCCATTGATGAACTTCTTCCAAGAATTTGGGAAGCAGCACTCACAGCAGGAGTGCTGAATCCACGAGTTTGGGGAGTGATGCGTGGTGTAGGCAACAGGCCTAATGCAGGCGCAAAGCGGCCAGGAACGTATGCCGAAGGAGGACTTGGCTCCATAACGACTGGTGCCAAACGTGGCTTGAGAACCGCATCCAGATCGCCCCAAGGATTGGCACTCTCAGGGGAGCTGCAGATGGCCTGAATAGATACCTCCCGAGTGGCCCGCAGCCAAGGAGCCAACTCTTCCAAGTTATCGAGCGAGGGCGTCAGGTTGAGAATAAGCCGTTGAAACTGTTCGCACTGCTGTTCGTAAACGCGCTGTGCTGAGGGGCTGGGAGGCGAAGGAGGCTGGGGTGTGAACTTGAGAACTGATTCAGACCACTTCTTGTAGGTTTCCTCTGTGATGTGCAGGTTCCAGTTCACAGCCAATATGAATGCCATCTCGTTTTGGTTGATCTCGGATGTTTTGAGTCCAGAGATTCTGCTCCAGGCACGGGCCGAGTAGTTGCGATCTTGCAGATACTTGGACGCCAAGATGAGAGCTGCGAGGAACATGCGGCGACCACATTGGAGGGCCTGGCATTCTCGGTTGCTGTCGGGCTGTTCCATGGTGAAATCATGGCTCGGAACGTGAGGTCTAATCAGGACAAGGTAGTACAAGGCAACTTGAAGGGTCGAGTAGCTGGTGCGGGACCGGCGCAAAGTTTCTTGAATGAAACTGCGCAGCGGGAGCACAGCACTGCTGCCCACCTCTTTGCAAGCTGGCGATGACGTAGGCCAGATGGCTTCGACCATGTGGGTCGAAGTGTCTAGAACAACATTGTTGAGCATATATCCGTTACATGAGGCAAGCGCATTCCTTACCGACGAGGTTGTCAACGAAATTGACCTTCCGGTCAGCCTGGCGCACGAGCGCAGGGGGACGCCCAGTCCTTGAAGTCGCAGAGTTGGAGGTTCGGCGGGGGTTCTGGCGCAATGGCGCGCATGATTCGGGCTGAGAATACTGTTCATGTTGCTGGCGGACCCAGGGATCGCAGCTCTTGATGACTGGCTCGCAGTAGCTTCCAAAGGAGCTTACTGAGCTCTGAGAAGATGTGGGCGCAATAGAAAAGCAGGATTCGCTGAATTCGGAGTCGGAAGAGGGTCCGTTGGAGGTATTGTCGTCCGAGTGCTGGGAGGATGCGTCGGACCAGATCGAGGTGGTAGAAGCGGATGCCAACGCGGCTAAGGGTTGGTTGTAAGTGGCATTGTGGAGGGAGGTAAGGGGGTTGATAAATGCGGGGGACAAGTATGTGTCGAGCTTCATCTTGGGTTATGGTGGGTGGAAGTGCTTCCAACAACCTCCAGTCGCCGTCACGCCGTGATTACCGATTAAACCAGTGTGCTGAACAGATCGTGAAATTAACGAGATGCAAGTCCTGCAGCAAATCTTGAAGATTGCTGCCAAACTTTGAATGTCGAAATGGACAGAAGACTCCTAAAACAGGGTGCTAAAGAGAGCCAACTTTTCACGAACGAGCAGACCGGTAGACGGGACGGAGACGGCGACTGGAGTAGAGTTATTTTTCGCAAGAGGCATCGTGTGTGTGTCCCTTCGCTTTGTTGGAGCGGAAGAGCGGTGGTTGAGGCTATATGGCAGCTAGTTGCGTACCATAAGGGGCGGGAGGCGAGGTGTTGTTGATGGTGGTTGGTGTAAGGGTGCAATCGTGTGGATGGCTAACAGCGGGTCGAGACTCGACGATCGGATTCGCAGTAGCTGAAGATGCAGGCGTGGTGGACTAGGTGGTCCTTGACAGTGGCAGGCTATGCAGGTACCGATCGGCTGTCTCTCTCCAACTGCGGTGTGGCTGCGAGGCCGACGGACTCTTTAAAGTGAGAGTATGGTGATGGCGACGGCCTGAGGAGAGCGGCAATGTGACTCCTATGAAGCGCGTGTCTTCTGGGGCGACCTAAGATAAGCTGCTGGCTACGGGTGGCCCCCCTGGTCTGGATGACTCTTCCCGTTAGATTCAGAGTGGCGAAGGCCTAACCGACTGTTGCCGCTAGGTGAAAACAGGTGGCCCCAACTGGCAGTGTGCCCCCTGTGGTTTGTGTGGTGTGACCTGGCGCTCAGCAACGGAAGCCTGAAAACGGGTCTTTCAGAAGGGCTGTGGCGACTTGGTAGTCACCGGGCTGGTTAAGTTGCCTGTGCAGCTCAAAAGGGGGAAAAAATGAGTGGTTAGGTAGCGTTCTCGCGAAGCTCCCTCTTTTTCTCGCCTTTGTTCGACAGGCGGCGGATTCCTTGTTCTTTTTTTGACGGGATGGTGTGGTGTATACGGTATTGGAGAAACACAGAGCCAGCGGGGTGAGTGTGTGACGGTTGCTGGCTGTTGTTGATGAGAGCGGCGCAGAGGCTGACTCTGCGGGCTGCTGGAGAAGAAAGATGATGAACTCGGTGGAGGAATGTCTGTTGGTCCTATTTTCCTTTGTCGCAGAGTGCAAGCGAATGCCGCGCGAACAAGAGAAAACGTTGCTAGACAAACAGGCAGGCAATCAGGAGAACGGAAAGATACTAGAGAGTAGAGATGTAACAAATTAAATTAAGAGTAGTGAGGAGAGATGGTCCGTCCAGATCTCACAAGCAGACTGCCAAAGAGTCGCTTCTTCCTAGATCTTGAAATTGAGCATGATGGCTGCTCGATGGGGAAGAGAAGAGAAGGGAGCGTTTTGGCCTGGCTCCTGGGTGCCGAGTAGTTTTGAATGGGGACTCCCTGGGGTCACTGGGAGATGCCCACAAGTGCCAACGAATTGCCAAACCAGCCCGTCGCATGCACAAGACAACCTTGCTCCCCACTTTGTTATGCACGCTCCACCCCTTCACCAACCCCACCCTTCGAATGTTCCCACCTTTTCCATCGACAGCCTGCACGAGCCACTTTGTTCTTCACTCATTCATGGACAGAACTTCCTTTCACGACGCATTCGCACTTTGTCCCCCCTCCTTTCTGGCTGCAGCAAGACGGCAAGCACAATTTGCCAACATCGGTGGCTGTTCCTATGCCCCGTCATCCCCTCCTCTCGCCTTCCCTCGCCACCATCCTCAGCACATTCAAACACGGAGGAATAATAAACTATGATATACCCTATCTTATCGCCTAGCGCCATAGCTTACTTCCATTCTCGTGCAGCCAGGCCAACCTAGAGGTCATCATCGCGAGGACTCGAGTGTCCATCATCAGTTCCTAAATCCAATCCCTCGCCCCTCCTCCCTCTTCACAAGGCCACCAACTCTCTGCGAGACACTCTTGCAGTTTCAACTCGCCCGTAGGAGGGATGAGATGGCATCGCCCATCTCCTGATTGGCTATGTTACTGCATGGCAGAAGGGGGCGGGAAATCTGGGTTGCAGGAGCGTGGCCAGTTCATCCATCCAAGTTGCTCACAAAGCAGATTACCCCTGTCTAGCGCCTGGACTGTTCTCAAAACAGCTAGCCCGCAACCAAAGGCGCAGGATGCATCATCACTCATCAGCACGGTGTTGATCCTGCCACACAGTCATCATTTCTTTCATTTCTCACCCTCCGCCTTCATCAAGCTCTTGATCGAGGCAACAACCTCACATCAATGAAGCTTGTGGCATGAGAATAACATCGCGATGGTGACATCTTACAACGTGGATTGGAAATGCTCGGGGCTTTGGTTGATTCACCGCAGTGGAGGGAGTGACCGAGAGGCCTCATGAGTGATGAGTGAGGGAGTCTTGGCTGCGAAACATCGTCGACTCACTTTCACAGCTGAGTTCGGAGTGTTGCACAGCTGACAAGGGTTGGTCGGAACGGCAGTCTCGAACACCACCAAGTCTTTCGCGACCACCGAGAGGTGTGTCAGTGAATGCAACACCCCTCCTTCATGGAGATTCAAATGATGCCCAATATGGGTGAGAAGAGAGGCATCTGTTTTATGATTTGGATGTTCATAAATCATTCTCCAAGAGACGTAAACCTGGCATTGCGGTCAGTCATGATTTGGGCCCGCATTTCCTACCATCGACTCGGAAAACTGGATGGTCGGCGACCGGCAATAGACAGAGTCCGTTTCTCGTTGGCCCAGTGCACGCTACGGAGAAACCCTCCAAGGCAGTGACGCATGTTCATTGATCGCTCGCACTCACAGCCGCGTCCCTCCCCATCAGTTCAGTGTCCCTAAATTTATCTTTGACCAGGCATTTACACAGCCAAACTCCATATCCCGTTAGTAACCTACCCAGCAATCATCTAGGTCCATGATCACATCACAAGTCTAGCCTGTTCTCAAGATTGCTTGAACACTTGCAGCTTATCTGCTACAGTTGCGCAATCGTATCGGTGCTCTCCCGTCCCGTCACTACCGGCGCCCAGACCTTCTAGAATGAAGTCGCTCCACCATGCTACCACCAGGGCATCTCCGGGAGGTCTGGAGACCGTTTCATGCCTCCGGACAGGAATGAAATCTCCAGATATTCAGAAGCCTCGATACGACTTCCCAAGTATGACTCTCTCGGGTCTTGATACAAATGTTTGTCGATCATGTGTTGAGTCCAAAAATGGCCATGTCCTGGGTTCCCCGCAAAAGGCTGTGCTCGGGAGTCTCAAGCCCCATCAATGCCCCCTCTCACAGCCAGTCGGGGTACTATGTACATGGTCAACCACTTTTTGCAACCAAGAAACAAGAATATCGTCTTGTCTGGACGAACGAATGCCACCGCTACCTTGGAGAGTTATGGGCTTCATGATGGCTTCGTTCATCGTGGGTTGCGCAAGTCGGCCGTGTCCACTTGCACAGTGGCCACTGGCTGTTGAAGGTGTTGGCTCCCTTTGCCAACCTCAAGATCTGCCTCTCATTCGTCGCCATATATCGCCATATAACTCATAGCTGTACCAAGTGATGCAGTGCTGTCCTGCACACATCACCAAACCCCCACCGAGACACTCGATGGCCAGACGACCCAGCTCCTTCGACGACGCCTATCTGCCTTCCATCCGGCGCTGTGTTGGCACAGTTCGCATGGATGGCTGGCCTGGGCGCGTAACACAACCCTCAAAGTTTTTCTTTCTATCAGGCCTGACCGCAAGATTTGGCCTTGTCGCACCTCAACCGTTGCCCAATCACAGTGGGAACTAACTTCACCCCGCCCCTCAAGGCTGTCACCATGACACCAAAAGAGAGTCGTGAAAGTGGCTCGCCATGAGACGCCCGTTCTTGATGCAGAGCAACCCAACGTCCAAGCACTCCACTGCCAGTGCCTTCTCGCAAGGCAGAAGGACCAGGGGGAATCATCACAAGTGTTGCTTTTTCGCACTTCACGCCGTTCTCGGCCATTCGCTTGTTGCGTACGCTGATCACGCCTTCGGCAAGTTTTATCTTTGCTTTAGTTAATGACCGGTTCTCAAGAGGTCGAGACGAGCTGGAAACCTCTGGTTTAGCCCCGCCCAGACTTTCCTCCACCATGACTCAACTCCAAAGATCACAACTTCCTTACCAAAAGTCAACACATGACCCGCGATATCGGATCTTTTGTCTCGGTCCCTGCCAACACTAGAGGGCTGATGCGATAATACACTATGGAATCACCGGCACCAGCCGTTCATGTGTATGGAGATCCAACATCTCGGTCGCCGATAGGATGAATTGCTCTCGGCGATATCATGGAAATCGCGTTGTCGTCAGCTGTTAAGCATCTCACGGGATCAAACCCGCTGCAGAATTCACATGCTGCTGCTGTTCCCGTCTCCGTGCGGCGGGGTTTCTTACCGCGCGGCCCAGCGGCTGAGTGTCTTGTGTGATACCCGGTTGGGGGCGCTTGTGAGGCGGTCACAGCTAGCAGATCAGTCTTGTAGGTTGCTGATCTCGAAATCATTCCACATTTGCACATATTGCCATACCTACTCTTACGAGAGCCTTCCCCTGTAGGTTGCCTGGACAATAACCACCCGGTAACAATCTAGAGATATTGTCGCGGGCGGCGCCGGGCTAAGTTTACCTGCTTCGGGTGCCTCGAATAACCGCCAAGGCTCAGATCCGACTTGCTCATCATCGTGATGCTCCACACCAACCGGGCTCTCTGGAAACACCATGATGGCCAAAGAAGCCTTTCCAAGGCGAAAGACGGGAGAGATCTAAGCTGAAGCTGAAGGGGGGGCTCCGCAACAATTATTGACTCGGCTGGCCTCGTCCGGCGACAAGAGTCACCACCTGCAAGACTGATCATCCCCTCGACCAAGACCTTCTATTCAGCTCTTTGCCCGGTACTTGGCTTGTCTTTGACAAGCCAATAACACTGCTCGGATTTCCCGAGGCCGGAGAGCAGCATCGTGAATGGGAGGGAGCTAAAAGATGGTGGTGAGTGGTAATTCAAAAGGTTTGAGTCAGCCACCGACCACGGAGACCGTGAGATGATGATGATATGGAATATTGCTCTTGGCTTTCCACAGGGTCCTCCTCCTCCTGCTCCTCCTGCTCCTCCTGCTCCTCCTCGGCTTCGTCATAAATTTGAGGCTGAGTCTTTGTCAAACAAGTTATTGGGGAAAAACCCTTCCCAGTCTGGTGTTGTTGCTGTGTGGTTTGCTTGGGAAAATTGATGCCCCACATTTATCTCGGTGGTTCGGAACCTGTCATCGTTCATTCGCTCTCTCTCGGCCGAAGGATGACGATCGCGGGGACGGGGATGGGTGAGGGACCCGGTGAACTACCGACCAGCTTTCACATCCACCATCAAGTTTCAAAAAAATAAATAAATAAATAAAAAAGGCTTGCATTGCGGACTCCCCGATCGCGCTTTGTCTTGCCGAGGGAAATAGTACAATTCAAAAGGACACTGCCGCCTATTTTGGATGGAGGTTGGAGGAAAGAGAGCATGAGATGCGGTTCATCAAACAGGCACAGGCAACAAAAGTGTGGGGCCAAGGCAGCAGTGGGATTTGGGGGTTGGTTCCACTTTTGACCTCGTTCGTACTGCAGAGCAACACCAGTTATGACCAGAAACTCCGTCGGGAAGATCGGGACAGGTTCAACTATGGGATCTCGGATGTGAGGCTGTTGTCTTGGTTGTATGGGTAGCCAACGTGACAACTGGCCTCGACGAAGACCATGATGAACTACACACATGAGAAATAGGGCTGGAAACCGGAACCAAACTGGGAGGCGAATCACAGATAGGGGATTAGATATTACGAACTTGAGCCATCGGAGATTTGAGTCGAAGGGGAAGGTAGGTGATCATTTAGCAGCAGTTGTGGTACAAGCTAAGTGAGGCAACGCAAAAGGGCAGGTGAGCTACACACCATTACGGGCTTGGTCATCCAACCATCCTTCACGAAAAATCAGCAGTGGATTTTGCCCACATTTGCCCTTGAGCGTAGGATACGAAGAATGTGGCGGTTGAGAGCCTGTCATTCTCGCTCAATCTTTTAACCTTGATCCCTACCTACTTGGTTTCTGAGGGGATGGGTATCTCATGTGATTTCAAGCTTTGAAACTCTCACGAGGGGCGCCGAGGGGGCGTTGAGTATGAGGATGGGAGGGGAAGGAAGGTAAGCCGAAACTTACCGGAGCTGCTGTTGGTGGAATTCTGGCCCGATCGATCGGAAAGCTCTTATTTTCTGGGTTTGGAAAGTGCGAGAGTTTGAACGCGGCGCAGTTGGCTTACGACAATAGTGAGTGAAATTTCGAAGGTGAGGTGAGGGGGGTTAAGGTGAGGTGGGGGAATGGGCTTGCCGTGATTTGCCTCCGTCACTAGAGTGAAGTCACTTGTTCACTTCATTCATCACAGCTAGCTTATTGCCACATCGGAACCTTGCTTGTGATGTGGGATCTTGCCATTCGCGGCGTTGTGCACGTATCTGACCATGAAGGACACGATAGTCACACAGAGGACACATTGACCTGGGGTCAAGCTCGCATACGAGCTCGCATCTGATCGAGCCTTGCTGATGATGATAGCGGGAAGTTGTGAGGATTTCACTTTACACATGAGCAAGAGCCTCATTCGGTGCGGGCTATTTACTTCGTCACAGTCATACAGGTGGCCAGTCACTCGCTCGTGCATAGTTTTTCGTTCACTCAGTCATACAATCTGCCTTCATTCTGTGGCCATCATGTGTAGGCCTTTTGATCTGGCTTCACTTTCATTTCCCCCATATCTCAACTGCCAGGCATGATAATCACGCTCGAGATATGAGATGACAAGCAGGCAGACAGGCAACAAGGTGAGGCAAGGTGAAGCAAGCTCACCATGAGGCCTCACACAAAACCAGTCACATACCTCATGACGTTTTCAACAGCCTGCCTCAACCCGAGTACGATCACCCTCACACAGACTGCCTCACCTGCCTTGCCCGTCTTCCCGCTCTGTGTCCTCCACAACAAACATGCCGGTCGTTCACAACCCCAGCCCTGTGATAATCAACAGGTTACATACCTCTGGCCCCCTACATTGCCCTAGATCGTAGAAACAGCTCGGCAAACATTCTTTACCTATTGGCTCCCGGTGGAATGACAGCACTCGACCAAGAAGTGATACCCATATCACCTCACACAAACTACCCAATGATATGGTATGGTATCATGGTGCCACAAACAAACAAACAAACACTCTTTCCATTCGGCAAGAGTGTTATGTATGAGGAGGTCGTAGACAGATCGGCCGCCTTGCCGCTGCTGAGCCGTGGTGGAAACATGGGGGAGGCCATGTTCGTGACCCATACACACTTTACAAGCCGGCAAAGGTAGGGTCAGAGAGGCCAACCATGGGGGCCAAGGCTCGTCATTTAGATGGAAATGAGTGTGCTTTGTTGACCGTCAGTCTGAAGGCCATGTATGATGATGTGGTCATCATAAGGCTTTGCCAACAAGACACATAGGCACGTAAGAGGGGTAGATTACTGCACTCTGATGAGAACAAGCCCGTGTTTGGATAAGTATCTAATATTGGAACTCAGAGCTTGTGAGGATGATTCGGTGAAGCTCTGCTAGGGTGGAAACAAATCATGATGATTATGCCAGGTACCTTAGGTAGCTATGAATCATACCTGCCTCACTCACCCACATCCTCACTTTGTAAGGGGTAGCTACCGGCAGGTGATCCCACAACTAGAATAAACATGTTATCAACCAAAGTACCTTGTGGCTGCTTAAAGTCATCGTGGATATGTTTACTCACTCATGCTTGATCTCCATGTTCTGCTTCCTTGCCCAAGTCATGAACGAGCAGCTATCATCATCAATCCGATGACCAAGAGTTTGATACTCAGGGTAAGTTCGGTCCATCGTAATAAACTTGCATGACACCCACACTTCAATGGAGGTGCACCAGACCCCAAAAGAAGTACACCGTTCTTGCTCGCCGTGACCAGCCAAGTAATGATCTCGTGCATATGCCCCCCTCACAAGGAACCGAAAGGGGTAGACCGACTCTCATTCTATCCGGCCAGCCAAAAGTGGAAAGATGCCTAATGCAATGTTACAGATCATCACCCCCCAGACTTGAAACTGCAATAGTGACATTGTTTCGGGACAGTCTTCTCAACACGACATAATCCACAAAGTATACACCTAGTTACTCGACAATATTCCCCCCTGACCACGACACCTACCTTACCAGCCCAGAGTCATACCCCCCTATTAGTCTCTGCCAATTCACCAGCAACATGTAGATACATCAAGGAGGGGTATCCGGCAAGTCATAACCCGCGAGCCCATACCTAGGTGCTCGAAATAGCTCCCCACGATCAGATACCTACCTACCAAGGTAAGATGGAGACAAACACAAGCCCCCGGATGAGTCAAGCCTGTGTGGTCACAAACATTCGCCATCATCACAGTTACTCATGCTTGTATGACGCATACGGCGTAATAAAAAAACACCTACCTATCGCGATTGAAAGTCGTGATCATTATTCACAAGACTTATCACTCCCAGCTGACTGCTGTTGGGTTGTTGGGCACCGACGGCGAGACTTGCTCCTTAATCACGAAAGCTTCAGGCAAAAAGTAGAGTCAAAACAACAATACAAGACGGGGGCGGGGGGGGGGGGACTTGACTTACGATTGACGATGAATCATCCTGACAAGGAGTTACAATTGGGCAGCTCAAGGCCAACAAACACCAACCGTCATACCACATGGAGAAAATCTAGGACGGTGTCAGAACTCTAGTCGCCAACAATGTAACAATCATTGCCAGATAGGAGAACAGAACATATCCATTGAGCAAGGTAACTAACTACCGAGGATGTATACGAGCCTCCCAACCCAAACCAGTTCGGCCACCCCAAGACGAAACGCATCCCACCACCCCTTTACTTGAGACAAAGCGATATAATGCAGTGTTCCAATAACAACCAGTGGCGATGTGTCTCCCCTCATGCAGCAATTGATGTTGACACCAACTCAGCATGAGCACCAGCAAGAGAGAAGCTGTTTCTGAAAGCATGGCGATAATCAATGGTCTGGTACTAATCATACAAAACTAAACCACCTATTGGGCACTTGCTGCATATATTCTGCCACTTTTGATGCTTTTCCCTTTGCAACCATATCCGCCGTTTCAGAAAAAAAAAGAGGAAAAAGCAATCGCCAAACTAATTAAAAGTGAGAAGTGGTATGCCAGGGCCAAGCTCAACAAACACCAACAACTCATCTAAGAGGCCATGTAGGTGGAGGCATCAATACCCTCCTTGGGGAACTCACTAGTAAACAGTTAGCAGACAATTCCGGAAGTTGACTAGGAAGGTATTACGTACGGAAGAGCGACCTCGAAGCGTTTCTCAATGGCTTGGAGGACCTCCTTGTCCTGCTCGGTGGTCACGAAGGAGATGGCGAGACCCTTGGTACCGAAACGTCCAGCACGACCGACACGGTGGAGGTAGGAATCGGCATCAGCGGGCATGTCGTAGTTGATAGCGAGGTTGATCCGCTCGATATCGATACCACGGCCGAAAACGTCGGTGGCCACGCAGATACGCTTGTTGAACTCCTTGAACTCTTTGTATCTCTTGATACGCTCCTCTTGGCTGACACCGGAGTGGACGGCAATCGAAGGGAAGTTGCACTCGCGGAGGAGCTTATCCAGCTCGGTAGCGCGCAGGGTGCTTTTGACGAAGATGATGACCTGGTTGAACTGGAGGTCGTCCAGGAGCTCGTTCAGCTTACGGTTCTTCTCCCTCTCTTCAAGGGCAAGATAGTACTGCTGCAAGCCGTGGAGCGTCAACTTGGTGTCCTCATCGACGTAGTGCTCGGTGGGGTTCTGCATGAACTTCCGGCAAATGGGCTTGATCTCGTCGGACAAAGTGGCCGAAAACATCATCACCTGCTTCTGCTGAGGAGTAGCACGGAAGATCTCCTGCACGTCACGGCGCATGTCTGATAGATTATTAGCGGTTTGGCCCAAAAAAAACCCCAAATGATAATCGCCTTACCAATCTGATCAAGCATCTTGTCGCACTCATCGAGGACGAACATTCTGACACTGCCAAGACGGAGGTGCTTGTCGCGGACAAGGGCGTTCAAGCGGCCAGGTGTGCCGACAATGATGTGGGGGTGGGTATCCTTGTTCTTGAGTATCTCGGCATCCTTCTGGATAGGAGTACCACCGTAGAAGACGCCGGTCTTGATGTCGGGCATGTACTTGCTGAAGCGGTTGTACTCGTTGCGAATCTGGAAGGCCAGCTCACGGGTGTGGCACATAACCAACACGGAGCACTCGCCGGCAACAGGCTCGACCTGCTGGAGGGTCGTGAGGACGAAGACGGCAGTCTTACCGAGACCGGACTTGGCCTGGCAGATGATGTCACCACCAAGCATAGCCTGGGGAATGGTGGTCTGTTGAACTGTAGTCGGGCATCGGATTAGAACTGGATACGCAAATTTGGACAGAACGATGTGTGGGAAGGTTCATCAGAAGCCCGTCCATCGTCGCAGCAAAGACATGTCGACCACTCCTCCTCCTACACCACCAATCTTCTCCTTCCAAACCAAGGTGTGCCCCGAGACCAGCTGAGCGAGATGCGGAAAACGCGACCACCTGTCACGGCAACGACGTTCCCACGCATCCGCGAAAACCACGACCAAAGGCCAATGGATGATGGAGACGGGGGAACAAGGTCCCATTGTGAAACCTCCCGAAGGAGTTCGAGGTATGGAGCTCGAGTGAGCAATGAAGCAACCTTGTCGCTTTCCAAGCGCCGACTCAACCCAAGCGCGACAGCCGAGGCCATCTATGAGAGGTTTCTCTTGCGCAAGAGCTCATTGGATTTTCCAGAAGCATGGTTTTGCCGCTCGGGGGCGACCCCGAGCGGTCTGACGGTCGCATGGTGAAGAGTCACCAGGTGCTTGCGCAAAGCGCGTCGACGGCGCGCCAACCAATAGCTCCATCCGATGATAGTCTTGTTTCAAAAATTGCTTTGCGTAGCTTTGCCTTTGCTTGCGAGATGGACGGACCCGTGATGATAGGAAGGAATAACGGGATGCTGGGGATGAGATTTGGTCACTAACCCTCCGAGGGATGTTCGAAACCGCAATCGGCAATCGCACGGAGAAGTTCAGGCTTCAACAGAAAGTCGCGGAAACCAGTCGAGTGAATACCGACATAGGAACCCTTCTTGTCGACATTTTGGGCAGCAGCGGCATCCGCCTTCTTGCCGTTGGAAGCGGGAGCGGTGGTCTCTTGGTTGAGCTCGTCGTCGGAGTAGTCGATGAGATCCTCCTCAGCAGACATGTTGGCTAGTTATTTGGCGAAAACTGGAAACGGTCGCAAGGCTTGTCGTGAAAACAAAAGAGGCGATGGCGCCAAAAGTCGTCAGGAAGAGTCGCGTCTGGTGAAGAAAATAAATCACCGAGTGGAAAGTCGCAAGGTGAGAAGAAAAAGGCGCGCGTTGGTGATGAATACCAAGACTATCAGATGGCGAGGGGTTGGCGCGTTGATGAGAAGAGGATGTCAGAAAAGGAAGGGAGGGAGCAGAAAGGCGAAAATAAGGTTGGAGGTCAAGCAGCACGCACAGCCTCAAAACCTGACCGCAATCAGCTCTAACCACGAGTGGCTTAGCCAGAGCCGGAAAGGTGCCGCTTGGCCCGTGCACTGGGCGCTGGTGGGGCCAACGGAACCGTCAGAGCACAGGCCACCCTGTGACAGTCCGAATTCACTTCACTTGGCCTTCTTGGCTGGGCAAGCTTTTTCTGTGTCAGTTGACATTCACAAACAATCGTGATAAAAAGAAAAGACAACTCGACCTTCATTCCAATTTCCTTTCATTATGGCAAAGGCAAAAAATGGTGGCGGCGGGGTGCAAAACAAGGCCATCTATTCTCGACTATCATTTCTTCAGCAAGCAGCCGTTTTCCTCTCGACAGCAACTCTGGACGGTGATGGTTCCAATATCTCAGAGCTCAACCAGGATCAAAACCCACCACTTCAAGGTGCTGGAAGACGTCTAGCCACTGACTTGCGCGCTGTGTCCCTGAAGAGCCGGATTCGATTGAACCCAGCAGTAAAGCAGAGCATCTGCAAGTTCTGTGACTCGGTCCTCATTGACGGGGAGTCTTGCACTTCGGGAATCGAGAACAAGAGTAAGGGAGGTAGGAAGCCATGGGCCGATATTTTGGTTCGCAAGTGCCATGCTTGCGGCAGGGAGAGAAGGTATCCAGTGTGCACCAAGAGGACAAAGAGAAAGACAGAGAGGCCGGTTGCGACCCCCGATGAACCAGACATGATGGACCAAACTGGATGAAGAATTCCGAACTTGAATGTCAGTTTATAATTTCCTCGGGGATGCATTGGCTTGCTTCTTGTAGATGAGGGACATATTCAAGGCCTAGGTGCCATGTCAGACAGCAAAACCGATGAGGAGATGTCGTCTCGAATCCCCAGGTGCCCTCGATATCCTTCAACATGGTCCTCAGAAACACCAGCATGGTACTACCCAGGTGATCAGACCAGAAGCTCTCAGCGTTCAAGGACACCAACTTTCCAGTGCCACCGTCAACAAACTGCAAGGCATCGGATATCAGTCGTTCCACCACCAAGCACCTGCTATCATTCGTCTCTATCTACACAGCAGTAACCATGCTGCCCACCAAACAGTCGAGCCACGCGTCTTCTGTCGCCATACGACAGAACCTCATCCCAGCAAACCACCCGCATTGTCTCAGAACCTGCACCTACCCGCCGGTCCTTCAGTTTGGTCCGTCGCCGCCGCCGCCGCCTCCTCCCTGCTGCTGGTTCTGTTGCACCGACTCCTCCCCGAGGACTTTACTCGCGGCCATGAATCTGTGATCCGACAACGACGAGCGGATGTCTGTCAGTTTCAACTGTATGTAAAGTACACCAAAGCCAAGTAGGGTTACTCACAACCCCGCATGCCAACTTCCCAGTCCGCGCATGGACTCGGCCTGTACGCTGGTCATACGGAGGAGGTTCTCAGTGTCGGCGAGGTTGTTGGAAAGCTGGGCTAGTTGTTGTTGGAGTTGGGCCTGGGTGGTGTTAGTATCAGCATCAAATATCACAATATCAAGGACAGAGAATGTAAACAAACCAGTTGCCTAGCTTTAACAGCCCCCCCAGATGAAGCCATAGACTGGCGTGTTTGTGTGGGGGCGCTGCCGTAGCCTCGTGATGCCATGGTGTGTGCTGTTGTGGACTGATATGCAGGTGGTCTGATGGCTAGGTAGGCAAAGGACGAAAGGAAATAAAGAAGTCCAAAGTGGGCCCACCGCTATAGTAGCGGGTTACGTTGTGATATTTCAATGTGGGATTTTGTATGGATGGGAATCCCAAGCACGCGTGTTGTTCAGTGATGCGGATGGAACAAAAAGCCCTTAACACGAGAGCGGGGCCGCAGGGCGTTGTCAAACGCGTTTTTGGCGGGGTAGCTTTGGGGGGTTATAGCAGCAACAGCACTGCCTGGGCGATTCAATGCCTTGGACTTACGGAGATAGATAGATGACTTGAGAGAGGCTTCAGTCTGGAGGCTCGGATTTCGACTGATAGCATACTCGAGATATGCCTCTTGTTTTCGATCTGGAAGAACCCTATCATCCATGACTTCATCACACCTGAGAATTCAGACGAGACACCACACAATGGAATCCCGAGGAGATCATAGCAACTTCCATGCAGTACTCTTCAACACAGCATAACAACATCAACAAGAATAACGCCCTCTTTGCTCCCGTATCTGCTCCCCCGCCTCATGCCCGTCTCCCGAGGCGGACAACGTCAAGCTAATTCTTAGTTTCCGTGGCTTGTTGCTGTTCTATGGCAGCAGCAGTAGATCCCCTCAATGATCAGATCATACGCTCAGACCGCTTCGTCGTCAACCAGCCAACCTTGGTGGGATAATGAACCCTTTCAACAGACGTAACCGAGCTGGCTCTACACCTACTTGTTGAATAATTTCCGAGTTCCTGAGTGTTTGGAAGCCTCTCGCCACAGGATCAACAGCACCAAACACATATCAACTCAAAATAGCTAGAATCCATGACCAGTATGTGTTTCAATCTTCAACCATTGTAATGCTTTGTATTTACCATCCAACTTCTTCGGCAAGCCCTTCCTTCCTCCTTTTACTTCTGTGTGTCCGCACGCTTCCCTCCTCTCCCCCCCGGCCCCTTCTCTGGGTAGGTAGGTATTACATCCCTCCTTGAATCAAAGACCCCAAAAGACAAACTGCCGCCCTCTGATAGCCCACAACAAAACAATGCTCGTAGCTGCGGAATGAATTTACCACCAATAAACATTGCATTATCGTCCTCCCTTACCCCCTAAAGCACACACACCGTTGAAACACACAGACAGAAAAAAAAAAGTAACGTCGACCAAAAGGAAAAAAAGTTGTCATATGTACTTTGTCTCTTTCTCTCACTCAACTCTCTCTTCTCTCTTACACAATTTCAACCCAACCTCCCGCACTCTTCACCATTTCCCCTCCACCTCCCCTCCTCGTTTTTGTATCCACCCCTCCTCACTCTCTTCCTTCCCATCAAAAAATGCGATACTAGAAACACACAAAAGAAAAAGAAGAAAAAAACACAAAGAAAAACTAACATTAATTTGATTTTTGTACGCGCGTTCGCCATGTGTGATTGAGAATCTGAGTGTTGTGTGTCAAAAGAAAAAGTCAAAGAATAGTCCAAAAATATTTCCCACTTCTTGCCCTTCCCACAACACGACACACACACACACAACACGGGTTCTCCCGCCACTCCCAACTCTCTAGACCATAGAAAAAACATGTGTGTATAAAACCTGTGTAATGTTCGTATCATTTCCTAACCCGTGAGAACGAATTCCATCTCGAAGCTTTGCTCCCCTCCCCGTTCCTTTCGCTCGCTTAATATGTTGTTGTTGCAATGTTGTGACTTTGTGTGTCGTGTGTAGATGTTCAACTTCTTCCTCCCTCTCTAGACCAAAACTGTCTTCTTCCCTTCGATCGTCTTGCCTCAGCTCGGCTCATGGGTTCGTGGGAGGTGACGCAAAGGTGAGGAGCTTATGTGCCCCATTGGATGGGTGCTCCCTCATATCCAACACCAGCCTCTTAACGCACTCCAATCGGAGGACGGGGGCCTAGGCTGCTCTGACTGCTGGCAGCTGATGGCTCTGAATCAAGGTGAGTGGAATCACCACTGCCCGCGCTAGCACTCGCACTACCGGTCAGACTTCGCACAGTTTTAGTCTTTGGCGGTTGGAGGGCGCTCACCCCAGCGTGCTGTTCCACCTGTTGTGGCGCAACCATGTTTCCGTGACCGGGTGGGTATCGGGGCATGGGTTGTCGCACACCATCCGGAGGTGATGGCCTTCCGTTGATTGGCGGTCCAGCATAGCCATTTGGTGGTGATGGTCGTCCCTTGTTGGTCCCGCCACGCACCGATGGGGTGTAGGGGTTTCCTGGAGACTGGCTGGCACGCCGTACGCTGCCATTCATGCCCATAGGTGGGGGCCCTCCCTGATTGTACTGCAATTCATCGAGACGAGCAGCAGTCAGAGAATTGGCCCTCGAACCTGCGTGCATGGCCCCTCGATCCACGTTACCGTAGCGGTTAGACGTAAAGCCCAGCAGAGGATCGTCCAAGATGTTTTCGTGCAAGTTCGAAATGGCGGGTGTCATGACTTGACTTGAACGGTTGCGTCCAAAGCTAGGCCGGAACCTGCTGCGGGTTGACGGTATTGAGTCTGCCTCTGGGTTTTGGCGGAACTGGGCGGCATTGCTAGGCGCTTTCCTATTCTTCTTTGACGTGACGCTCATCATGTCGAAGTTATCAGGATCGATCATGGGGGCCATCGGCGTGGGGTCGAAGTAGTCTTCTCCGTCCTCGTCGTCGTCATCGTACATGCCACCCGGAGGGGGCCTTTGTGGTGGCGGCCCTCTTCGTGGGCCGGGGCCGGGGCCGGGTCCGGGTCCAGGTCCAGGTCCGATACCAGCGGCAGCGCGCCTAAGTCTCATCTCCTGCTCCCTTAACGCAAGTTCTCGTTGCCGAAGCTGAAGCTCTCTTTCCCTGATGGCAAGGTCTTGTGGTGAAGTACCAGAATAGCCATTTTCGCTCCCCTCGGGGATATCATCATAGACCACCAAGTGGCTGAACTCTTCCAGATCCGTTCCTTCCATCGAACCTCGCCTCGAGGGCACACGTGAGTTTGGCCCCATTCCATTTGGCGGCATTCCATTAGGCGGACGTCCGTAACCGTTTGGTGGACCTCCGTTCATGGGCGGTGGTGGCCGGCGCATTCCAGGTCCGGGAGGGCCCATTTGCGAAGGAATTCTTGGACGTGGCCGGCCAGGAGGCATACCGTTCCCGTTGGGCATACCGTTCGGCATCGGTCGGGGTGGACCTTGAGACATCCGGGGCAGTGGGGAAGGCGTAGCAGACGGTGAGCCTGGCTGCGCTGGCGCCATTGTGGCGTCACCTTTCGGCCGGTTGCGATTGACCAAGTTGAGATTGTGGAGGATGGCGTAAAGCGTTTCAATCCGGGGAACTGCGACTCCAGTTTCTTGCGATAGCCTCATGGGCGATCCAAGATACGTCTCGATTTCCATGGGACGTCGTGCAATGTAGTCTTGCCACATGATGTTTTCGGCCCCATTTCTGGCAAATTCGTCGATCGTGCTCTGCTTGAATTCAGGAGGGAACTTACAGCCCTGCGCGTCCGCGAGCGCCAACATCTCGTCGATAATGTCGGACACCAGCTTGGGCACCCCAACCTTGTCGAGTAACGCGGCATAGCTGGGCGTTTCGAACAAGACCGTCAGTGGGTGAAATGCAATCGGGCTACATCACAGTTAGTCACCAACTGATATGCCTCCAGCTCATCAGCGTCCCCAAGACTTACCCAATAACTCGTTCGTATTGCTGCTGTCGAATATTAGGCGACACCTTGCAATCGACCTGGCCGGTGCTCAAAGTCATGGCCAGAGCCTGTGCCATATCCTCTTGGATCGTGGGCGGAATGTTGGGGTTCTTGTTGGCAGGACCAACCCATAGTTCGGCCGACCCCTTGTGCTCGAATTCGCTTCCGCCAAGTTGGGCCAAGTCAGCGCCGCAAACGAGTGAGAGCACTACGTTTGTCGGGAACCGTTCCTCTATAGCCGATTCGAGTCCGAGTGCGTGGGTTGTGTTCACGAGGATGCAGGTATGTTGAGGCGTCACAACTGAATCGATCACCGAAGCGAGGTCGTAGACATCGGGGAGAGCTTTAATACAGAGGATGACGTAGTCGAAAGCTCCCTCCCTGCGTGTAGCAGCCTCCTCTGGCGTCCGGACGACTGTATATCAATTCCACGTTTTAGCAAATGAAAAACAGACTGGTCGGTCGCTGGTGGGGAGCGCTCATCAATGGGGTGGAGCGTAGAAAAAAGAAGTTGCATACCATGACGGGGCTTAAACCGCTCGTTCCCAAAAACGAGAGATCTGGGCGCAGGACCGTTAGCATACACATCATCGCACGCATGCGTCAAGCAAAGAGGTTGGCAGGGCGGCTGCGTGGGTGAGAGGTAGGTGCTTACTTGAACGAGATGCCGTATTGCGACACATGCTCGTAGCCCGTTTTCCACACGAGGGTGACGTCGCAGGCATTAGTCGCTTGGAGCCTCCATGATAAGAAGGCAGAAACCGGATTCCCACCGACTGTGACAACATTCATCAGCTCATAGTCCGACATGTCTGGCTGCTCTGGCTAGAACACATGTGCAGCAATCCGTTGGGCAGTCTGTTCTTTTTGTTTTTCTGGGAAGAGGGTCGGGGGTCGGGGAAAGAAAACGAGTGTGGTGGTGGTGGTGGTGGACAACGGGAAGGGTGTCAGGGGGAAGAAAGTTGGACGAGGGGAACGCCAGAGAAGCGATGCCCACTCTTTTTGGGCTCCCGTCCCGGGAATTGAGGTGACACTAGGCTGAAGACGGGGATGGGGTGCACAGGAGGGGAATGGAGACAGAGGGACAAGAAACAGGACGAGACGGCGCAGCTCCAATTGCAACTGGCGCCGGTGGATGGGCTACTGACCTGATAGGATCTTGAGTCGGGGTGTCATGGGTGCCATGGTGGAGGCCCGATTCGGGATAGTGGGTAGGTCAAGTTTCGAAGCTGCGAGACCAGCAGCTGTGTCTGGCGGGCAGTGATCGACCAGCAGAACGGGACAAGAGAGCCAGCAGCGTTCTGCGAGCTGTGGTGGTGGCGGTGGTGGTGGTGGTGTGTGTGTACAGGTGTCCCACCAAGCGCGACCAAGTTCCCCTTTGTGGCTGGCTTGTTCTGCGGCTTCCAATCAACAATTTTTGTTTTCTTTTTGGTTTCTCCCGCTGTCGACTTCGAGATCTCGTTTCCGCGGTGGATCTTTGGTTTCTTTTTCCTCTCTCTGCCTTCTCCAATCTCCCCCACACAAGGCGGTCTCACCCACGAGAGGCCCTCTCGGCGCAGACTGTCGCGAAGACACCGGTCGTTCCCGAGATTTCGTCCAACGGGGCTTGCAGATCGGGGACTTGATGATAGAGCGATTGAAAGATATCACACAGACCCTTCGGGTGCTGGCTCAGCAAGCGAACGAGCTCCCCTCGGGCGCAGTAGTTTAGCGGCAGTGACAATTCGACGATCGTACGTGCGCGCTTCGCAGTGGCGCCGGGGGATCTAACTCTTTGGCTAGCTTCAGGCAAATGCAGACGTAGTGCAAAATGTCAAGCGGCGGGCTGGTCTGTACGCCAGCAAACGAGCGTGACGCCTTGACGCCCAGAAGGCCCCGACACAAAATCTAGGGTGTTCCTGGGTTTCGATATGACTGGATTCGGATGTGTGGCTGGCGGCGGCGTGGGCTGCCTGTGACGAAGCCGGTGATGATAGGCCGCAAGAGTTGAAAAGGACCGTCTTTTCCCCCGTCTGTTGCGTGTTGCAGGCCTCGCCGTCTCACACTGTTCTGCTCAAGAAGATGCGGTACAGGATGCGGGATGCGAGATGCTGGGACAGGTATTCTGTAACGAGCGGACGAGCAAAGAGTCGGGGCGGTCTGGGCAACGATCGAACCACGAGCCACGGGGAAGACGCCTGCTGCAGAGAGACTTTCGAGACACTTTGGGGTCGGTGCCAAGGTATGTGCCGTCGGCGCCGGTAGCAGCTTGGGTGCAAACTGGAGCGACTGGAGCGGACTGGAGCCCGAAAAAAAGGTATTTGCAGGACACAAGACAGGCAGTCCCGTCACAGAGCAAAACAAAAATAAAATGGCGATAGGATTCGTAGGGAGGGGACCGGATAATCCGACAGAATCGCAGGCATGGAATTGACCTTTCTCGCAAGGTTGCGTGTTTCGCCCGTCGGGAGTGGATTCTCTCTGCTGGCTGCCCAGGGCTCTCGTGTCGTCTGCAACGGGAGCGCTTTCTGCCCTACCCAGCAGTTGAATGCTCCCTGGCCACTGCTTGGATGGATGCTGCGATGGCAGGCACCGTCCGTCTCCATCCCCTCTGTCAATGGTAGACAGCCCATTCGGGTGCCAGGGGTGCTTTACGGGTAGGAAGGCACGCACGCATCACCGCACCCGACATTCTACTGTTGTGGAAATGTGCATTCGGAAGCCCGTGTAGGTAGGTGGGTAGCAGCCACCAGCCACAGCCTACTAAGATAGATGCCTACCTTACCGCTTGAAAAAAAGATAACAATCTCACTGTCCCTGTCTTCCACGGCGTCGTGGCATTAAACTAAACCAGAATATCTATATTTCTCAATGGTACGGTATCTCGTGCCCTGAAACGCCAACCACCGACCGAGAGGCGTCAGATGTCAGAGGAGAGCACCTGAACCGCCAGCTTCGTTATCAACGCTCCTGATGACAATCGATATTCTCGAACCATCGCCAGCTTCTGAAAATAAAAAAAAGGCTCGCCAGGGGCAGACCCCCACCTGTGGATAACTGATCGCTTGTTCCGCAAGCCGATGCGACCGACAAGACTTTTTCGCGGTCGGCCCTGGACAATTTTGCAGGTGGATCGGAAGGGATGTGAACAGCATCAACAGGGAACAGGGGCCCATTTGGCCTGTGCCTGATCGGTGACGCGGTCTTAGGCGTGTGGCTTTGAGCGGAAGCTAGCCCGTGTTCAATGTCAACATGCCTTTCCAGTGACGTGGGAGGGGCCAGGGGCAACTGAATTTTTTCTCGACCGCTCTGACGCTCTGGGAGGGCGAAAATAGATTGGATGATAGGAGACGGTTTGAGATGGCAGTTTGGCATTTCTCGCCGTCCGAATCCTTCTCTCATCAGAGTGCGAATGGCCCGGAAACAGATGTTGGAAATTCCACATGCTGGACCGTTGGATAAGATGACAGCTGGTGTGGTGGGAGAGGCAACCTGCCAAGGCCAGAGTGGGTGGGGGTTTCCCAAAGCCCGGATTTGGCTTCTTACCACGACTCTGTCGCTGTTTCAGGCCAATGAAGAAGCTCCAGTTGAGGGTTCCTGATGGCTCTCTTCGGTGTCCGCTTACCGTCCGGTGCTCTTCGGAATTGAAAGCAACCTCAAGTCTGGCCGACTTCCAAGAAAATCTTGTAGGCACTGTTCTTCCATGGAATTATCCTGGATTTCATATGGACACAATCTCTCTGCTCGTTCAATAGTCCAATGGCCCAAAACACCTTGGAATGAAGTGGTAGTGCACTAGTTGTCTCTCTGATATCCAGACACTCGTCCTACGCAGATGGATACACGCAGAGGATCCTCTCAAAGGCTCAAACCAACCCAGACCAAGGACAGAATGTTTGTTGACCCTGGGACGGCACACCGCTTGTGGATTGTGTCAATTGTCGAACGATCTGATGACACGAAGCGATGCAATGGTGCTGGCTTTTGAGCTCTGCATTTGCTGCATGCATGTTTGGGATAAGTATCGTATCCGTACCTATGTGTACTTGTCTTTTTATCTGGATGGATGACACGGAGTCCTTTTGCCATGTCGATGTTCGGTATCAAACGATAGGCGAAGTCTCAGACATTACCAAAGGATTGTCTCCTAAGCCGCATATCAATATTGTAGCTCCTCACCAGAATAGGATGAGTCTCTGGAAGAGTTCAACAATTAGAAGTCTATAGTGTAAGACCGCTTATCGAAACATGTTCGGTATTTGCGCCTTCTCCAGCCCCTTGCTGAGCTGATACTGGGCAGTCGCGCTTAGCCGGGTCTGCGGCTTGGCGCCACGCACCTGGCGGACCCCTGTCTGTGATTTCAGAATTTCAGATGAATGACGCACGCTGATGGAACCCTTTCCAACTTTCCCAGCCTCGGTCAAGCGGGGTCAATTGGCGAATTCAAGAACGGCCAATGATCATTCCAGCCTCGCGACCACTCCTGGTGAGACGCGACCATACATCTTCAGTTTGCTTCTTCAACCTAGAATTTCGATGCTCACAGACATCCCAAAGAGGGACTCCTTCACCTCCGAAACGGGGAGCATGCGAGCAACTCGGAGTTCGGTACTGCAATGCAGCCCCTCTCACATCATGGAGCTTTCCCCATGAGCTCCTCTCTTCATCACCGAACACCCATCACAAAGCCCCATATGCATCTGATTTGTATTCAAGGCCAGGTACGGATCCTACCTCAACAAGATCCACCGTTCAAGATGGCAGCACTCCTCTGGCAGGTGCTAATTCCGCTGCAAACGCTCCGTACCAATAGCAAAGTTCTATCACTATCCCGCTATCTCTCAAAAGCTGGGTGATAGATTCCCATCTGCGAAACGCCATCCTCCCACCTCTTCCCGCGTCTCAACAGCCTGGGGGTTTGGCCGTTACGGCGCAAAATCTCCGGAAGCAACCCTCGACGGACAAGCCCTCGACGCCGAGCGCTTGATGAGGCCAGTGTGCCCCAGCCTCAACACCGAAGAGAGCCTCATCTTGGCAGGTCATCGCCACGAAAAGATGAGGATTGGCATGGACAGAGACAAGCCCTCAGTCGACAAACGCCACGGCGGACACCATTGACAGAGCCCTTTTCAGACTGACATCTCGGTGCTGCTTTCCTATGGCCCCGTCAGCCCGTCCGTGGTGGGTCAAAGCGACACTCGAACCCTGCAGGATACAGGGGGTTCGTCCAGGAAACCTGAATGATTTTCCAAGAAAATGGAAATTTGGGTCCAGCTTTCCCTCAGTGAATCCGATTATAGATGCAATTGCACCATTCACTGCACGGCAGTATTGCCCTCCTGCAGTTGGGTCACCCATCATTTCCTTGTACAGTTTGATGATCAGGGCACGCAGGACACCAGGCTGCAGTTGACGCAGTGGGGAACCATTTTGCCGGCACTTCTGATTATCATCTCTTCGGACGCCCAACCGAACTCGACATGCTGCACAGCTCGCGGTCGAGATGGGAGCGGCCAATGAAGAGGCTGTTGGTCAGATGTTTGTGACACAACAGCAACCAAGTACACACAGCGAGAACTCCCCTTGGCAATCTTTCTCTGACACAAAGTTTCCGTGATGCATTTCCGAGCGTCTTACCAAACTGTCCGAAGCCTCGTGAACTGGGCCGAGAGTCGTAGGCACCACGGCCGAGTGCAGGTTCATATTGACGCTTATTGCCGCCGACATGCCCCTATCGTCAACATTGGTCCATGAGCTCGTAGCGTACGGCTAATTGTGCAAGGTGCATGAGGGTAAAGACGGCATTGACGGGGCACGGGCGAATCGGCTAGATACCAACGATCCATCCACAAGTGCCCGTAGTTCGGGACGGCCCAGGAAGTGGTAGTTTCGTCAAGTGTCAACCAAGGCTTGTTGTTTATCTGCATTGCTGGGTTGGGTCTGGTAGACCAACCAGAAGACGATGATATGTAGAAACTGGGAGAACATGCCTTGGTTGCTGTTGATGAAGGCACCACCATGAAGGTTACCGGAGCAGGCGGCTAATAGCTGACCATATGTCAGGTCTGCTTTTTGGCCATGATATGCGCTGTCAAACATGGTCAATGTTGACGTTTTTTTGCCTCCCCGCTCACCATTTTGGTTCCCTTTCAGGAAGCTGAGGGAAGAGATGGACATTGATTGACAATTGACAGCCAATTGTCGGCATATGGGATTATCGGATGGGAAGCCACCCGTTCCAGCCGCTGCCTGCCCCCTATTCTCAAAACCTTGATATTGAGCAGTCTGCTTTCACACGTGGCGCCACTGCAACGTGGTAGAGAATTAGACTGGAAGGAGAAACTCAGCTCCGTGGCTGTTGGGCGTTATTAAATCAAGTAGGTAATATTGACTGTAGGGGCGTGTGGGGGATTGATGACACCGAAAACGATGGCGGCGGCTTTTTTGCTTCTTCTTCTTCTTGCCGTGTTGTCTATGGCTCGGCCCGTAATTGCGTGGCGGTTTGGACAGTGGGATTGTCAATGGAGAATGGTTAGGTGTACTGTGCTTTGTTTTCGTGGGCTGAAGAGGCTTGACTTCTTGTAGAGGGGGGGTGTAGGATGTCTCAGATCAATATTGGGCTGTTGACGTTCAGCCCTGCCCGGTTTTGTAGAAGGATTTACAGAACTTGCAGAGAATGATGGGAGCCGTTGGGGGGATTGGGGATAGTCCTGAAAGGCGGCTTGGGGGGTGTTGATATGTGCCATTCCGTAGTAGATATGTTTCAATAAGGACGGTAATACTCACTGCCGAACCGAGCGACAAGGTGGCGTGTTGAATTTTGAGGGTCGTCGTACGAAAACTGCCTGCCCGAGGGGGCAAGACATTGATAGGGGTTGCAGGAGGCATGTCTGAGATGGGAGGAGGAGGCTTAGAAGGGTTTAGAGACATCGACTGCAGATAGCCGACCGCGGAGTCCGAGGGTTTGTCTCTGGGAGCCCCTTTTCTTATCATGGACTGCCTTGGAATTTGAAAGGGGTTTGAGTGGTTGTTGATGGGTGTTTGGTGAGTTTTGGGTCTTTAAGCTTTCCCCCTTTACGTGGAGGAGGGACGCATGGTCTGATTTGCTCTGGTTCGTACACCTTTATACTGAGGCTAGAGGGAAGTTGAGAATATCCTGTGTTGATGCCGAGCTGGACTTGCTTGTGATATTTGTCTTTCAGTGAGAAAGGGCGAAGAGTGAGTGTGGGACTCCTGGTTGGACATGTGCTTGATCAAGTTGATTCTGCCAATCTTCAACAGCAACCGCAAAATGACTGGTTCTTCATAAACAGGAGTGTTTTTTTCCAGCTCTCGTCGGCCTCGTGGGCATCTCACCTTGCCGTTTCCAAAATCAAGCCCCCAGGACTGTAAGCCTTCAGTTTACGGTGAAAGCAGTCCCTCTTCTTCGACTTGTGCAACTGCCTGTTGACAAAAGACCTTCATAGAATCCCGTCCCAGTGAACAACTCTCTCCAATCACGACGAGAAAGTACGAACCTATCTGCTCCTGTCGGAACCCCCCTTGAAGTATGCCAGTTAGCTCTGGACTGACAACAAGTCTCGTCATTAGAGGTTGTCGATAGCTCTAGGTCTAGTCCACTCATGTTAAGGTACCTCATCACACCATATTTCTCACGACAAAACTCTGTGGAGGTAGGCAAACCTGGTACATGATGACTTCGAGAGGCAAAATCAGACAACACCATACCTTATACCTACAGAAGTTTTTAAAAAAAAAGAAAGAAAAAAGCCACGATCCTGCAGCTCATACAAAAACGAAACCCCCTCAACCTCACCACACCTCATCTGCGGGTTTGTCAGAAAGACCTCTTCGAAAATGTTTAACATCGTTCATCCCATCATGCACCAGACCATAACCACCTTGCAAAGGGCGAGTAGTTGTGGCTGTCTCCCCCTTCAACTACAGTCAAAACCTCTATTCCCAACTAACCGCAACAGCAACAACAAAACAGGGCGTGTGGCTCAGTTGGTAGAGCGTTCGCTTAGCATACTCAAGTCCCTTGACTAAATATCAGGGATCCCATTGTATGCGAAAGGTCCTGGGTTCGATTCCCAGCTCGTCCAAAGAAACTTCATCTTTTGCCCACTCTTCCCCAGTGGGGTACATTCTTTTTAAGTTTGTGTTGAAATTTCGCTTGTACAAGTCAGCATGACGCTTTACTACTGCGTTGGGGGGTTAGGGATATGGTTAGAGGGGATTAGTTGGTGAAATTCGGGCATGAGGCTATCACCAATGTCTTCGACCCGGTCACCAGAAAAACACAATGGATGTGATTTCTGTCGCGGAAGCACGGCTAACCTGCGTATACTGCTTGCAAATTTCATGCTGATGTAAGAACAGAAAGCCGCCATGCATAATACCCAATTGCCTGCTTCTCATGCCTTGCCGTCTATGTGCCTAAGCCAAATCATACACTGCTTTCTCACCCTTCCCTAAGCCTCCAGCTTCTTCCCCTCCATCGTCTTGATGTACTTCGTGTGCAACTCTGCCACAGCCGGAATAATCAAGCTCTCGATTTCCGCCTCCGGCTCCTGCTCCGGCAAGCTCTTCGGATCCAACGGCTCGTCCTTCTCCGCCTCCTTCGCATCATCCAGCTTACCCCCCTGCGGTATCCGGATCCACTTGTCCGGATTCCCAGGACTGACAAACACCACCTCCCACTTCCTCGTCGACAGCAAATTCCCAATCACCAGGTGGTGCTGATACCGATCCAGCGAGTACTTTGCCTTGTGCACAAGAATCTTGGGGTCAGTCTCCAACTTGAAGGAGACGATCATCCCCTCTGGTGACCACCCCTCTACCAGATTCTTGAGGAATTTGGGGACGGGATCAAGGTCAACAACGAGGCGTTTGCTGCGTGGGACGGAAGGGGAGGAGTCAAAGTTGTCAAAGGTTTCTTCCTCTTCCGAGGCTGATGGCTTTGACGGCTTCTTGTTGAAGGCCTCAACTGCGTCGGTGGATTGGATTTTGTGTTCGGACATACGTTCGGGCTTGGGGTTTGTCAGTAAAGAGCAGAGGGGGAGGATAGGGAGAACGTACAGGTACAAAGAAGTCGCTGACTGCCGCGGCGAGATACAGCAACCCTTTAGGCCCCAGCGGCTTCATCAACTGCGCGATGCCGCGGAGCTCATGGAGGTAGTCGGAGATGCTGACAAAGGGGAGGACAAGAAGCATGTTCTTGTCACGAGCCTCACGGTATTTCCGGAGGACGTTGAGCATCTTGCCGGCATCCTCGTCACGGGCTACCACGCTTCCGTTAGGGCCTTCGCGGAGGAAGTCGAGGAAGCAGTCGGTGGCATGGCTGTAGTGGCGGGAGTAGGGGAGGAGGGAGAATTGACGGTGGCTGTTGGGTGTTAGCTTGACTTATACATTTGGAAGAAGATGCAACTGTAGGTTACCCACAGGAAGAGAACCGCATAACCAGCTTCTAGGAAGTACTCAGCGCTAGTCTGAGATCTGAAGTCAGTATTCTTGTCCATCAAGTTCCACCACATCAACTTTTCTTCAGAGACAATGTCCCTAGGGACAAGAGTGGGAGGACCCCTAAACACCATCCCACAATACGCCTCATCATTCTGTAACAACACCAAAACAAATAAACAAAAAATCACTTACAGCCCCTCTCGTACCAGCCGAAAAGTTATCAATAAACCGCACAGTCTGCTTCTCTGTTCATCACCTCGTCAGTACTCACTCATCTTTCCCCGATTCTCACTCGTCCAGACGTCAACATACCCAAAGGCACAGTAGTACCCCCCGAAGTAACCAACACCAACCTCCTCCCCGCCTTGGAGTGAAACTCGATAAAGTCCTTCGCCAGCTTCATGTGCTTCTGCAAGTCCTTCGGCGGCGGGTTGGCGCTGAAATAATGATCCTCCGCCAACGCGGCAAGGTTGGAAGGGGGAGACTCGGAGGGGGTGTGAGGGATCATCTTGGCTATTCTTTCTTCTGCCAACTGACAATGCTGTGTAAGTGTGCGTGGAATGAGAGCTATCCTTAAGTTAGCTTTTTTGCAAAGGTAACAAACACATGACGCTGCCATGGGAAGTATATATCCCCAAATTTTGATCATGACCCCCAAAAAGTGGTCTGACACTGACTGACCTTCTTCAATCCTTCAACCACGGGATCAAATCAACAACAGTTACTGTCCTTGTCCGAATTGAAGTTGGGATAAAACAATCTGGGTACAACCCGGTACTGCCGGTCGGTGTAAGCAATGTTGTGTCTGCTCTCTCGAGTATACAAATTGATGCAAGGTGTGTAAGAGATCCAGTCGAATCAGATAAAGCTGCGCTGCGGCAACAGAGGGGCGGCAAATGCGTCACTTTCGGAATATCCTTGGGAAGAGAAGCTCGCTCGCTCTGGGGATAGTGGGGTAGGTACCCCATGAGTGGACTGCGGGGAACGCCTTCAGCAATCGACTCAAGTGCCCTGGCTGCGGATGAAAGGGGGGATCAATTGTTAGGTAATTCGCACGTACATTACAATCGACCGACCCGAATGAACCGAGTCAGTCCCGTGAGCTACGGCAGGTGCATATCTGCATGCTTTTGTTTTGTTCTTATGTCCTGTTCCTGTCCTTGATCATACATACATCAATCAGCCCTTCTCCCCCGCCGGCTCATCCAATATCTGTACAAGTCCTCTACGTCATGATAATACAAAAATATATGCTTGTCCTCCCTGTTGAGATGAGATGTCAAAGAAAATGGCCAATACAAGAGGATATAAAGTGGTGCCTTTCCTTGTCCTCCCTCCAACGCCCCTGTCTATTACTCGCTTTTGCCCCTTTTGTATGCCCCCAAACGCCAATGCCAACAGCACAAAAAGTGAGCAGTAATTATCGCACATGTCGCTCCTCCTTTTCATCTTCAGAATGGCCACTTCTTGGCCTTGGGCTGCTTAGCGTTCTTGAGCATGTTCATCCTCCTCAACCGTTCCCGGTTGGTAGGATCAAGGAGCACGTCGGTGCCGTCCTCACGGTACCAATGGCTCTGGCCGCCTCCTCTTCGCACGTCGTGAATGTTCATCTTGACCCGGCCGATCTTGCGGAGCTTGACCAATCCATACCAGCAGACAATGAGCGAGGCAATGGATGACACTCCAGTGACGGCCCCGAAACCCCAGTTGGTTTCCTCTATGAAATTCTCCAGGTTCATGCCGTACAGGCCTGCTAGGAAAGTGCCCATGGCAAGACCGAGGGTGCCAACACTGAACTTGAGGTCGAGAAGCATGAGCGAGTTGCGGTTGGCATCGAGAATAGCACGGATACTAGAGCACTGTCAGCTGGGTTCGACCAAGAACAAAAAGATGCGATATGCACATACATTTCTTCCGTGTTCCTGATACTCGAGACCAAGTTGCTCGCCTCCTGCACCACTTCGTCGCAAATCTTGTTGTACGATTCCAGCAGCAATTCAACCTCCGTGTGGTCGTCCTCCCCACGGAACAAATCATGCGTCTTCTCAGTGAGATACATAGCCGCAAGATCATCATCCGCCTCAAGCAACTCCTCAATAGCGTCCCTGACCAACTTTGCCTTTTGCTCAAACGTGCTAACCCGCTTGGACAAGACGAGCAAAATCCGGAGCTTCTCCCGATCAATATCGTCCTCCAGCTCGCTGAGCACACGAATAACGGGGTCCCGCACCGACTCAAAGTCAGCTTCCAGCTCCGAAGTAACCGACATCAGCACCGCTTCCAGCGCCCTGAACTCGTATGGCAAGCTATTCGCCCCGGCCGCCTGCTTCTGCTGAAGCTTCCCTTGCAAATCATACATAAACGCCGACTGGGGATACGACGACTTTGACCCGTACACATCAAACAGCAGCACCCGATCATGCTTAATCAGCACCTTCAAGTGCAGCAAGTTGAGCAGAATCGCCGACGGTCGAACGAGAATATGTGGCAGGTTGGACGAGTCAATCTTTCGGAGATCGCGAGGTAAGAGGCCGTACTATTTCGCATACAAAGCCGTTAGTCTACCAATTCCCCCTCCCAATTAGTCTTCTAACTTCTCATACCTTCGCAATAAGCTCACTCTTCTTCAACTCGCCATCCACCATGATAACATCCCCATTCCCATCCACCTCGGTACACCTCAACCTCGGATCCAGCGCCGCCTTGCTCGTCAGCGCCCTCCTCTGGAAAATACTCCCCGACTCCTCCTCCAACTGCACCGGCAAGTCATCCTCCTTCAGCAGCTCCCTCGCCTTCTTCGGCGCACTCCCAAACAACCAATCCTGCCACGACCTCTTGCACGCCACCTCTTCCTTTTTGACCGGTGGTTTCTTTTCCCCACCACTACTACTACTCGAAGCCCACCTCTCTTTTGCCGCCCCCGGTTGTTTCCTCAGCTCCAGCTGCGGCAAGAACCCGCCCTGTCTCTGTTCCCCTACACCCCGACATCTCGTAGAGACATTGCGCCTCGTCGAAACACCCAGGCGAATAGTATATTCAGCATAACACAACCCCTCGGATTGGGCGTGCAAATATCGAAGGAGACTCCGCGATGGCGTTGCTACTGCTGCAGGTCTTAATGCCGGAGGCATCGCAGCTCGGAAAGGGGGGGGGAGGGTCTGGTGCGGCGGTAGTGTTTCTTTCTTTTCGCTGTCGGAACTTGGCGAAAACAAAAAAAAGATTCCCCAAAGTCTGAACTCTCGATGATGCAGGTCCCCGCAGGGTCGGTCTGTGCGTTGCTCGGCAGACTGTAAGGGTATCTACCACAACAGTCAGGGTTAAGTGTGGGAAGAGCATCAATCCTCGTTATTTTCCACCCTCAGGTGAAGAGAGCTAGAGAAAGAGGTGAAAATCTTTGTTGCAAGATGGGAAAAGAGAGGTTCAAATTCTGCATAAAGAGATGAGCAAAAAAAAAAAAAAGGCAAAATTTAAATTGAGATGCATCAGCCGTGAATCGAACACGGGGCCCATCGATGGCAACGATGGATTTTACCACTAAACCACTGATGCTGTTTTATTGGGTGATGGTTCACTGCAGAAGCTGGCACTATATTTGAATCTGTTGCATGCGGCCCCCTTTCCTCGGATGACCTGCAAGCACACCAACATCTTTGACTACTCTCTTCCCTACAGGAAACTCCCATGATTCATCCACCACGATACACGAAGTTAATACGAAGCTTTCGTAGCAGTAAATAATATTATGCATTGTAATAACTATGAAAAATGAAGAACCGGGGAATCACTAGAATAAAACCGACGACTGAAGACAGTAAAGGCCCACCTCTGTGGTAAACCCATCCATCCTCTTCGAGAAACAAAAACCATGACACTAAAACGTCTGAGGGAAAAGAAGAACCCTTCCAAAGTACCCCGTTCCATCCTTCTTTTCTACTGTCTCCAACTTGTAACTTTAAAACACAAAAAAGAAACAATACAACCACACCATCATTACACTTCGTCATCCAACTCACGCACTCTTCTCCGTGTGCCCATCATTCAACAACATCTCCAACACGATCTGACCGCCGGGAACCTCAGGGTGGCTCATGCAAATCTTGACCGTCCCCTTCGAATCCGGCTGCCCGCCATTAGCTGATCCCACCAGCCCGGGTGGCAGACCGCCAGGACCGTTTGCCATGCCGCTTCCTGTCGGCCCCCTAAATCCGTAATCCAAACACCTCACATCTCTACCCGCAATGATCTGTCTCAACCTCCCATTCTCCGCATTCCTCACCTCCACGTAATCATCATTGAACAATAGCAAGTACTGTCCAAACATGGTCGCCGCCTTTGCCTTCTTTTGCTTGCCCGAGTACTCCATAATCAGCGTCCGGCTGATTTCTCCATGCTTATCAACATAGACCGCACAGTCCTCATATGTAAGCAGGAACTCTTGGTCGTTGAGCTTGAACATGCCCAGCGGTCTCTGATTGATTCTTGAGGCGATGTTGGCAATCGCTGGCGCGCTCAGGTCTCGAGGAATCGACTGCGTAACCTTCTTGTCGAGGGTCAACAGCTCAAAGCCCTTGGCCGAGGCAACAGCAATGTAGGACTGGAAGAGATTGAGAGAGAAGCACTCGGCGGGGATGTAAAACTCGTCAAAATCGCGGAATGATTCTGTGGAGCCGGCGCCGCCCTTACGGCCGCCAAAGAGCCGGGATCTCTTCTCAGTTGCCTTTTGGAAGACCGGCTCGAGAACCTTGAACGTGTTGTGCATGCCCTCCTTGCGCTTGTAAAACAAGAGAGTCCTATCCTTCATGCGTGCCGTGGCGAAGAAAGCGACGTCCTTGGCCAACCGCTGAGGTGCCCGGCGGGGGTTGTCATGAGATGGTGCAGGGAAATTGGAGACGGGGGCAACCACGTCGAGAGGATATGAAATTAGCGATCTGTCGGCGATGAGGAGACAGACCGAAAAGTCTTCCAAGACGGTGATTTGGGTGACTTTGCTGATTTGCACCGTCCTCGTCCAACCGCGAGGATTTGATGACTCCGATATGTACACGCCATAGTCCGTTCCAATGGCGATCATCGACTTGCCAAAAGCAGTGAAGGCGCAGGCGCAGTTCACGGTAGCTCTGCAGACTGGTGGAGGTCCCCGACCTGGGCCATACACCTGCTCCATCTCTCTGATGGCTCGATCCAAGGGAGTACCCCGAATCGATACACTCGGTTGCCTGCCCATAAGTGAGATAGAATCATAGGCGAAGGCACCATCAGATAAGATGCGCAGCCGGAATGGTTCCGCATTCTGCGCATGCAATGCTCGTGCGTGTCTGGTCTTTGCTTCAATAATGGCTGAGCACCAAGCCGCCCTTTCCTGGGCCGACGAGGCATAGAGGGTGTAGATCTCGTGACCGAGATGCTTGATACGGAAGGGGTAGATGATCTTCCCGTCGTCTGTGCCACCAGAGCCTAGGCGAGTAACCGTACTCATAGATCCCATGGAAGAACTAGTTCCGGCATGCTCAAGCCCAGGACGCTCTGCCCCATTAGAGGCCACCTTATTCAGTTGCGTACCCGAACCAGCTGCGACCGCTGTTCTGGTAAGCGGTGCTGTCAAGCTCTTTTGTTTGGCAACCGGATCGTCATTCAAACTCTCCAAGAAGAGCAGCGGCATTGGAATTGGCTACATCGATTGTCAGCATCAGACATGAGTTGTAAATAATGCCAGGAACATTACTCACCTCCTTTGAAACATCGTACTTCTTGTCACCCCTCCCATCCTTTGAGGCGACACCCTTGGCCAGGATAAAATAGTGATCAAAAAGAAGCGCGTGTGTATCAACCCAACGGACGCCTTTTGAGCCCTGTCTCTGTAGCTCGCCCTGCTTGAGTAATTCTCGGCCGAGATGGTCGAGGTTCAGTACTGACTGGAAACCTGGACGCAGCACTAACTGTCCCTGAAGTTCAATCAACTCAACCTTCTTCGTCATCTCAGCAACCTTCTCATCACATTCGTGAGTGACTGCTTTGATTTCCTCCAGAGCCTTGACAAGATTGGCCTTCTCCTCGCTTTCGCCAAGCATGTTCTTTTTGACCGTCTCCAAGAGAAGGCCGTATCGTTGTAGCCGGGTGATGGGTGCCTTCACGAATGTGGTCCATTCGAGACGCTTCGAACGCTTGTGATCTCTGACCACGTCGAGGAACTGGCGGAACAAAAGATTTCTGCTCGCCTCTCTCCTGATCAAGTATGTGGCGTGTGGGAATGATGAACAATACTCGATGTAAATCGGCCTGGCCTTTCTGATCCACTCCCTGAACAGATCACTAAAGCCAACAATCCACGGCCCTTGCTCCTGTTGGCGATACTTGAGCTGAGAAAGGAGGTGTTCTTTGTTGATTTGCTGGACGGCATCGACCTTTCCAAACACGGCCTCGAGGAACTTCTCGAGTCTGTTTGCCGCAATAATCGGTGGCTGGTAGACCCGAAGTTGATCCCTATAAAGCAGCCGGAGAACATCGAGCTGGTTCATGAAGTCTTCCTCGCCCGTGACAATTTCGTGCAGAACGTTCTGTCTCTCGACTTCCTTCTTGTGCTTAGATTTGATGTCTTCCATGGTCACGCCGTGGAAAGTGGCCCAGTCAAGGGTGGGCGTGTCGTCCTCGGACATCATGTTGTCCAGGTTCACCTTCTTAAGCGTCCGGCCGCAATGCTGGGAGTAGCATCTCACAGGAATGCCATCTCCATGCAACCTGGGGACCATGCCCTCATCTTCATGCAGCTTTGGAGCGTAGCACCCAGAGCCAGTAAGTTGCCACAGCACACCGGACAGTTGACCTTTGCCGAACTTGACCCATTCTTCCTCGGGTATCAGGATTCCAGCCGCAAACATGGATTCGACGACGTTGGCGCTCAGAAGCTCAGCGTCGGCGACATTCATGGTCGGAACTTTAGCACAGAAAAGCTTGAGAACGCCCTCTTCGATGGTCTTCCTTTTCAGATCTGGCTCGCCCTCAGCCATCTCGCGGATCCAGGCAGTTATGCCACTAAGAGCCCATGGCTCTGCACACCGCTTAATATCGGCGGCATTAAGCTTCGAAGGAACAAATTTCTTCCGTCTTCCAGTGGGCAGGGTGATCATATCATAGCCAGCCATGGAAGATGGAGTACCCGTCTCATAGCCTTCATATGCGGCGCCTTGTGGGTAGGGAAGCTGGTGTTGCTGCGACATCTGCTTCTGCGCGCGCCTCCGCTCCTCGGCGGCATCTGTCCTAGACCTTGCAGGTGCCACCACTGGAGGGGTATTGCTGTGGCTCGACAAAGATATCGACCTTTCAACTTGTTGTTGCTGGATCGCATGTTGACCTGGATACATCTCGTGGTTATCAGGCGGATAAGGAAGTCGAGAGTCTGCACTCAGAGAATGATTGTGCTGATAACCGGCTCTGTTTACCAGATCTGGGGCAAGGTGGGAGCCACTGTGTCGTCCTTCTAGACTTGGAGGGATGGCAGGCAGAGGTCGGTTAGACAGGCCGGGGTGCCAAAACATCTGATCGTACGGATACTCCTCTTTGGAAGGGGAGTCACTGCTCTGCCGCGAGTGAAGTGACACCCTCTCATCACCCTCATCAAAGCTCAGACGGTGGACCTGGGGCTGTTGGAGACCACCAGTGCCGCCATAGTCTACCGATGCTTCGGAAAAGGGTGCATAATCAGGGACTTGTCCCGGAACTGGGAGCGGTCGTGGTCCGTCATGAGCTGTAGCTGGCGGCGAGTTGATATCGTTTCCATAATGAAGATTCCCAGCATAGCCGCCGCCATACATTCCTAGATCCATTCCACCATAGTCGCTATCAGTGCTAGGCTGCTCCTCCGCAGGCGTAGAAAGCTGAGATCCCAACGGAGCAGGGATTGGCGTGCCTGCTGAAGGTGCAGACGAAGACGAGGGTTTGTAATCAGGATATCCAGGGAAAGACATTCCGCCAAACCTTCGGTCGTCAAGATCATCTTGCATAGCCTGGAGCCCCGCGGCGCCCTCAGGGTCGCTTTCCTCGGAGTCCCAGTTATATGTCGTCGAGATATCATTATTGCTAGTCAGAGCAGAGGAGGCATCGGATGGGTGTCGATTCAACAGCGAGTTCGTCGCAGTTTGCATCGTAGTGCCAGACGCATTAGAGCCATAACGCCGCACCATGTCCAGGTTATTGTCAGACAAAGCGCCATTAACGGGCAAGGGCCGCTGCCCACGGGAAGGAATCCCAAGGTCAGAAACAATATCCTGGATCAAGCTGTCCTGAGTAAACCGCGTGTCGCTATTACTTCGTCCGTTCGCTCTCCAACTTGCTCCCTCCGTCAAGTCGTCCAATGGGCGGTTGGGAAGAGGAGCATTTGTTGGGTGGCGGGATATCAGAGAGTTTTGATACCCATGATTTGGGGGTGAAGGTATTGGCGATGTGTGCGAGTTAGATCGAGAGGCCCGGTTGGCAAAAGAGGTGGGATCTGGAGAGTATCCTGGACCAACTGGAATCTGGGAATGCGTTGGATAAGGTGCTTGTGAGCTCGAGGCAGAGAGCCCAGGGCTCTGTGGGATGTTGGCTCCATTGGTAGCATAAGAATTGGAGTATTGCTGTCCGCCATAATTTGCCGGGTACTGTGATTCACGGGGAGAGCTAACGGATGATGGAGTTGGTGCTTGTTGGGCATACTGCGGACTGTGAAGTGTTGGCTCAAAAGAAGAGTTTGGAAGCGCCGGAGAAGTAGTGGCCGAGGGCTGTTGAGCCCCCCCATAACCTGAGGGCGGAGGAGGAACATAGGCCGCAGACACATGAGGGACCGTGGCTGAACTGTAATTATAACCATAGTTGTTGTTATTGTACCCTGCAACGGTAGAGTGCCTTTGCGGAACCACAGCAGTGGCATTCGCATACGCAGCTGGGTTGTACGCTTGGGGAGTGAAGTTCTGAGGGGGCGCGTTGTAAGTTGGGCTCGCTGTGGGCGTATATCGGTTCGCCGCTGGTGATGGGTGGTATGGAAGTGAGGTGGATTGCGATCGAGCAAAATGCTGGGGATTATACGTAGAATGTGATGGGGGTGGAGGCGGGACGTTGCCCTGGAACTGTCGTTGATAGGCAGTGTTGGGGGTCAGCGGAGGAGGTGGCATGTAGCTTGCTCGGTTCGACGGCGGCGGCGGAGGTGGTGGTTGAGAATCTACCGTCGGACTCGTTATGAAAAGCTCGTCTTCACCCCTCCCCACATTGTTGTTACCGGTGTAGAGGGGCTGAGGTCTGGGTGCGGCCACATCCTGATCGAAGAAACTCGAGTCGTCCCCGTTATTGAAGCTCGGTTGTCGTTGAGGGTATCCTGCCGGCTGTTGTTGCGCACCGCCGGCAACAGGATACTGCGCGGGGGGCACATGGCCATAGCGGCGCGACTCGTCCCCGCGGAATGACATGGTGATGATTGTAGAGACAAGCGCCGGCTGGGAGATATTTTTGACACTGGAGAGAGCGCAAAGGCTGAGAGAGAGAAAAGGTTAGGCGCGGCGATACCTCGTCCTCCCGCGCGCAGAGTACTACCGAGCGATTTCGATACAAGTGGACACCCTCGCGAGGGTGACCTGGTCAAACGACGGCAACCTGGAAGGTTCAGTGTAGGATCTTAAAAGCGAACGGGCCAGGGGCAATGTAGATAGGGTATATGGAGCTCAAGAGTCAATCGTAAGACTCAACCGCGTGCAACCGGCCTCCGCATATGTGCGCTACAAAGCACGGCGCTCGAATATCGATTATCGGCGACGGTTGGAGGCGTCGACGAAGTTATCAAGACATGGTTCGGGTCCCTCGTGAACAGTGGATCGATGCCCTGGGTCGTGGGTCGGCAAAGTGGATGCAAGAGGTAAGACGCCGTTACAAGGCCTGCGTGCCTTGTGCCTGTTCGCCGGGCGGCGTGTGGGTGTGTGGAGGTGGAGTCCTCTGGCTCTGGCAAGGTCACAGTCAACCCTGGGCCTTGTCACTGGGCAAGTTGCGAGGTGCTGTCGTCAGATGCTGTCGGGTGCTTCTGTAGCACACCAGCAGATGGTTGAAGAATGGCAAAATGAAGCGCGAAGCACTGTGGTGCTAGGTTCTCGTGATCGCCCCGAGGTTTGGGATCTCAAACAGCGGCGACCTGTGTGAGGATTGAGTTTGAGTTGTTGACTGCAGGTGAGCCCAAGCCACAGATGGCTTGAGCCTTTTCCTCTTCGTAGCGTCGCAGACGGAGACGGGAGTCAAAAGAGGCGCAGGGCCCGAGGCAGACAGTCAGGCTCGATGGCGACAAAAGGACGGCAAAAGAACCCAACAAGACACATATAAGTTGACACGAAGAACTGCTAATCTTGGCCCTTCCCGTCATTCGGTGTTCCCTAGTAATGATCACTGCAGTCTCCTCGGCTCTTCACCCTCTTCAAGTCACGTTGGCCTGGCGAATAATGGCTTTTGTCGCACAGCCAGCACTTTTTGGCTCGCATGGGTCGGAGTTCATCCTTTCGTGTTGAGGACTTGGCTTGGGACCTCCCGTTCCATAGCCACTTATCACCATCTGGCTGTTGTTCTCCGTCACATCAACGTCTACAAACCAATAAGCCTTGAATCATGACGGATAACGGCATGTAAGTCTATGTGAGAGACTACAGTCACCAGTCGAATAGACAATCTACCTGTATTGAGCACGTATGTTATATATTAGCCCAGATTGTGAGTAAGTCGGGGCGCCTCTCGACCACTTATGATTACATGGCGACAGCTTGATGTCACAAGAAAACGGTGTAGTAAACAGCATGATCCTCGGCACGAGGGCACTCAAAAATATTCGAAAGGGTATTTACTACTCTCCAAGGTCTTGATTCTGCATTGGGGTCTACATTACTTTGTCCACATCAAACGTGCCATACATACCATAGACAGTGGACAGAATCTAGATCAGCATGCATGTACCGGACCTCAGTATGCGCCACATCAAAGTTTGCTCAGATATACATCAACCCAGGTCCTGCGAGCCATGTGGTATTCAAAAATATAGACCAAAAATCGGGCCCTCCCACGCTCATCCTTCTCGCGAGATGTTTTGAGGCGCATCTCGAATACATACATCACTTTCCGTCTCAGCATTAGGATGAGGGGCACAGAGGGGTTAAGTGCCAAGCCAGGCACTGGCACCTTCCAACTAACACACGACCGGGGAAGCATGGGAGATTCCCAAATACCTATCAGAGGGCCCAGAGAAATCTTTGGGTTGTTTTCCGTGTCGCAGTGCCGCATTCGAAGTTTCGAGATGCTCTGCTGTTGGTAAGCGCCGCCCTCGAAATAAGGGGGATGACGGCAGTGCGGGGTTCAGCTAGGTCTCCGCCGCGGGAGCTCTCTCGTCATCCATTTGGACCCCACTTCACCAGCGGTCCGATCCTCGGGTTTCCGAAGTGTCCCCCGCCATTGCTCCCGCGTGTGTCTGGATTTTCCCTTCTCAAATATCGCGAGCTTCCCCGAGTATCTTGTCTCTTCCGTCCAGCTCAGGCACTCCCAATCGATCACTCAACCTCAAGTAAACCTCCAACCTTCGAAACAAAACCGTCAAAATGGTCAAGGCTGGTATGTAGTTTTTGAGTCTGTACAGATTTACCCCACCTTCTGCACACTCCTCGTCCTCCAGAGCTGCCCGTCCATCCTAACTGAGCAAGATCCGACAACCTTGATGGGCACTTTATCTGGCCGGAAGGGTTCTCGAAGCCCTGGGAGGAGGGCTGGCTGGACCCTGCAGGAGCGGCCCGGTGCAGAGGCGCTTTGGTCCCTGGACATGCTGTTGCTAACACTGGGGATGTATAGTTGCTGTCGTCCGTGGTGACTCCAAGGTCTCCGGCTCCGTTGTCTTCGAGCAGGAGACCGAGAACGGTCCCACTACCATCACCTGGGACATCACTGGCCATGATGCCAATGCCAAGCGTGGCATGCACATCCACACCTTTGGTGACAACACCAACGGCTGCACCTCCGCCGGCCCTCACTGTAAGTCATCACATATTCATACCTTCAGCCTTGGACTCTGGGGAGCCACTTGCTAACCACCAATTCCTTCACAGTCAACCCCCATGGCAAGACCCACGGCAACCGGACCGACGAGAACCGCCATGTTGGTGACTTGGGCAACATTGAGACCGATGCCCAGGGCAACTCCAAGGGCACCGTGACCGACAACCTCATCAAGCTCATTGGCCCCGAGAGCGTCATTGGCCGCACCGTCGTCGTCCACGCCGGCACTGACGATCTTGGCAAGGGTGACACCGAGGAGTCCCTCAAGACTGGCAACGCTGGTGCCCGCCCTGCCTGCGGTAAGCTTTCTAACTGGAGAGCAATACCCCTGATAGGCCATAAGCTGACTTGTTTTGTTTCAGGTGTCATTGGTATCTCTGCTTAAGTTATTTGGTAGCGCTTTGTGAGTTGATAAGTCGGTGCTTATGGGACGTGGACCAGCCGGACAATATTACTTTTGGATAAAACCGTAGTAATTGGTCGTCTTGGTTGCCTTCATCAAAGTCACTCGAGATGGCACAAATAAAAATAATAATTTTCCCAAAAGCCATTGCTGCCCTGTATAAGTTGCTTGGAACTACGTATGACGAAATAGGGCGGGGTAATCACGGTGCGCGCGCAGGTATCGACAGATCCCAGGTCTAAGCTCTACTTGACCTCAAGCAGTTTGATACAGCTACTCATAAAATGACTGTCGATAGAAACAACTATCATGGTTCAATGTGAAAGCTCTCCAAACATACTTGCTGTCATCCAAAATTAAAATACCAGCCATTGATCAGCCTGTGTTCATCAGCTCCTGCACTGTGTTTGTGCTCCCCGCACTTCACACGTCACACGCACTGTGTGGTGTGGTTTGACGGCCCCGAGACACCTTTGTGCCAGATAATTTTTCGGGAAAGAGCAATGGGCTCGACAACCAATATAAACAAAACATAAGAACTCCTGTAGGCAGTTTATTCAACTCCAGAAGCTAGATACATATGATGGAGTGAAGTTAAAAAGAGATGCTTCGGTTATCTGGGGCGGCGACTTGCCTATTTTTGCCTAGCTCGGGTGGTTCAAGTTACACAAGCAGCTGGGAGCTTGAGCCCCTGAAACTCGGACGAGTCCCTTGAAGCCTACCCCACAATATGCATATGGAGCCAATCCAAATTAATGATGAAAGCTGTCAAATAGCCACCACCTCACCTCTCACCACGCACCGCCTGTTGAAGTGTAACTTAAGCCTTCTTCAACTCTTTCTGAACATACTCACATTCTTCTTTCTTGCTGATCATCCATCAGCTTTCTTTCGGTATGTACACAGTCAACCCTTCCTGGGACTGGGCATCTCGGCGCCCACCATCCCATCCCATCCCATCCCCAACATCAGTTCTAGGCATTTTAGTGGGGGGCATGACACGACGGTGAGGGCTGCCTGCCCAACGCCTTCGAACTATCACCAAGCCGTTATCATGCTCCGAACTCCTCATCCCAAGAAACAACAAAGAACTATCTGATTGGAATACCGCCATCGGATGGAACTGTCGACAAGTGATATCAGCTGTGGGGAGCAGTTCAACTGACAATTCACTATATAGAGGTGGGATCGTTGGCTCTCTTGCCACTTGCTTCCCTTGTATATCGACACTCCGTTTTCCCACTCACCTGGCCATTGGTTTTCTAAACAACACACAATTCCATCATCATGGCTGCTCACTTCGCCAACGTCAAGTCGGTCCTCAGCGGAGACACCTTCGTTCTCTCCAGCCCAAACAACCCTTCGCAGGAAAAGACATTCTCTCTTGCTTATGTCTCTGCTCCTCGGCTCAGCAAGGACGGTGATGAGCCGTACGCTTTCCAGTCCCGCGAATTTCTCCGGAATTTGACCGTCGGAAAGCCAATCAAGTTCACTGTCTTGTGTAAGATCTCATATCTCCTCATCATGTACCGTTGTCACTGTCTCGCATATTGGCTGACACATCTCAGATACCATCCCCAACTCGGGCCGGGAATACGGTACTGCTCAGCTTCAAGACGGCACCACTTTCCCAGAAGCCTCTGTCAAGGCTGGTTGGCTCAAGGTTAGAGAAGATGCTGGCAGAAAGGAAGAGTCCGAGGCTGCCCTGGCCATGATCGACACTCTCCGAATCTACGAGAGCGAGGCCAAGGACGAAGGCAAAGGTCTTTTTTCCGGCTCTGGCGGTGTTATTGAGGTCCAAAACGATCTCGGTGGGCCTGACTTCCTCAACAAGTGGAAGGGAAAGACGGTGGAGGGCGTTATCGAGCGCGTTATTAGCGGCGACCGATTGCTCGCTCGCCTACTCCTCACCGAGAAGAAGCATTGGCAAGTCATGACTCTGATTGCTGGCATCCGCACCCCATCGACGGCCCGAACGAACCCATCCAACGGACAAGTCCAGCCGGCCGAGGAGTTTGGAGATGAGGCCCGCGCCTTTGTCGAGTCTCGCCTCCTTCAGCGCCAGGTCAAGGTCAAGATTGTGGGTGTGAGCCCACAAGGACAGCTGGTTGCCGCTATCTTGCACCCCCGCGGAAACATTGCCGAGTTCCTTCTTCAAGAAGGTCTCGCTCGCTGTAATGACTTCCACTCCACCTTCCTTGGCCCCGACATGGCTCCTCTTCGGGCCGCAGAGGAGCAGGCCAAGTCTGCCCGTAAGCGCCTCCACAGAGCGTTTGTTCCCAAGGCTACCGACAACAAGGAGGCTGAGGCCACCGTCACGAAGATTGTTGGCGGCGATACCATCATTGTTCGCAACAAAACCGGTGCCGAGAAGAGAATCAGCTTGAGCAGTGTCCGCGGGCCCCGTGCCGGGGAGGCTTCAGAGGCACCATGGAGAGAGGAGGCCAAGGAGTTCTTGCGCAAGAAGCTCATTGGCAAACATGTCAAGGTGTCTGTCGACGGGACAAAGCCTGCTACTGATGACTTTGAGGCTCGTGAGGTTGCCACCGTTACCCAGAGCGGCAAGAACATCGGTCTGCAGCTTGTCGAGGGCGGTTACGCCACTGTTATCCGTCATCGCAAGGACGATACTGACCGCGCTCCCAACTACGATGAGCTCTTGGCCGCTCAAGAAAAGGCTCAGGAGGAGAAGAAGGGTATCTGGTCCGGCAAGTCTCCCAAGGTCAAGAACTACGTTGATGTGTCAGAGAGCGTCCAGAAGGCCAAGATCCAAGTTTCTACTCTTTCCCGGCAAAAGAAGGTCCCTGGCATCGTCGATTTCTGCAAGTCTGGCTCCCGCTTCACCATCCTCATCCCCCGCGAGGGCGTGAAGCTCACCCTCGTTTTGGCCGGCGTTCGTGCCCCCCGTGCGCCTGGTAGAAATGCGCAGGAGAAGGGTGAGCCCTTTGGCCAGGAGGCCTTGGACTTGGCCAATAAGCGTTGCAACCAGCGCGACTGCGAGATTGATGTTCATGACATCGACAAGGTTGGTGGCTTCATCGGTGACCTCTACGTTAACCGTGAGAGCTTTGCCAAGATTCTTGTCGAGGAGGGTCTTGCCTCCGTTCATGAGTACTCTGCTCAGAAGGCCGGCAACGCTACCGAACTGCTTGCTGCCCAACAGCGTGCCAAGGAGGCCAGAAAAGGTCTCTGGAAGGACTGGGATCCGTCTCAGGATGCCCAAGAGGAGGAAGAGGCCGCCCCTGCCGAGTCTGCTGATGCTGATGTCACCATCGACAAGAAGCCAGAGGACTACCGCGATATTGTCATCACCAATGTGGACTCCAACGGCCGGGTCAAGGTCCAAGAGATTGGCAAGGGCACCGCTGCTCTTGAGACGCTGATGAACAAGTTCCGCAGCTTCCACCTGAACCCCAGCAACAATGCTGGCCTCAAGGACAGCCCCAAGGCTGGAGACTTTGTTGCTGCCAAGTTCACTGAGGACGGTGAATGGTACAGAGCGCGCATCCGCTCCAACGATCGCACCGCGAAGGTGGCTGAGGTTGTGTACATCGACTATGGCAACACCGAGAAGCAGCCATGGTCCAAGCTCCGTCCCCTGAGCCCAGAGTTCAACACCCAGGCCTTGAAGGCCCAGGCGATTGATGCTCAGCTCTCGTTTGTCCAGCTTCCCGCCTCCCCCGACTACCTCAACGACGCCATCAACTACATCTACGAAATCACCGAGGGCAAGCAGCTTGTAGGCAGCTTCGACTTCATTGACTCCAAGGAGGGCGTCAGCTACATCACGATCTATGACCCCAAGGCTGAGGGTTCCCACAAGGTCACCGAGTCCCTCAATCGTAGGATCATTGAGGCTGGATGGGGCCTTGTCCCACGGAAGTTTAAGCGTTGGGAGAGCAGCAAGGCTTTCGAGTCTCTGGTGAAGAATCTCAAGGAGGCTGAGAAGGTGGCGAGTGATGCCCATCGGGGTATGTGGGAGTACGGTGAGCTCTATGAGGATTGAGAGGAGGTGGTTCTGGGCATGGGCATGGAGAGTGTGGGGGTTGGTGCCCGTTAGGTGTGGGCGATGACCGGGAGCTACTCCACGGGTTGTGGACGGACTACTCTTAGCAGGCAGGTTCGGGTTTGCATAATGCTAGGTCATCATCATTATCATCATCATCATTGGTAGAATAAAAGTACTAAGTTGTGTTTGATGTTCATATGGCATATGTCAGGAGTCGGTGATGGTGTTGTAAGACAAGATATCCATTATATAAGCTTCTCCGCGCCGAGGAGAATAAAGGGTGAGGTTGAAGGTGGGTAGCGTCTTTTCTGACTTTTGGCTATTTGAGGAAGTGGATCTGGCCTGCAGGATCCAATCATGCCAATGGCTCGCGGCACGCCCGATGCTGGGTGTTCCTGGTCATGGCTGAGTAAGGGGGGGGTTCTTGTTAGTGGTCCAAATCCCCACTGTCGGAGCTATGTCGGATGGCCGGGTCCGATGACAGCACTCGCGCGATTCCAAATGTCTGTCTGGTAGCTGCTGAGCTGAGCTTCTTGCCTCTGCAGTAGCGGGAATAGTTTGGATGGTTGTATGAGTGATCGCCATGTCAAGTCAGCCAACAACGGCCACCCTTCTCATCTGATGTTGGGCATGGGATTGGCTTCTCCGTGCTAAGTTTGAAGGAGGCGGCAGCGGCGAGGGGCATTGACTGCTTAGAAGACAAGGGGGGGGGGGGCGATGTCCGGGGCGCTCATGACGAAGATGCCCCGCTAAAAGCCGTAGAGAAAGTAGGATATTATCCGCAACGGTTCCCAACACTCCCTTGGGCATTCTTTCCATTGAACTCTTTTCTGACACATACCAACCTGCGACAAATTCCCTCTCCGTCTTCGTTTTTGCTCCTTTCATTGCAGCAAACAACTCAGGCGTAACTCGTTTTTTTTCTATATCGATACCCCCTCAAATCCTAATATCATCAAAATGTCCAACTCTCTTGAGCAGCTCAAGGCCACTGGCACTGTATGTTCCGTCCCTCCCCCGTCCAAATTACCCCGCCAAACCTTCCCCTCGTTGGGGATTGAAGCTTGATGAGCCCAACACACTTCGTCTGGGCGGTGTCGCGAAGCTGGTGTTTTCTGAAGCGGAAGCTTTGGTTTTGAGGACTGGGCTAACATGTTTGCTGTTCGTCTTGCTTTAGGTTGTTGTCAGTGACTCTGGTAAGCTACCTCCTGGATGATGCCTGTCTGGCAAGTCTCAACAATGCGGTGGCTAACATTGGTTCTCTAGGTGACTTTGCCTGTTAGTATTACCCTCGATTGCGTCTTCCTCGAACGACGACAACTACCCCTCCGCCTTCCTTTTGGATACAATACTCACATCGCTTCCAGCCATTGCCAAGTACAAGCCCCAGGATGCCACCACCAACCCCTCCCTGATTCTCGCCGCCACCAAGAAGGCCGAGTATGCCGCTCTCCTCGACGCTGCTGTCGAGAAGGCCAAGGCCGAGGGAGGTTCCGTTGACAGACAAGTCGACTCTGCTCTCGACCACCTCCTCGTCGAGTTCGGCCGCAAGATTCTTGAGATTGTCCCCGGCAAGGTCTCCACTGAGGTCGATGCCGCTTTCTCTTTCGACACCAAGAAGTCCGTTGACAAGGCTCTCCACCTCATCCAGGTATGAATTCTTGAGGTCAGAAACGTCGCCACGGAAAGCTAATGTTCCCCCAGCTCTACGAGAAGGCCGGTGTCTCCAAGGACCGCGTCCTGATCAAGATCGCCTCCACCTGGGAGGGTATCAAGGCCGCCGAGATCCTCCAGCGCGACCACGGCATCAACACCAACCTTACCCTCATGTTCTCTCTGGTCCAGGCCATCGCCGCCGCCGAGGCTGGCGCTTTCCTGATCTCCCCCTTCGTCGGCCGTATCCTCGACTGGTTCAAGGCTGCCCACAAGAAGGAGTACAAGAAGGAGGAGGACCCCGGTGTCGCCAGCGTCAAGAGCATCTTCAACTACTACAAGAAGTTTGGATACAAGACGATCGTCATGGGTGCCTCTTTCCGCAACACCGGTGAGATCACCGAGCTGGCTGGCTGCGACTACCTTACCATTTCTGTAAGCTATCTCCCTGTCTGTTTCCTATCAGACCTGTGGCTAATACGTTCTGTGCCAACAGCCCAACCTCCTCGAGGAGCTCATGAACTCCTCCGAGGCCGTCCCCCAGAAGCTCAACGCCGAGGGTGCTTCCGCTCTCGATATTGAGAAGAAGACCTACATCAACGACGAGCCCACCTTCCGCTTCGACTTCAACGAGGACCAGATGGCTGTTGAGAAGCTCCGTGAGGGTATCAGCAAGTTCGCTGCTGATGCTGTCACGCTGAAGGATATCATCAAGGCCAAGGTTCAGGCTTAGATGGTTGAAGAGAGAAAAGGGGTAATGATTAAAAAATGAATAAATACACTCGGGTTTCAAGCACAATTGCGGGTTAAAAAACTGGGCTGGAATGACTTCTTTGATGAGCAATGGGCTGTTAGTTCAGTAATTGATTAATGGCTTTTGAGGCAATTTTGATGTTTGTGTGTGGTGTGGTCGAGGCGGCGTGAGAGATAAGATTAGTGTGTTGGTGGCTGATGACGTATAAATGCGTTTTGAGGTCGATGATCTTGATAGTCTAATAAGAACCTTTCGGTATTACATCTCATACCTTTATGTATCATGCTGAAGACAGACTATGGCGACATCGTGGAACATCACAGAATACGATTGATAATATGTCTCTCTCTCTCTCTCTCTCTCTGTCTGTGTGTGTGTGTGTGATGAGTATGTACAATCTACTTATACCCAACTTGCTTGCCAAACCTCCCAACCCAATAGCCAAAAGCCAAAGACTCAACGCCGCTATAAATGCGCAATGCTTTGCCTGTAAGCAATAAACCAGACACCTAAAAACGCAGTGACCGCTTTTCTAATGCATGCAAACCACCCCTTTACTGAGCATCATCCCCCGTGCTCATGTCATCACACCCCACCTGGACAATCTCATGCTTGATCTCCCCTTGCCCTCCTTCGGTAGTAGTAGTAACCGGGAGATTGATGACCAAAGCAGTCAACTTCTTCCCGTGCCCACACCCACTGTCCAACCCAAACGCATATCTGATGCCTCTTTCCTTTTTGGGCCGGTTACCTTTCTTATTGGAACCCTTTTGTTTCTGGAAGTAGGGCGTGATATCCACATGGGGATCGACCTGCAGTCCGCGCCTAGCGTCGTGGCCGTAGATAACGATTGTTTTTTTGGAAGTGTCGTGTGAAGAAGAACGGGGTAGGTGGTTTTGGTAGCGGCTCCTGGGGGGGCATTGTTAGTACACACGCAGAGCGAGGGGGGCATCAAGGGGGCAAGACAAACCAGGCTTTTGACCAGGGCTCCCCGTCGTCGGTGCTATCTACCGGTATGGGAACCTCTTCTTCTTCCTCCTTGTCATCATCTTTGCCGTTGTTGTGGCCGTTGTTGTGGCCGTTGTTGTTGTTGTTGTTGTTGTAAGAAGGGGCATATATCAAACTCCGCATATTCATCACGGCCCAGGGGTCTTGCTTTTCAAGGTCAAGACCTGGTACCAAACCACCGTGGACAACGACAACTTCGTTGAGGGGGTTCCATGGCTGTTGCGGACCTTCATCCTCTTCGTCGCCATTGCCGCCCTTCTTTTTCTTGCCATCTTTGTGGTGTTTCTGCTCTGTCGATAGCTGAGGGAGGTGCCCCAGCTGGCCAACGTGCAATATCACAGGGCGTTCTGCCAGCCACTTTAGTTGTGACTTTGATAGGCTTTTCGCGACAGACTTGGCGTGCTCGTCCTTTTGGTGCTCCTTTTGCCTGTCACGCTCCTTTTTGCCTTCTGTTTCGACTGAGTCGCTGTCGTCCTGTTGCTGAGGCCAGTAGTCTAGCTTTTTGAGACCGTAGCTGCTGCTAGGACACGGTCTTCGTGGTTTCCTCTCACTGCTGAGGCGCCGATGGACATGGCTAGGGTGACGACGCCTTTACTGTCTGGGCCTTTGGTCACTAGGTCACCGACGAAGATGGCGTGGTCACCAGAGGTGGGGGAGAAGTTGAGTTTGGAGTAGAGGAGTTTCTGGAGAGGAAGCAGGTGACCATGGACGTCGGAGATGATGATTAGGCGGCGGAGTGGGGGGTGGGAAGGGGGGAAGGGGGGAGATGAGGTTTAGTGGTGGGGGAGGGGGGTGTTTGTGGTGTTTGTGGTTGCTAGCCGTGAGATCCATTTCTTCCTCCTCCTGACTGTTGGCGGAAGCACCGCCCATGGGGTGCTGAGAGGGGTTCATTTTAAGGTTGTGATTGGTGTCCATGTCGATGTCGTGGGATGGTGGTGGTGGTGAGTGAGGTCTGGGTTGGGGTTCAAGGTGGGGTGCACCTATCGACCCTGAAGACGTCATCCCGCTTTGCCCATCTTCTTGCCCCTGCGTCGGTGGTGTCACTGTCACCACGACTTCTCCTGCAGCTTCTTGGTGGTGGTGTGGTTTGTGATGCCCTCCTCCAATCGTATCAAACACTCGTAGTGTAGATAGCTGGTTGAGGATTGGGAAGTGAATGGTGAACATGCATAATGTCAAAAATGACAGGGTGCCAAAGATTATGAACAGTGTCCGCCGTGGTGGTTGGCGGTTGAAAAGGTTGGTTATTGCCGGCATCGTGTTTTGGTCGTGTGACGAGCTGTGGCAACGGGAGTGCTGTTTCTCAGTTTGCTGAAGGAAGGGTTCACGGAACCCCCATATTGTCAAGGATCAATTGATGGAACCAAAAACCGTTTGAAAGGGGTGATCCAAAGTTGAAGTCGGTGAGAATAAGTAGCAGGTCCACGAGTCACTGACCCTTGGCCATGATGTGCAAAAGTCGATGGTGGATATCTGATTTCTGTGCCACGGTCAATCGCTCCGGGGTCCTATTTTAGTGCTGCGTAGCAGGGGTCTCTTTTTATGACTTTGCGCTGTCACGTTGCACCACCATTGGCTCTTGTTCGTCTGGGTGTTCAGATCGGAGAGGCCAAGACTGTCGACTACCTGAAGTTTGTTGAAGAGAGTGTGCCTCCTTTGTCTGATGAGTTCTGAAGGGTGGAAGGAATGCTGTGCCGGATGTTTGGAAACGAAAGAGCATCCCGTCACCTGCCGCTGACCTCTGCCCCCAACAACACCCAAGTGACAGACATGCCTCTTTGCCCAGAGTCTGATTTTGTTTTTGCCAAAACGCCTGCTATGCCCTAATGACCCAATTCAAATATAATACAGATATCGCACATATGTTTTCCTTATCCCATTACATTGCGCAACCCCGGGTATCGTCCCATGCTTTCCCATAGGTCTGCTATGACTTCTTCGCAGCAGCTTCCTGTGCTTCTCTGTATTTCCTGTTCTCAGCTTCTCTCCAGTCCTCTGGCGCCTTGTTGGTGCCGTCTGTCTCGCCGCGTGTCCCTGCGAAAGCAGACTTGCCCGCATACAACTGGTATCCCTCGCCGGTGTCCTCTGTCTTTTGGATCTTCGTGAAAGCAATGGGCTGGTTGCCTCTGAAGCGCTTGCGCATGTCGACCATGCCACGGCGGCATTCACCGAAGCCCTTCTTGAGTTGCTTGCACTTGAGCGGGAGGGTATCGACGAGAGGTTCGCGGAGGCAGTCGGCGGCCGAGTTGCGCTGCACCATGACGCATTCAGACTCTTGGAGGCATTGCGCCAAGGCGTCTCCTGGATACCAGAGGTTAGTTTCGAGAAGGCTGTAGCAATTGACAACGAGGAACACACGAATATCTTTACATGAGCTGGTCGGCATCTTGAGGGCTGTGGAGGGGTTGTTGTATTGTTGATCGCTCTTCCGATGCGGCAGGCAAGGAATTAGACAGTGCTCGGCAAAGCACGGTCCGCGGGTGCAAAGCTGGCAGCTCAACCTTGATAAACACCATTAGGGTTAGGGTATCTGCAGTCTCACGTACACAAAGGTACAGACTGAGTTCATGTATGTTCATATAGCAACTTGTTTATACAGCTTTCTTGTGGTCATTGTATCCCGTAGAGCTGCCGCAATACTAATCCACCGAAAACTTGTTCAACAACTAAACAAAAGCTCACCCAACTGCTCACTCACCTCTGTCTGCAAGGAATGGACATCATCAGCCAGACACCATCACTTTGGAGTCTTGGTTTGTCTCATGATTACAGCTCTTTCACCCTCCTTGTCTTTTTCCTTCCCCTGGTGTCCTCTTCATCTGACCCATCGGGTCCGAACACCCCCAGAAAGTACAAACTCCTTACAGTGAAGAGAAATCCCTTTACCCACCGCACGTGTCAGCGAATATACCACAACAATGGATTGAACTTACAGTAGCACCCAAGTTTCCCCAAGTCATCTCGTTCCACCTCAACATCCCAACCGACTCTTCCCACCCAAGAATACGGCATGTAACAGCCATGTGTCCAATGTCAGCCAACCACAGCGCCCAGAGGTAGCTCCTCACGACTTTGATCTCGGTGGTACTGTGAAGGACAAAGAGGCCGAGGAGGAAGGCGAGGAAGTACATGTTTCCTAGTTGTTGGGAGACCAGGAGGGATTGTTCTGGAAATGATAGCATGGGGGTTGGTGTTTGAGCTGCGAGGAAGTAACGGGGGAATACAACGGCGCCAATAGTGCCGGAGATGCTGAGGCATGTGGTTAGTGGGTGACGTCGAGAGCGACCAAAGAGATCTTACAGTGATATTGGCTCTGCTACTGTAAAGACAAAGCGAGGGAAGGCTGGAAGTTGGGAGGCCATTTTTGGGAGAGTATCGTTGTCTATACAAGTTGGAGCGTGTGTATCAGAACTGAATTTCAATGACGCTGTCAACAAACTGAAGTGATGCAGTTACAGGATGCGAGTTTGAGGGAAGAGCCAATTGATGCGCAAAATGAGAACAGTATGAACTCGAACATAAAAAGTAGTAATATATCAGTCAAGGCTTGTTTTAAACACTCAATTCATGCCACGACTCCTGAGATCAACCGGCTTTCATAACCACGTCCCTTACCGTTGCGGGCTCTCCGCCTCCGTTCAGGCAACTAGAGGGTTAGGGTCACACCGACACCTCACCTGGCCAGTGCTCACCAACGCACAGACAATTTGCAGTTTCCCCAGATTTTGCAGGCGTGCACAGACCACTCCCACTCAAGTACAAATTCAGCAAATCCCTACCAGAATTTCAACTCTCCTTTCTCTTTTTCTTCTCCATCCAAGTGCAGGGGTTTTACGCGTATCAGTGAGGATTCGTCCGAGATCGCGTTTTTGCTAGTTGAAAACTACATACCTGACCGCTCCTGCCAGGCTTGTACTGGTAGGGAATTTTTGTAACCTCTCTCTCCTTGTGGGATTTCTCATCTCTTCATTGCTGTCGGTCTGCGGATCGTGGTGAGGAAGACGTTGGTCATACATGACATGTGAAGCACTGGGCCGGGTTTGTAAGTTTATCCGAACATATAAAGTCTATTAAAGTCAAGTCTTGCAAATGGGTATCACATTCTGCTTGTCTGATCAACAGCCAACCATGCCTACGCGGTATCCAAAACCACAACCTCAGCCTCGACTTCGCCAACACTTTCCACTAAGAGCTTATCTCCCTTGTTCACTCCTTCGATGAACGCTCCATCTCCCTCCTTCAATACAGCATCGTCTCTCCCATCCAACCTGATACTCGCCTTCCCTCCCTTGGTCATGGGCAAGTGAACAAAAACCTTCCTCTTGTTCTGCTCCGTCACATTCCCTCTTCCTCCCACAATCCATTCAAACTTGCCACCACCAGTGATAATCCCCGCCCCCATCAAGAAGTCAGCATGAATAGGAATTGTCCCTTCGACCACCGCCTCCGCCTTGGCCTCTTGCTCAGCAGTAGCGTCCACACCCCCCTTCAGCGGACTTAAAATCGTCACAAACCCTTTCCTCTTATCCTCCTCACTAAAATGCCTGGTATGATACCTCGGCTTCAGCCCTCTCTTCCAAGGCAAAGCCCAAATCTGCAAGAAGTGGACAGTATCCCTCCTGTGCTCGTTGAACTCTGAGTGAGCGATCCCCGTTCCGCCGGTGGTGAACTGGATGTCACCGCGCTTCATGCGGTAGAACTGATCGGGGGAGACATTGTCACCCTCGGCGCCTTTGGTGAGCATGGAGTCGCGGTGGGTGAGCTCGCCGGAGAGGATGTAGGAGAAGATTTCAAAGTCGCGGTGGGGGTGGGTTGGGAAGCCGGATTGGGGCTTTACGCGGTCTTCGTTGAGGACGCGGAGGGAGCCGAAGCTGGTGTAGGAGGGGTGGTACCAGTTTGCAAAGGAGAAGGAGTGGTAGGTGTTTAGCCAGCCGTGGTCTGAGTGGCCGCGGGTGGAGGAGAGATGGGGGGTGATTTTGGCGTGGTGGAGGGTGCGAGACATGGTTGTTTTGGCGGTGTTCATGTGTGATGGGGTGGTGATGTTGGGGTTGGTGATTAGGCTTGTGAGGTGGGTTGTTAGGGTGAGGATGGTGGTGCCTGTATATGTAGTCAAGATCTGAAGAATGTCAGGCTTGTAGTATGTGAGGATGATTGCGAAAAATGCGATGAGAATTGAGAGGAGAAGGAAAGGACGCCTCATATAGACTATAGGATTGCTTCTCGATGGAGGCGAGAAGAAGCTGGTAGACACTGGATTGGGAGAGAAGTCGTGACACGATGCTTAAGTGAGATTGAGTGATCATATATTCATGTATTAGAGACCTAGGGTTCTAGATCATCATTTTCCGATCTCTGGATTGCTTTGTCTTCATGATGGTTGAGGGTGGTGGAGAGTTGCCTGCCGAGACTTGCTGACCGACGATTACCTCATGATTATCCTTCAGCTGCGGCATCGCGCCTCGGCTTTTGACGGCCCGATGAGTAAGCGTTCAACATAACAACATCAACGTTTCCTACTTGCAGGCTCGTCCATTCTCGTGAGGATCATGTTGAAAATCAACCTTTTGGTTTCGTTACGTCGCAGTATGGGACATTATCTGAACGAGAACGGAGATGCCACCTGCCCACATAATAATTGACACACAAATAAGTTGGCCCATATTTTATCTACACCTTAAAGGATGACTACTAGGCTCTTAAATAAAGTTAATAGGCCTTCGAGATAATTAAAAGGCCTTTAAAGGTATTTAAAAGGCCCTTTAGTTTACTTTCAATGCATGGTTTACAACATCACATGGACCAACATACTTATGTGTATCAACTATTTGTGGTGAAGGAGGATGCTTGCTCCAAAATCCATTATAGCCACTGCCTAACCTGTTCGCAACTCTCACCCAATCATTTTGGTGACCTTCAACAATACCATTATGACCTCTTTGTCCCTGAAGTTGCCAAGTTACTGTCTGATACTAACGCTCACAAGAGAACTGATGCCGGAACAAAGCCATTGTTTTGACTACTGTCAACAACTCCCGACTACAATGCAGTTATATGCATCAATGATGTTGGCTTCATCTCGTGTATTTAAGGCCAACGCTGGTCGTGATGGCACTACAACAGCATCGTTTCACATCCCACATCTCAGCTTGCTTCAACATTCGTGTTATCGTAAAAGCCTGTCTCGATATCGACCTACTTAACTTTTTGAGTATAGAGATAAAGCTAGCCCTTTTTGACCATCAAAATGTGTCAACTCGAGCACAAGGTTTATACGGTGTGTACACATATCTACGAGCATGCTGTTCCGTGTATGTTGACTTCGAGGACTCGGGCTCGGTGTGACAACCCGGAGGTGATTACTAGTGCAAAATTCGGTTTTTGCCGAGAGTGCCGTGATTTCTACGCGCCTCTTGTAACTGACAGCCCTTACATCATCTTGAGCTACTGGGCTTACAAGGCTGAGCGTGGCATTAATTATGCTGTTCATCCTTCGTATGTCCCTAGTGCTGAGCTTTTCTGGGTATCTTGTGACCCTGCTGAAGAGTACCGGAAGCGTGTTCACTCTCCCCGTAATGATCTTTCCACCCTGGCCAAGGTCCTTCGTCGCTACAGAGGAGAGACACGGGATGAGTATCTTGAGCGCCTTCAGTATATCCGCCACGCTACATTGGAGTGGGCTGGGCGAAGGCGCAGGGAGCGGATTGAGAGTGAGGAGGTTGTCTACCCGCCGGCTGAGAACTCCCCCTCAAGACCGAGTCTGAGTGAGTCGTCGAGGCAATCTTCTCAGAACACCATCACTGATCGAGAAGCCCCACAGGTTCATGATGAGACTCTGGCTCGATTATGCGGAACCTGGACGGGCATCTCTTCGAAGAACAACATCGCTGAACCCGAGCGAGAGGTACGCTGGACACAACTGAGCGTTGAGTCAAATCAGGCGAGCGAGAACCTTTTTCCCGAGTCCGCTGGATTTTCTCAGAACAATGATTTTGCTCAGTTTTCTCCTGGAATACAGCCCACTTCTCGGTTTTCATTCGACTAGGTGAACAAGTCTCGTTGTCTGTATTTCTTTCAAGGTGAGATAACAACAAGAAGTGGGTTTGGAGTGAGCTGAGCGTTGAGTTAAATCAGCCTACAAGATAGGACTAACTTGTCTTTCTCGTAATCACGATATCGCTGAGCTTTCTCTTTGCACAAGCCTCTTCTCGTTGTTCATTTGACGAAGGTAGGTGAGCTGTATTTAGTCGTGTGGATCTCCCTAGGGTAAGGTATATCGGTAGGCACCAAGTGGTGTCTCGATTGTAATAATTGATATTCTACTTTTGTTTTTTTCTTAATTGAGCCCTCCTCCCTCTTATTAGTTTCGTGCAGTGAATCATATATAGTTTTCTGAATCTTTTTTGTATCTTTCCAGTGCTAAATCACTGTAAGGGTTAGGGTCCGTAGAGTGACGTATCTCGGTATGACTCTTATCGGTGTACCACTTGGCGATAAGGAATTGCCCCGCGCCACCATTCGTGAAGCTTTGAAATAATGATTTAAAAAGATCGTGTTGGAAAGCATACTATTGCTTGGAGCGGGAGATAGAGCCAGGTGTCTCTCAGTCTAATTATCCCCATGAAAAGACCGGTGTTTGATTGAGCTGCGATCCAAGTCCTCATTCCACGAAACCTCCAACCATCAACGCTCCCTATTATCGCCAGTCGCAAACGCCCCGAAACCAAGCGCGCAATGGCAAAACCACAGGACGAGCTCCTGCGGCGGCCACTTTACCTCTACGATCTCCCACAAGACGTTGTTACCACTCTGTCCCTCAAGACCGATGCCGATGCGAGCGATGGACTGGCAGTTCAAGACGATACCACAACAGCGACCCAAACTCCAAGCCCCGCGACGGCCGACAATGTGATCGGATCGCAAGCTTGTTCCCTTTGCAGTCTGTCGTTTGTCACAGTACAAGAGCAGAGGGAGCATCTCAAGACCGATCTACACCACTACAACCTCAAGCAAAAGCTCCATGGCCTCAGCCCAGTCTCCGAGGCCGAGTTCGAAAAGCTTGTCGATGAGCTCGACGAGAGCATTTCAGGTTCCGAAAGCGAAGATAGCGAAGACGAAGAGGAGGATACCGGGCGCAAGGAGACCACTCTTACCGCTCTGTTGAAGAAACAGGCCAATCTGGCGGACAAGCGCAAACCGAATGACGAAGGTGACGATGTGGATACAAAACAGAAGAAAGGCACGGGCAAGGCACCATTACTTTGGTTCGAGTCCCCCAAGCTGCCAGAAAAGACATACTATGGAATCTACAGAGCCCTGTTCACCGCCGAGGAGCTGGAAAATGAGGATGTCATCGTGGAGGCGATCAAGAAGAGACAGCTTGCGCCCATCTCCATGCCCAAGCCTCCAAAAGATGCGCAGTCTGTGCCGGCGAGCTACAATGGGCAGCACATATTTATGTGTATGATCGGAGGTGGCCATTTCGCTGCTATGGTTGTTTCACTGGCACCGAAGAAGAGCAAACACGGCACTACAGGCCCCTTGAACAGAGAAGCTGTTGTCCTGGCGCACAAGACGTTCCATCGTTATACCACTCGTCGCAAGCAGGGTGGCTCTCAGTCGGCGAACGATAACGCAAAGGGAACGGCCCACTCCGCTGGTTCGTCCCTTCGTCGTTACAACGAGCAGGCCTTGGTTGAGGATGTTCGAAATCTCCTGAAAGACTGGAAGAACCTCATTGACACCTCGGACCTCCTGTTCATCCGCGCAACTGGCATGACGAACCGGAGAACCCTTTTCGGTCCATATGAAGGCCAAGTCCTTCGCGCCAACGACCCTCGCATCCGAGGCTTCCCCTTCAACACGAGAAGAGCAACCCAGAACGAACTCATGCGGTCGTTTATCGAGCTCACCAGACTAAAAGTCAAGGAGATTCAGCCAGAACCAGAAGCACCGACTGCTGAGCCATCCAAGATTACAAAGCCAAAAGAGTCAAAGCCAGCGGCGCCGAAACTATCAGAAGAGGAAGAGGCGGCCATCTTCCACACCACCCAGCTACAGTCCATCATCCGCCGGTCAAAACTCCCTGCCTTGTTGTCGTATTTGACCAACAACAAACTCGGCGCCAACTTTGTCTTCCAACCAAAAGACACCCAACAAAACCATCACACTCCCACCCCTCTACACTTTGCCGCCTCGCAAAACTCGGCAGCCGTAATAGTAGGTCTCATTACCCGCGCCGGCGCTGATCCAACGATTCTCAACTCGGAAGGGAAAACTCCCTTCGATCTTGCCGGTGATCGCGCCACGCGGGATGCGTTTAGGGTAGCGAGGTCAGAGGCAGGCGAGAAAAAGTGGGATTGGGAGGCTGCGCATGTTCCTGCTGCTCTGAAAAGGGAAGACGCAGATAAGCGAGCGGAGAGGGAGAAGAAGGAGGAGGAGCAGAGGAGGAAGGCTGAGGAGGAGAGGCTGAAGAAGGAAGGGCCGGTGGTGAAGGAGGGTAAACCAAGGAAGGGGGGCGTGTTGGGAGGGGCTCCGCTGAATCAGAGGGAGGAGGAGACGAGGGGGTTGACGGCTGAGCAGAGGATGAAGCTGGATAGGGAGAGGAGGGCGAGGGCGGCGGAGGAGAGGATTAGGAGGTTGCAGGGGGGTGCGTGAGTGAGTGTGCGGTGGATGAGGTGATATGAATAATAGACCAAGATCTGGAGCTTCTTTGATGACATTTTGATGTTGACTCGGTGGTGATTGTTGCCCTATTTTTGGTTGTTTAAGCAATGGGATTCTTAGTCTATATCCAGTCATCGATTTCATCCAAGGGTTGCATAGGTAGTATGTGAAAGAGATTGTCCACAGCACTGAGAAACTTAACGAGATGTGCCTGGAAGCCATGACATATACCACCAGTGTCGACTTTTGATGGAGGATGCGGCAGATAAACAGCCGATGTGGTATCCCTGTATGAAATGCGTAAGATATGCCATGATTAGACAACAAATAGCAACAGTTTATTTATTATGACTTTTCACCGACGACTTTCCCGTCAGGTGCTTTCTTACAATATATGTACCTCACTAACATTCGAGAAGAACTGATAGTTACTGTTGGACAGAGAGCAAATAGGTGCCATGCCGTTTGCCGTATTCATCTTCTGGAAGACTAAAATAATGAAATCCATTACTTGTTGTCGCTCGACATGAGTCTATTGGGGTTTGTTTATCAGGCCTTCGAACGGTGACATACCACCAGAATAATCAACCATCATCACAATACGAAACAGAAAAGAAAAATGGAGAAGCCAGCAAAACGAACTTCCCATACCGGGAATTGAACCCGGGGCTCCAGGGTGGTTCAGATTCCTCTTAACTGTTGTCAGTAGGTAGGTGAAAGCCTGGTATGCTAACCACTACACCATATGGGAGTTTATTGCTTGTTGAGGGGAGGTGTGGAAGGAATGGCTATAAGCTGGAAGGAGGGGAAGGAGAGAAGGAGTTGCGGCTGGCAGATGAGGAAGGAAGGGGTGGATTGGATGCTGGGGAAGGAACTAGGGCGGTGGGAAGGAGGAAGGGTTGGTTGGTGAGGAAGGTAAGGAGGGAATATGTGTGAAGGGAAAGAACGTATGATGAGAAGCTTCAGGCTACGCCGGTCTGTTCAGAATCTCGTCTGTAGCTGATGAGCAGATTTGATTGTGTCATTATTTCTCCACTTATAGTTCTGATGAATGGCTAGGGAGATACTACGGTGGCAGGCACAGACATGCTTGTCTTTATGAAGTTTTACATGACGTTGAACACACCAGTTCTTACCTAGTAGCCATTAATGCAGCTTGCAAACTGATAGCTTCATCAGATAAGCGGCCTCAAATCAACCAACTTCACGTCGAAAAAAGTACCGCTCGACCATAAGCAGGCCCGAATAAAGTTTCCGGAGCGCAGTTATCAAACTTGACCGAATGAGAGGGACATGCTTTAAGGTTGTGTAGGTGGTCCCAATGCCTACAGATCTACAAGTTCTACGAGGCCGGCGGGATTTCAATGCTAACCCCCCACTGAATAGAGCTAAACTATTCTATTTGATGGGTGTGGGTGTGGCGTCTTCCGAACTGTCCTCGTACATAGGCCGGAAGACAGTCCGGCCGTGTCGACAGGACACAGTACCTCGAACACTTGGCTGAAGGCTGAGACTCACTTGTGTGGATAGTAAAGCTTACAGCATGTTTATGATGACCAGTTTACCTGATACCAAAGCTGGTTCTTTTGCTTAGCAGTGGCCGGTGGTCACTCTATCAGACCAGCCGAGGTAATACAAACGCCGGTATAATATCACCTCAAACAGACGGAAACGGGCCGGCGTTCAAGCAAACGGGCAGGCAGCTGTCGTTGGACGTTATGTATACAAATTAAGTAGTTAAGAACGAGGCCGGTCGTCCGGGCCGGAAGGAAGACCCGGAACGGGACCTGAAAGGCGGTGATATGCGGCCATCTGGTGTGTGCCGCATTTTGTGCCCCCATCCAACGTTTGACAGCCGGTGGAGGGATGATAAAAGCGGCCGATTCGTCTCTTTTTAGGCAGTCCAGACGGTCGGGTTGGCTACGCCGTGCCGTGCCGTCCGTCTTTTGAAGAGGTGCATTGAGCTTTGGATGAGTTATACAAACATGGTCGAGGACCAGAGGTCTGGTGTAACGAGGTGGGCATGACTGGTTAGGAAGGGGATAAAGATCTGATCTTTGTTTGTTTACAATTTGATCGACCTGGGCAGCGGGCCGGCGCATCAGGATGAATATCCTGCCATGGGTATGACAGATGCAAAGTAGGATCGTAAAGGATCTTGGTGTAGCGTATTCGCCGTTCGTGTGGTGTTGCTTTGTTTCATCCAGACCGCTGGGTTCTTGTTCAGAGCTTTGACTTGGCGTTATCGAGCTGGGCTGAGCTGGAAGGGATCGTGATTTTCCCAACCCAAGAGACGATGACACAAGAAATGCCGAAGTCGCAGCCACGAAGTAGGATCCCCATATCCGTATGGCTGGAATCGCCGCCTCGGTCTCATCAGACATCGGTGTTACCGGGTCTCCAAGACGCTTGAAGACTCCATACACCATGAACTTGTCCAGCGCACGATAACTTTGCGCTTTGAACCAGCTGTTGGTGGCTCGGGCCTTGGGTAATCTCAACATGACTTGGGTGATGGACCACAACTGAATGGTCTCTTTCTCACAGGCGAAGCTATCTGCACATTCTTGCGGTGGCCAGAGCTTTGGTTCATGTGTGTTCCAGCGTTGGATACGAATGTGATGGCTTCAACTCGAAACAAGACTGAGGAACCCCTGAGCAGAACACAACAAGGGGTTGTGCTTGGCATAACTCTCCACCGTTGCACCACCTGTCTGAACTTGGAAAGAAACGCCTGGCGATGGTTGCTCTTGGCAGTGCGTGCTCCAAGCGAGTTGTGGGGTTTACACCCTGTCCCTGTCGCGATGTCTCGGTCGTCCACCAGTTCTCGTCAAAGTGCCCGGACACCGAGCTATCAGCGTACCATTTGTCATTAGCAAGAAGTTATTCACAATTACTGCGTATGCGAGAAGAATGTCTGTGATGAGCGTTTTTGAGAGTTGAGTTGACACTGAAGGCGGCGTTTCGGGCGGCTCCTAGACGCCTTCAAGGGCTGGGTGGGCGGTTGTCAGAAACGGAGGCTGCCGATCAACCCGATCTGACGGGGCGATTCGCTGGCGGCAGCGCCTCGTGGACCCAGGAACCGCGAATTTGGCGAGCGTCAACCGGGGATTTTCTTGCTGGATCGCTCCTATTTTGGGACTACACTAAAACGGCACCAGTGCTTGATATGAACGGCAAGCTATGTTCGTTTCTCGATGATGCCAGTTGAACCCGTGACAGCTGTGTTGAAATTGCAGACTCCATCTCGTCGTCAAAGCGGCCGATACTAGGGGAATTGGCCGTCCAGCAGATATTGGAGATCGGCAGCTTGATGAGTCCGTGAATACCGTTGCAATGTGATCCAGTTTTCCCTATTTCGTTGGAGGTCGTGACTGTGAAAAGCGCACAGGACGCTCCGTGGTCAGCCGTCAGTGTAGCAGTGCATATGATCGTTTGGCCTCTGCGAAATTGAGTTCACGATGCTTCTGGACATCAGTGACATCGTGGAAAGGGAACAATGTTCCAGTGGAGACCTCGGTCCGAGAAAAGCGGCTCATGTTGATTGGTCAGATATCCCCGACCCAGACTCTGATGGGCTGGTCAGACCTGAAACATGAAACTGCTGGCGCCAGTCCAGGGACAACTGACAGCGGGTGCGGTGAAACGCGGCACTTCGATTCTGCGGACACCCGTTCGATTACGGAGTACTAGGTAGCGATTCTGTGTGTTGAATGCACTCACAGACAGAGAAATAATACCAGCTCAGCTGACCTCAATTAACGGGTGTATTTTTGAAGTTATTCTGAGCATTGACAATATCTCTTGGCAGCGGAGATGAGGCGACGACTCGTTTGTGAGCCCCCTTTTCCATCAATCGATAAACTCGGTCGCTACTCCCGGCGTGGAGAGATCGGAGGTCCGGTTGTTGGAATGACGAACAGGGTTGACTCTAGAACAAGCAAGTCGGGCCGTGATTGAGCATCGTTTTGGGAAACGCTTCATTGTGGGGAATAACGAACCACAGCCGTTTTGGGCGGGGGTGGAGTTTTGATGATCGGTTCCTGGTAGCCAACGATCCCAGAGCCGAACGCTGGGGAAATCCAGGAACATCGCTGAAGCAGAGAGGGCTGCCAGAAGTCGAACAATGACAGAAGGATCAATTGGAAGTCAGCAGCTGCAGCCCAAAATGCATCGTGCGGGAATGGCTTCGTACCTGCAGTAGCGTCACCGTTCGAATGTGGCTGAGCAGCCTGAAGCAGACAGCCACCTGTTTCAAGCTTTTGGGCAAGTCCCCATTTTGCCTGCACCATCAAGGTGCCATCCGCGCGCTCATCACTGCCTTCTTTTGCCGGAATCACTCTGTGTACGGGTGAAGGCACAGGACGTAAAGGGGTGCGTGCTCGTGCTCAACATTCAATATCATCACAGAAAATGGATCCTATCTCGTGTCCGGCAGCATGGCTTTGCTTACCCAGCAACGAGAATAGGGTTACCGACATGAAGAATACCCGGATTGTAGCACGGTGAGCTGTGACAGAGAGGCAACAGCGAAATGCTCATCGCATTCGCCCTTTTTGCCGCAGGCAGGCCTCTTGCCGCTCACGCAGAGCCATTTATAATTGCAGTGCCTGAACTGACCCTTTTACAGGACAGAAGTGAGAGAGTAAGACATTCCCTTTCCGTTCAGACGTCGAGATGTGTAACCGATTGGGCCACATCGATGGGCAGCTTTCAAAGCCTTCAGCCAACCCCTTGACCAGATCTCTAGCGCACCCCTGTCGCTTACCAGTACCCCCTGCCTGCCGCCCCTGGAGCCGCGCGCCACCAAGAGACAGCAGCGCAACATCGGCCGGGCATTTTCAATGTGGAGACGACTGTTTTCGTGAACTTTGGCCCTGACCTCACCCCTCGCCAAACGTCACATCGCCAGAGGAGCAAAGGGTCCTAGCGCCCACGAAGCCCTCACTGGCTGCCATGTTGGGCCGTTCTGCCCGTTCCCAACGACACAGGGTGTGAACGCAGTTGCTAGGGGATGCTGGTCTGGCTGGCCCACGGCCTTGTCTGGGCCAGACTCTCCACCATGAAGTGACATGAGTTCTCCTTTGCATGGGGGGTCATGGACCCGATGTTATGCCCTCATGTTGGTATAAACAGAGTCCTGCCCTCGCCTCCGTTCCCGCTCTTCTCTTTCTCGGTCAGTAGTGTTCAAACGTTTTGTGGTGTGGCATTTCCTTTACCTTACCTCTAACCAACAACCGACGGCAAAGTCATTCGCTTCTTTGCCTCAAGCTTCTTTTCTTTTCCAACCATCATTGGATTTCCTTGTCGACACAATCGTTCAGACGGCATCATCATTTTAAGCCAGCATTGTATCTGAAGGCGCAAGGTTCGCCCGATATTCTACCGGCATTCATTCAGCCCACCGCCATAAACTATACCCAGTCTATCGTTCTACTGTCTATATTGACACGCAGCTCGTCACCATGAAGAGCTATATCCCCCTTATCGCCCTCGCGGCCGGCGTAGAGGCCACTGTAAGTTGAAAGATCGTCATCTCTTCCACACCTGGCTCAGTCGCTTACACCTCCAACAGTTCAAGAAGGCTCCTGCTTTCACCTGCCCCGAGAACATCGACAACAAGTGTACCCCCAAGCAGCAATCCGGCTTCGACTGGGCTGATCTCATTCCTGGTCCGTTCGCCAACTACGGAGACTTCACCTTCAAGGGCTTCGAGTGCGGCAGTGACGGAAATAAGGGTCGTTTCGACTCTCGCCCCGGCAGCGGCAAGTTCATTGGTGGTACTTGCCACCCTGAGAAGAACAAGTCTCCATCTTTCGGCTGCGGTCCCGTTGTCGACAAGTTCTCCCTCGGCACCATTGTTGTCCAGCCCGAGTTCGACTGCGATCTCGAGTTCCACTATGACATGCCCAACGGCTCTGTCTGCAAGACTCGCCACGCTTGCAAGAAGTCCGGTACCACCATCAAGAACAAGCAGTGCGGTGGTGCCAAGAATGTCACCATCATCTTCCCTCCTCAGAACAAGCCCAAGAAGAGCTGCGCCATCAAGGTCCCCACTGTCTCTTTCGACTGCAACACTGCCTCCAGCACCAAGCCTGTGACCACCAAGCCCGCGACTACCAAGCCTGCCACCACCACTGCCGTTGTCACCACTCCTGCCGATGTGACCAGCACCGCCCCTGTTGAGACCTCGCCCGCTGAGACCGAGACTTCTACTGCTATTGTTCCCGGCGAGACTTCCACTGCTGTCCTTCCCGAGACCACTGCCCCTGCTGAGGAGACTTCCACTGTCCCTGCCGAGGAGTCTACGGCTACCGTCCCCGCCGAGGAGACCTCCACTGTCCCTGCTGAGGAGTCCACCGTCACCGTTCCCGCTGAGGAGACTGCTACGGTCCCTGCTGAGGAGACCACCACTGCTCCTGCTGAGGAGACCGCTACTGTTCCCGCTGAGGAGACCACCACTGCCCCCGCCGAGGAGACGGCCACCGAGCCTGCTGGTGAGACTACTACTGAGGTTGCCGGCGAGACCACCAGCACTGAGCCTGCCGCCATCACCACTCCCATCACGACCGTGATCACCACCGAGTTCGAGACCATCTCCACCATCTTCACCACTCAGACCGAGACCATCACCCAGTGCGAGCCTACCGTCCCTGACTGCCCGGCCAACTCCATCAAGACCACAATCGTGACTGTTCCCGTCTCCACCACCATCTGCCCCGTCACCGAGACTCTCACCACTGTCATCGAGACCCCTATTGTTGAGGAGACCTCTGCCCCCGCCCCTGTCGAGACTTCTCCTGCCGCTGGCGAGACTTCTCCTGCCGCTGGCGAGACCACTGTCCCTGCTCCTGGTGTTACCGAGACCCCCGCCACCACCGTCATTGACATCCCCACCACTGGCATTGTCACCTCTGTCAAGCCCGTCGAGACTCTCCCTTGCCCTGAGGTTGTCCCCTCGTGCTTGAACACCTTCCTCTTCCTGGTCGGCTGCTCTGACAACACTGATGCGGGGTGCTACTGCCCCGATGCTCTCTTCGTCAAGAACGTCTACGACTGCTTGTACGCCCACGGTGGTTCCGATCAGATCATCTCCGAGGCCGTCATCTTCTTCCAGGGTCTCTGCGCTCCTTGGGCTGGTGGTAACCCCGCCGTAGTCACGGCTCCTACTGTCACCACCTACCTCACCATCACCGCCACTCCCACTGTTGCTCCCATCTACACCACCATCACCATCGACACCACCACTGTTGTTCCCTGCACTGATGATGCCGGTGTTGAGATCCCCGGTAGCAGCACCACCGTTGTCATTGCCACCACCGTCCCCGTTCCCGAGATCGGCTTCACCACTGGCACTGCCGGCGTTGTTGATGTTGTTCCCATCACCGCTGCCCCCATCGTCGACGGCGGTCTCCCCGGTGTTCCTGGCAACAACGGTGGCGGTGCCATCATCACTGCCAACGGCACCACCATCTCGGTCCCCACCGGCACTGAAGGCCTCGTCCGCCCCACCCAGAGCGTCGTCCTCGCCGGTGGTGAGCGTGTTGCCGCCAGCTTCGGCCTTGCTGCCGTCGTCGCGGCCTTCGCTGCCTTTGCCCTCTAAATCTTTTGATTTGAGCGGCTACAAAACGTGTACACTACAAACCCCATTTCCTTATTTTTATCAAAAGTGTCTTTTTCGGCGCCCTGGTGGGTTCAGCCTTGATATCCAATTCTTACGATCCTTCACGAACACATAGCATTACTGCATTGCATTATTTGGCGGCTATTTTTGGGGGCGGGATTTTCTATTTTTTTTTTCGCTTTATCGCAAATACCCCCCATAATCTCGTCACCCCCTTGAGTTTTCTTTTTGAAAGTTTACATGATCGGTCGGAACAATTGATGGGCTAAAGAAGGATATGCTCCTTGGGCAAAGAGAGGGTGATGAGAAGATTCATGGGAAGGGTTCACTTATTATACATGGGACAGCTGGGAAGATATACATGGCGAAACGTATACTGTACATAATAGTTAATACCCCCAAATGGAAAGACCACAATGTTCCGATCAAATACTGTTCAAACTTTGTGATTTTTGGTGAACACGTGATGCATTATACAATTTTCGGTCAGATCGAACATACCAAACCACTTCCAATTCCGTGAATGTTGATACTGACGTATTATTCACCGTGAAGAGTATCGCAATATCCTAACTTCTTGATACCTAGGTAAATAATTGCCATGAAAGCTAGCACCTATTCGTTCATTCCTCATATCAACCTCAACCCTTTCCCAGAAAACCCACACAAAACCTCCAGGTCTGTTCAAACAGTTTGTTTAGTCTTGGACGGCCCATGTCCCACCTGCGGATGTCTCTAATCACCGGTGAGACTTGCCCGTCAATCGTCGAGATATGTCCTCCTATTATCGGGGCAGGTCCGCCGACCATTCACAGAGAATTACACCCCTTCCATCCAGCAATCACCCCCCTTGTGCACACCGTACCTATCAAGCAACTGCAGGGCACCCAAACACTCTACCCAATGGCATATTTCCTCAAACTGAGAATCAGTCGCACCATCTCCCTCTAAGAGCTCTAGCCACCTCATGAACCGGGGCCCGTCACGGAAATTGCAGCTCTCTCTATCGGGATGAGGGGCTTCCACACGGAGCGAGCGAGCGCGAATCCACCTCCCAATCCAGTCCACAACCAACAGTACCTTAGGTACCTCACCCAAACGTTTGACTATATGATCCAACTCGGGCTTGCTTTGGTGTTGGTTGATTGTTGGGGGAGGGGGCCAATGGTGGTCATTGGGTGAGGGTTATTGATGTTTACTGGGGGAGTGGCGTTGAAACAAGTCATTGACAGAAGAAGATTTTTGGGACGGGTTTACTTGTGTCGTATGGATGTTTCGGGATATAGTTCGTTGGCTTTACCACACTAAATCGTTCGATTCTTCTTATTGAGAAAAGAGCTGTCGGACCAAGTGGTTATAAGCTCTCGAATACTCCGTGGACTGTATCACTTTGCCAGATATCGTTACGCTGGAAAGACTTCAGATGGTCGTGGTGGAATGATGTTCACGGTTTAACTGATGCAACATGTCTCATGCTTAATATGCCTGGAATCGGCGCCTCATTATCATTATTTCATGCCTTTCAATGCTATCAAATGAGTACACCAGCCCCATCTACCCCCTCCCAACTCCATACTCCCCAATACCCACCCTCACACCCCCCGTCTGAGCCTCCGTCACCTCCCCAAAAGTAACATATCTCCCCCTCTCCCCCTCCGATCCCTCCGTCTTCTCCCCTCCTTGTCCCCTTCCCTTCCACCATCCCCGAACCCCACCCCCGTTCTCAACCTCCTGCCTCCTGCTATAAACCTCCCCCAACTCCGCCCTCACATTCGAATCGCAAAGATAATACACCCACCCAACCAACCCCATCCCGTCACCCCCCGGATTCACCGGCATATACGGGTACCTCACCGCAACTAAATTCCACCCAAGCACCAAAATCATCAACACCAACGTCCCCACCACCGACCAAGCACACGCCTGGTGAGTCTCCCACGTAAGCCAAGGAACAAACGGTATGTTGGACAACAACGGCGGGGTCAGCTTCGACAACACCGTCACAGCCGCCACGGTAGGGACGATAAATGATCTATCCTGGAGGCTGTAAAAGACGCTAGAGGGGGTGAGGGCCTCAAAGACGTGCAGGGGGGGAGGGGTGGTGAAGAAGCGGTTGGATCGTCTGGTGCCGTCTGTCTGGAGGAGGCGGGGGTGACGGGAGAGGAGGCGGTAGGGTTCTCGGGTTGCTATGTCTGTTGGGAAGTGGTTAGCTATCTGGTTTTAAAGAATAGGAGTAGGTGAGGTACTTACTGAAGAAGTAAGAATCCCAAAACAGCGAGATGATGAAACCCAAACCGGCAAATAAGGCGCGCACACCGAGGTTCTGTGAGTTCATAAAGATCTCAAAGGCCGAGTCGTGAAAGCTTGTGAGCTCGTAGTACAAGATCATGATGAGAAAGCCGATGATGGTGAGGAGAAAGAGCACCTGGGCAATGTAGTCTTGTGCTACTGGGTTGAGAGAAAACAGCTTCTTATCGCTTGTCTTCTTGCTCGCGCCGGGCTGTTTCTGCCCTTCGTTTGGCAGTGTAACAAGGGCCAGGTGTGGCCTGTTTGTGTTCGACCGATTCGACAAGTGCCTCACTGTGCAATACGGACCATACTTTTTCTGTGACGACGACTGTGACGAGGACAGTCCCAGGGATGTCTCGCTGGATGTGGACGTTGCTGTTGGGGAGTGCCTCGGGTTGGGCGGCAGTAGTGGTGCCTGCGCAACTTGACGCAGGGCAAATCTATGGTCCCTCAGTTCCTTGATCATCTTCTCTCTTTCGACGTACTTGTCCGTGATGTTGACTTTGGCCTTGTGGATGGTTTCTCGTGTTGTCTGCTCCGTAAGGAGCGCAGCAACACCAGCAATACTCCTCATATCCGATCCGCAGTTTCTGTGCCAGTTCCACATTGCGAATATCAAAAAGACAACCACAGCTAGACTTAAACTCAAAAAGACCTGTACAAGCCGACCCGGCGCCCGGAAGATAGCAATCTCCATAAAACAGCCAGCAAAGCTGTCGATTGTACAACCTCCATGGAGCTTAAAGCCAATAGCTTCTGTTGCGAACGAGGCGGTAACAGAGGAGACAAGAATCAACATCTGCGAGAGCAGCAAACCTGGCTCTCTTGAATGAAACAAGAGACGCCAACTGGTGAAGAAACCCTTGATGCCACCTGTTGTAAGAAACAATGAGTCCTCGGCCGATGACCCATCGGAGCGGCGTGACATGGCTTTCAAAGGTAGTAGCGCCTTGACGTGCGAATCGATGATTTGCGCCAGGATAGTGAGCGGTAACGTGATGATGATGGGCAGGAACGATGCCAAAAGATAAGCACCCCATGAAACCGTGTCCAAGGTGGCGGGATTCCCGTCGCTGTCATCGTCCCAGGCGCGAAAGATACCGGCGTCATCTTTGGACCACACTGTGGCCACAGGTCGACCGTTGGAATCTGTAATCGTGACCCCCCAGTCGTATGTTGTGGGCACCTGCGTGGTTACCGTTGCCGTGGGAACCCCGTTAGAATCACGCATAGTGATGGTCTTGGGAACAAGAGGAAATTTGCCCGTCACAGTCGTTAACACTCCTTTATCGTCATACCCAGTGACAGTGGCAAACTTCAGAGTCGCAAAAGCAGTGATCGTTGCGATCGGTGTAGTCCCATGCCCACCTGTCATTGTTCTTGTCTGCCATACCCATCGCCCGCCGTTCACAATGACTGTGGCCGTAGGTTTCCCCTTGTCATCGAAGAGGGTTCTTGGTTGGTTCGCTAAGCTCCTCCCATGTCCGGTGATTGTGGCGGTCGGCCTGCCATTACTGTCTGTCAAGGTCATGACGGTTGTTGTGTATACCGCCGTTTCAGCAGGCACCCAAACAGGCGTAGTCACCGTGGTGGTGGGCTTTCCGTCAATATCACTCAGAGTGTAGGTCGAAGGAACATATGACCCCTGGCCCGGTCCTGTCACCACGACATCTTCGTATATGAGCTCAGTGGTTGTGACTGATGGAAGAGGGTTAAACAGAGTAGCAGTAACCGGTCTGGTTTCCACAATATCTGGGGCGACCTTTGCACACGGCCGAGCACCGTCGAATGGAAATTCGTTGTACTCTACCATGATCGATGGATTGAGAGCGCGCATGTCGCGTTGGGCTGTTGCAACCTTTGACCACTCAGACCAACACGAGGGCTCCAGAAAGACGAAGGCAGGGCCGTCGCAAATGATCGTACAGTCCGATTCAGTTGCTTTATCCAATGGAAAGAAGTTGATAGTGCTGATAAACTTTACTGGGGTGCGGACGTATGGTATGTCCCCAGGCCGAGAACTTTTCCAATATGCCACATGCCAGAAGGATAGCCTGATTCGGTATCCCGCTATTTGCCCATACTTGTCCTTGGGCGGCACTCGACGCTGTATTCCATAGGGGCTGGTTCTGTTTGGGCTCAAAGTTCCGTTGGTCGGAACGTGTATGACAGGATATCCGATACGCTCACCGAATTCCATGGCCTCTGTTGGCAGGGCATCCCATCCTGACGTTGCCGTTGACGTTGACGTTGAAGTCGACGTTGAAGTCGACGTTGAGATCAAGATCGGCTCCGGGGTGAACACTGAGCTGCTGGTGTTTTGCGGAAAGGATGTGAAGACCGGAGGAGCCGTGCTTGTTGCAGATGGCGTTCCAGTGGACGAGAATCCAGTGGTCGTGGACAACTGGGACGAGTCTTCCTCTGCTCTAGCCTTATAGAGGCGTGGTGCCAGGAAGGGGCCATAGGCTCCGGTACCGTCTTCGTACCCGTACTCATTAAGGACGGGCAATCGGTTTTCCGCGATTGTGATTGTTCGAAAACCATATTCGAGTGCCACAATGAGGCCAATGATGCTAGCACAATGAGTCTTGTTAGCGAACCTTGATCATGAAAGTGGAGAAGAGGCACCTACTAGAGACCGATTGAAATCAAGAAAGGAGTTCTAAGGACCAAAGGCTTCGTGTTGTGAAGATCCTCGTCTGGTTGTTGAGACTGAGTATCACTCGATGGCGGCGACCTAGTCCGTAGGACCTTGAAAGGCGCCTTCAAAATTCTGGACATGGTCGGCTTACAACAAGCACGCCGACTTCCACGAGATCCAAGACGGTGAGAGAGTCGTGGTCAGGCGTGAAACTCGGGGTCAGGCGGGGGAGAAGCCCACTCGCTTGTATACTCATGAAGAAGGGAAAGCCATCACGTCGATCTGAGTCGTCTGCGGGCCATCTCTAATGCCGTTGCTCAAGACCCTTGCTTATCTGTTCATCAATGCAACGACACCATCGCGTCGCAGCGACCAGAATGAGACCCAAGAGCCGCGAGGTACCGGCATAACCTCTATGCATCCGGCCGGTTAGGGCTACAGTTTTCGGGTCAGTACTAGCCAAGCGTGTGCCGATATTTCTGTTGCTTACCATCTGAGAGGCACAGCCTCGAGATATACACCCATGTATCGTTGCCGTAGTGGCTCGCTTGGGTTGAGTAACCGCTCGGGTAAAAAAAGCTAGTCCAACAGACAAGGTCTAGGTCGGCGTGCAACTGTGACTCCAGGCAGCCTTGCAGATTTGGGAAATGATTCTCGGCGCCGACGACTCATCGTCCACCTATGGAATGCTACGCTTGCCGGACGACTAGACGTAGTAAGCTTAGCATAAGGCGCAGCACCAACAAAGGTACCTACTTTTAGAGGCAATTCAGACAAAGGTACCGGCATTTGAGGCCGTTGAGAAGAATCAAGAGGTGATAACGTGATGGAGTCTTTGCGCAAGCCTTTGGGGGCCACGGGGGCTAACCTCCACTTCCGTCCTCCCCGCCCCTTGTTTAGCCCCCACACACTCGCGTCCTCGAACGGCCGACCTGAGCACCTTCCTGTTGGAACATTGGGACAAACTTTGTTCATCCATCAAGATCGTGGGAGCAATAAAGTTGCTGTCACGTTACCAGGTACCCGAAATGTAACAACTAGATCATGAAATCAATCGATATCCTAAACCGTCCAGAACAGTGTCATATGCATCACACACATCATCTCAATTTGAGCCTCCCAACCCAGCCATGCAACGCCGAAACATCATTCAACTTCTTACATATCATATCTCTGCCTCCAACCTCCAGTAGCCACCCGCGGGGCATTTAACTTTTCATCCACCACTCTCCCCATTGCCATCCCCTCATCCTCACTCTCCTCCCCATCATCATCGTCAGCCTCGTTGTACCCATGCACGCTTGCCGTTCCCGTATCATTCGCCGAGCCATTCCACGAACTAGCGACCAGTACCGGCGCATTCGGATGCCATCCCACATCTCTCACAATAGTACTCCAGTCATTCTCGAAGCTATGCAATCTATACCGCCTCGTCCTGAGTCTCGCGTTGCTTCCAGTGGCTGGCTCTGTGGCTTTTTGAACGTCAATGGTCTTCGCGAGTGTGGCGTCCATGTTCCAAATGTATACATGCCCATCTGCACTTCCAGAGTAGACGTATCGACTATCTGTGCTGTTGGGTGGCGAAAAGTGGCATCTGATGAGTGTCCTCTGAACCTTGTGTCCACGGAAAGTCACGACTGAGTTGTCGTGCGGGTGCTGATACCATCGTGAGTCGTCATATTCTTGCCAGCGGTAGTCGAACTGATAATCTGGAGATTGAGTGATGGCCGTTGGGTTTGTTGAAAGGAAGGTGGAGGTAGACATTGCTTTGCGCAAGTCCCACAGTTTCATCGACTGGTCTTTACCATTGGAAAGGATGTAACGACCATCCTGCTTGGAGTCGATATAGGTAAGGCCTTCGGTGTGTCCTACAAAGGCCCCGGCTGGGCGGCCATCACCAATGGAACGGGTGTCCCATACTTTAATCGTACTATAGAGACATGGCATCAGTTACCATCTCAAGACTTTCTGTGCAGAAAAGAAGAAAACCTACCAGTCATCTGAGCCGGAGTACAGGATGTGAGGCGAGTTCTTGTCGGCAAAGCAAACGGCGTTCACATCGTCGTTATGCCCATGAACGTGATGTAGTGTTGTGCGTGTTTCGATGTCATACACTACCACGGAGTCGGTATTCGTGCCCGCGACAAGCTGACGCCCATCGCCTGAGAACCTCACGGAGAAGATGGCAAAGCTCCCACCATACCCAGGCTGACTGTGCCCTCCGGCAAAGTTAAGTGTGTATGAATCGCCGGTATCCTTCGGGTCGGTGGGAGCAATCGCAACTTCAGGCTGCAACGACGTAAACGCCAGCCAGCGGTTATCAGGGCTGAGGTCGGCATCGGTCATCGTCCATTGACCAAACGGGTAGTCGAATGTTTTGTAGTACTTCCAGTCGTAAACATTCGAGGTATCGTATAACCGTACTTTAAAGTCTTTGTTGCAGGTGTAAAAGAAGTTGCCATCGTCGGAGAACTGGCCGCAACAAACGGGATCGTCGTAATGGATAATCATCTCTGGCTTGGATACCGGTATCATCTGTTGCAGCATCATTCCTCGATTCCTCAGCTGCTCAGCCTTGCCGCCCAGACCTAGCTCTCGATCGAGAATCCTCCTCGAGATATCCTTATACCTCCGATCACGGATATCAAACGACCCAAACGCCCCCGACTCCATCAGTTTCCTCCCCTCCTCACTCGGTACCTTGGGAAACCTATCCGGGTCTTGTCTGTTGGTCCGCCGCTGATACATCATCTCATCAACCTCGGCATCATCAAAAATCAAGTCCGTGAGATCATGCCCTCTCAGCAAAGCAAGAATCTGTCGCTGGCTCAACCCAACTGCCCCCGAGGCACCTACAAATCGTCAGCCGGGTCTCATCAATCACCCCCAGTCAACACTCACCATTCCCAACAAGTCTCACAATTCTCCTCAGTAGCTGACCCCCCTCCCTCTCCTCGGCAGTAGCTTGATTATCATCATCTTCTTCTTCTTCATCCTCATCATCCTCATCATCCTCATTACCGACCGGAACTTGCTCCAATACAACCTCCAACTCGAGTCCCTCCGCATCGCCGGACGCATGAAGCCGCTCATGTTCTGCCATTTCTTCCCTCAAAATTTCATCATAATACTCCTGGTCATGTTCCTCTCCGTCTTCGACCCGCTCGCGAGTAGCTTCATGCATTGGATACGGAACGTAGGAGGTCCAGTCGTCGGAATCCAGTGGGCCGCCATCGTTGGGGTCACCGCGGTAATTGTCGCTACTCATTGTGATAGACTGAAAAACTGTTGAAACGTCGACGCTGAAAGTACAAAGTGTTGTTGTATTTCGACCGGTTGAAGCCAGCTGTGGTGAGAGGCAAGTCGATTGATAAGCCACGAGGGGTAGTTCAAATGCGCTTTAACAGATCGCTCTTCAAAAGCAAGAAATATCACTCGTGACAAGCAAACGAGTTATCAAAAGCGCATCATGAAGAAAAGAGCAAAGCAATTGTTTCATTGACTGAATGGATGACACGGGCATGGCACCTCACTTCGCCGCCGTTGTACCAGAGCCACAAGCTATCTCACCCACCCTTCCCGCACTGAACACCGGCCGATATATACTAGTGACGACATTGCTGGGACAAATCGGATGCTGGGCTCTGGGGAGGTCGCTATCATGCGGAGTTTAGCACCGGAATTAACTTGTGAGGGGAATGAGTGAGGGGCAATCAATCGGCTGGGTGGGGCGGTGATCGTGCTGACAAAGCACATCTCAACATCACTTTCATCCGAAGATATGATCAACCCTAACCCTTCACTTGAAATCAGAAGGGACAAGTTCCCCCAGGTCAATCAACTTTCATCTACTTTATATGTCATATAGAAGATATATTTTATGCGTTTTACACAGCCGGCACTCATCAAAACAACTCTGTCTCAGTATGTCTGTTGCCCCTCTTGACTCACCTGCCGTGCCCCCATAGCATCCAACCCCTTATCGGCATGGCTCCTCTCCTCAGCTGAGAGCTCCCCACATATAATCCAATAAGCTGATGCCACATCTCACACAAACAAAGAATTCCAATGTTCCAAATGGCCGTGTGGTGTAGTGGTAGCATACTTGCTTTGGGAATTTCCTCTCATAAGCTGTTGCAAGTGGTCCCAGGTTCGAGCCCTGGCTCGGCCCCAATGTTTTGATGTTCATTCATCATTATCATGATACCTTTTTGGTACATCATGAGATTCGACTGCATAACCTCACAATTATGCACAAGAGTAAATGTAAAGGGCCATCCATCACACACACAGCATTCATTCCGAGAAAATCAAAGTCTACTATTTTTCATCTCTATCCAAATATTTACTCCCCCAACCAACATATCCCTTCTATCTAATCATCATCCCAATGCCTCCTACTGATAATAATGGGCCTCGCCGGATCCCACGGCCCATAAATCTCATTCTTGTACTTTTGCATCCCAATCAACCACCAACTGCACCCCCCAATCGCAACCGCACTGATCAAACACCCAATCACCATCCCGGCCAGTCCTCTCTTCCATGGCCACGACGTCGCCGGTGCCTCCCCTAATATGATCCCCACTCCACCCCCCGCTCCCAAAACCAACAGCACAGTCAAAAGAAAATGATACCGCCAGCTTCGGTGCCTAGCGTATGATCTGAAAACTGGAAACAGGCCAAACACCTCGATGCTGAAGAGCGTGAGGGAGAAGACTTGGCCTGTGGAGGGAAGGCGGGAGGCAAGGACGGTGGACGCCATGAGAGCGGCGTTGGTTGACAAGGAAGCGACCGGCATTTTCTTGGTTTTGTGCGGGCCAGAGATGTGGGAGGGGGTGCCGCCTGAGTAGTCGAAGAAGAAGATGTTGATTGCTAGGAGCCAAAAGGACATGGCCCAGATGGAATCGGAGGAGGTGGATCGGGTGAGGGACTTGAGGATGGGGGATAAGCCCAGCAAGGTGAAGTAGATGAGGATGGCGGATTTGATGGTTGATACGCGAAGGTACGCGCGTGTGTTGGGGAGGGAGTCTGGGTCGGAGTCGTGGTTTGGACCCCTGGTGCTGGTTGGGGAATTGGCGCTGTTCTGCGATGTTGCCGAGTGAACTGAGGAGACAGAGCGCGAGTGTGAGTGTCCTGGAGTCAGGAGCTTAGGTGCTGTTGAGTTGTGAGAGGTATTATCATGATGCTGGTGAGGTGTCGGATTTGGTCGGTGGTTGTATTGGAGGAGATTGGTAGTCGAGCTGGCTGCTGATGGTAGGTTCGAGGTGCTCGATATGCTAGCTGTGCTGATGTTATTCGGCAATGGTTGGTGAAGACTTGGCCCAGGTAAAGAGTCTTGTCGCCGAGGGGGTCGGTATTCTCTGTAAATTCGCCCATCCCGCATGCTCCTTGTCATGTCACCGCTTTCGCCAGCACCGGTCTGGTCCTCCTGGGTCATCCACCAATCCCATAGCAGCCAACCGAGAAACGTCGCAAAGCTCCCCCATCCGACTACCGACACGGGGCTCACCCTCTCCTGAAATATGCCCACAAAGCAAACAATGAATATTATGACGGAGCAGACATGCTGCAAGATGACAGTCGAATCGGCGACCAGGGGCCAGAAGTCATACGGCTGCACCCGTGGGTTGCGCTGTAGGTTCTCGAGAAAGGTCGCTTGGTCGGTATAGTTGTCGGGATCTGCAATGCGCTCGTGTTAGGTCAGGAGCAACCACAAGAGAACGGTGTCCAGTATGCGCACATGATTGCTTCACCCATAAGAGCTTCTGGAAGCGCTTCCGCCTTCTACTACGACTCCTGCTCGTGTCATTACGCCTGATGTGCCGTGGACGCGTATCGAGACCGGTATCGAAGAGGCCAGGCTGTCTGGGTGGTGAAATAGGGGTATATGCGTCCTCGGGGGCCAGATGGGATGGGTCGGCGCGGTGCGACTTGAGGCTCGCTGGGACGGTCGAGGAGCGCACCAGGGCTGGGAAGGGCTTCTCAAAGTCGGAGGGAATGGCCGATTGATGGAGGCCCGACGGAGGGGCCATGGGGTGGAGTCACTGCTCTCCCATATGCACAATGATATTGTCGATGAATGCCACAGCAGTGCTAAACATGTAGGGGAGGAATCTGATGTGTTCGCCAGCAGCAAAGCCGCATTGGCAAGCCATTGCACTGGCGTGTGGCAGGCAATAGCTGCTCCTTGGCACCGAGCACGCTAAAAGCTTGGGCCACTTCTTGATTTGTGGGGCCCTCAAGGGGCACGCCTTGTCAGGTCCCGCCATCCACCTTCCGTCTTGACCACATCAAACCTCAGGAGAAAGAGTTCAATTTTCTGTCATCACTCAGTCCCTTGCTTGTCGTATTTTCTGGACATACTGTACACGTACGCATGCTCCCACAGACATGGGTAATCAGGGCGATTTAACATGAGCGACTCCTACGACGCGTAAGCAATGATCATCGTCACCAACATATCTCCAAAAACAGCTGGAGCTTTTCATGGTTCCATTCACTTCAAAGATTGAGCATGCAACCTTTCCAGGCACAGGACCAGGATCCCGCCTTCGGACCGCCTGTGTAACCCAGAAAAAGGCCTGATAACCACCCAAGGTGTACCTCATGCATGAAGGGGTCAGTCAAGCTTTTTCCTGTTCTCCTCCCGAGCGGCATCCGGGCCATGGCTGGCATCGTCAAGCTTTCTAGGAGTTGGCCTCGATCGCTCCAGCCAACGAGTTCCGCTGTTTTGGATGCGTATTGATGCGGCGAAGATGTAAGTCTTCAGGGGCTGCATATTCATTGCATTTCTCGGCGATGGATATACCCTATTCTAGCTCAACGGCCGTGGATGAGCGTAGGAGGCATCCGTTGTCAAAGTGGGCCATCAGCAGCTCAGAAGCTCGTGTTACAGATGCAGACGGGCCTTTTATACAAGTGGCGCCTTGCTTCCAGTTCAGAGCCATTGAAACACCGACTGGGGCAGCTAAAGATGCAGAACTTACTTGCCCCCACGAAGCCAAGACAAAGATCGCATAAACCGCGGCTTGCTGGAGAATCAACACGATGGTCAAACGGCGTCGTTTTGGGTAACTCGTATGATGGGTCGTTGGTCCGGAACGGCGACCGATTATTGAAATACGAGATTCTCTGTGTCGCTACGACTTCCCCCCTCCCTTTTCAGCACCCCCCAAGAGAAGGACGAGAAGGACAGGGCTGCCAAGTTGACCCAATCTTTTCCGGCACCTACCGATATGCATGCAACGTGCCGCTCACAGCTTGTCTCAGCACACGCAACTCTCTCGCTCGTCGTCGCCGTCGTCTCGCACATGGCCATTTTCTAGCGTGGGCCACTCCATGATCGGCTTCGCCGTTTGCCCACCGGTGGCATAATGGTCGCGAAAAAAAAGGCTGGGGATCCGTTGGACGCCTTCCCCCACAACGGCCGACTGGCAACAAGTCAGCGCATCATCAAATTGTTCCAAGAGGTGGTCACCACAGTATAAATCCGATACACGACAGACTGCCTGCCTTGGACCAGGCGCCAAGAGCAGATTGAGATGCACTGCGGCGCAGTGGTTCGGTTGGTGTAGACCCTCCGGGTGCATGGCGGCGTCTAGGCCCCCAGGGCCTGTTGGCCTGGTGCGCCCTGCTTATGGACGTCGTCCTATGTGAGCTCGACGCTATCGTGAAATGCCCTGCTTGGTGGTGGCTTCCCGTCTTCATAAAGACCCAACCACCCACACTACCTTCGCGGGGCCAAACACGCCGTCCTTTTCAGCTTCTCCGACTTCCCCTCCCGTGTAACGGCGTTTGTAAGCTCAATTTCTGCTCTTCCTCCATTTAGCCTGCTGCATAGCATCTGTACTCTGTGTTTCTTGTCTTTCAACATATTGCGCTCGGCATATTCAGCTGTCTGGGCCTGCCTCTGCCAATTACCCGGCCTCACTGACTTTCGAATTTCCTCATCGCTGCGCATCATTGCGCCTCGGCAAGCTCCTGCTCCCCTTCCTTTGTTTGGATTATTCCACTACCGCCCCCTCGGTTTCGAAGCCCGACGTCACTCTTTGTTCTTTGTCGCCGGGGTGCTCCTTAAAAGGACGCAAGAGCGACCAACCCGTGAGTTCTTGGATTTGCCCGAGTTAAACTGTCGCACCTTGGTCGCATATCAAAATGAGGTGGTACATTGTGCTTGGCCTTGCGCATATGGCGACGTGCTCGCCTGTGCCTGTTTTGTTGAAGGAACGATTGGAAATCTTCTCGGACGCTGCCAATGGAGTGGTGACTGTCCTCCAGTCCCGGTCGAGCGAGCTCTCCAGTGTTATCTCCGAGAGGAGTCAAGATGGATCTGCGCAAACACCAATAGAAGTCGCTTCACCGCAGTTGCGACCGCTCACAAAACACCGGCCTGCCGCGGAAACATGGGAGGACGAAATGGATGCGCCTGTCGTGACACTGGGCGATGAGGACTTGCTGGAGGTTACCGAGACCGACGTCGATATCACCACCTTTGCGTCGTTCGCCCGACCAGGAATGCCGTGTCGTCATGGGAGGCTACTACGCGAAAACAACGATATGCTCATCATCTATCTTGCAACCTCTTTCCTTCTTGTGGTGGTAATGGTGGAGACTTGGGGTAGCTATGTGAGGAGGTAAGTCATAGTTGACAAAGTATGGATGGAAGGGCTTCACTAACGATACATGATAGACAAGAGCAAGGCACGATCAGGTTAAAAGAGAGCCCAATTCGAGAGGTGTGCTCAATCCAGTCAGAAGCTGCTCCGGATGTCCCCAAGGATGTGTCGGATGAGAAGAAAGCCTTGCTGTGAAGATGAGCAGAGCATAGCTCGAAATTCGCCTCGATACCTCTTTTCTGATGGCTATTAGGCCAACCTGAAGCTCGACTGTGTGTCAGCATATCATCAGAACCAACAACGAATGGCCTCAAGACCAACATTCGTGAGGACTTGATAGGGCATGTTCATGTTCCGTTGCCTTCGTCTGGCAACCGAGCAGGTGTTGCTTACTTGAATATATCTCGCAAAAAATATAATTATCATTAGGCTCCCTCGTGCACTTGTTTACCGAACAATTTGTGCAACAACACTCGAGCACGTGTGCAATTTCCGTATGGTCACTCAGGAGTGGGCCGATGTGAGCTCCAGAAGGCCTCACTGCAGTCCAACGAGCCGAGCCCAACCTGTTCCGCTTCCATCCCTCACCCGCCTCGAGGAGATCTGAAAGAGCAAGTTACCTATCTCAAAGGGCGATATATTAGACATCCTATGACGTTAAGTGCGGCTTCTACACCCGTGCCAAGGACCATGGAGGCTGAGCCGGCCGCCCCGGGATCCGCCTTTCTCGCATATCGGCGCCGGAAATGCGGGGTTCGGAGGTCCCGACTGATCATTCCTACCCCGTGATGCCAAGCATTCCATCGCCAAGCCCTTGCAACTCCATCTTTGAGGCTGTTCGCTGTGATCACAAGCCACATCGGCAAGCGGCTCATGAGCAAGTCGACACCACTGACTGTATTCATTGCATAAGTCGAGCTCGGGAATGCAGAGTGTGAGAATTAAGATTACCAACGAATACATCGGCGAATAAGACCTCTTGATTATCGTCAGGATGCAGAGAGAGCGGCGTGGTAAATGCCCACTGATGTTTCATGGCTTATGGAACTCTCATGCAGCCCAGCCTTTTCAACCCAATCACGAGCGATCCCAGAAGCCCAACTCAGCACAAACCCCCCTCCCTTGATACCCATGCCTTGCCTCAGGCCTTCAGCCTTCCTTTCCCTGATCCTCATCCGTCAGCCGTCCCCCGACCAACATCTTTTTGCTCTTCTTTTCTTTCAGATAAAAAGAATTCGGTTTTTCTCTTCCTGCAGAAAGTCAAGTCCGAAGCTTGCTGCAACCGCGTCACCTGTATCTTACGCCAAGACCAACTCACACTTGGTTCACCCCGCATTTTTGGGTCTCATCCGAACTCCGGGTCGACAAACAGTTTGCCGTGTGAAAGCTCAAACCCGGCATCTCACAGCTGCAAGCCAGCCGCGAGCTTACTTCCAGAAGTAGCAAGACATAATAATGTCTCTGCAGGTTGACGATGGCGGCCGGCGCGCCCGGTCCCGTTCTCCGGGCCGGCGCGCCGATGTGGTGGAAGCATCACCGTACAGCTCTACCGACCGCGGATTCACACCCTCTACGGTGACGGCATACAGCGAGTATGAACGGCTCTCACAGTGGGGATCTGCCGCCGATGAGGACTTTTACGGCGCGAGACCTCCCTCGGTGGTGAACCTCCAGGGACAGGGTCATATCTATGGTGATCCTCTTGAAGCTGAGTATGGTCGATATAGCGGTAGAAGAGCAGACCGCGACCGGGACTCGGACAGCGACAGCCAGAGACGGAGATATCCTGAGATCAGAACCGCCGAGCCCTCGTCTTCGCCGAGAGACTCCCGCGATTCTTTCGGCAGGGAGTCCGATAAGGAGCGCCGCCGCAGGAGAAGAAGGACAAGCTCCAGGATGATCTCGCCTATGGGAAGCTGCCGGGGCAATCCAAATATGATGCTCCTGTCCCCCAGTCCATCCCGATCCCGATCCCCAACCCTTCTGCCTCGGCACCATCGTTCAACTACGCCCAGCCGAGGCCTTACGAGTATGGTTCCGTCTCCAAGACAGACCGCTACGGCACCTCGCTCGAACCTGCCCCTCGCCCCGGCCGTTCCCCCTCTCCCGGCCCATCATCCCCCTTGAAATCCGCCATGAAGCGAACCTCTTCCCCTCTGCCCCCAACGAATCGCATGTCAACCCTGTCGGTCCACAGCCCCCACCACTCCCTCTCCCTCTCCTCCGCCCCCCTTCCCCGCTATTGGAAGCCTACCACGGAACGTACCAATCCATGTCACCATGCCCTCCCCCTGCTCATGCCTCCTCTCCGGACATCATATCCTCGAGCGCTCTCCCCCCTCGGTTCAGACTCTGAATCCGAACAGAAGAAGAAACGACGCGCGAGGTTCCACGACCCGGTCGACGACGCTGCCAGGCTGGCAAAAGCCCTAAAGGGCGACCGCCGCCCTCCCGAAACAGAACCCCTCATCGAAATCCTGCCAGGCATGTCCCACGAGCAAATCATGGAGCTGCGCCAGGAATACAAGCGCCTTGTCAAAACCGGCACGGAAAGAAAGGGAGTCAACATTGCGAAACATATCCGTGCCAGGCTCAAGGATGAGGATCCCAACTTGATGAAGGCGTGTTACGCTACTGCGCTCGGCAGGTGGGAGAGCGAGAGTTACTGGGCTAATTTTTGGTACCATGGGGATAAGACGCGGAGGGAGTTGCTGATTGAGAGTTTGATGGGGAGGTCAAACGAGGAGATTAGGCTGATCAAGGACGGGTTTAGTGACAAGAAGTATGGGAATTCTCTGACGAGGGCGATGAGGACGGAGCTGAGGGAGGACAAGTTTAAGAAGGCGGTGTTGATGGTGCTGGAGGGGGGGAGGCAGGAGGATGTTTGGGATGGTAGGGAAAGGAGGTGGAGGATTGATGCCGATTTGGTGGAGCAGGATGTTAGGGAGTTGTACAAGGCTGTCAAGAGCGAGAAGGGCGGGGAGAGTAAGATGTTGGAGATTGTGGTGGGGAGGGGGGAGGAGCATTTGAGGGAGGTGATGAGGGTTTATAGGGAAGTTAGTAGGGGAGGGAACTTTGCCAAGGATGCGCTGAAGAAGAGTGGGAATTTGGTGGTAAGTTCTCTCTAGTCCTGCAAGTTTTGAGCATGATGTTGACGCGTGACGAATATAGGGCGAGGTTCTAGCGCATATCCTCAACGGGGTGATCAACAAGCCCATGAGAGACGCCATGTTGCTCCAGCACGCGCTCAAGGCGTCCAAGAAGGACGAGCTGAGAAAGGAGCTGTTGATTTCGCGGTTGGTGAGGTATCACTGGGATGCCAATCACATGCAGCAGGTGAAGCGGGCGTTTAGGGAACAGTATGGTCAGGATCTGAGCGACGCTGTAAAGGAGGGCACCAAGGATGAATGGGGTGCTTTCTGCAGGGCGTTGTGCATCACACGTATGCCTGATGCGGAAAAGGTTATTGCGAGGGTCGATATTCATCGGAAGTGAGAGAGACGTGATGAGCTGTTGAATGCAGGATGATAAGGTTGAATGAGATCACGTTGGAGATGATGGTTTTCTACGTTTGGTTGTATATTTCCTTGCTATACCATTTATCCTCTTTTCTTCTTTACAGAAATCGCTTCCTTCATTCTCATCTTATACCATCGGAATTTGCTTTGAAGATTTGCCTGGATTTCATTCGATTTACTTTTGCCACATAGCATTCTCAATACATCCCCATACTATTAGCCAAGGTGTTCAAATCCCTTACCTTCAAAATAGCGCCATAGATATTCATACTTCATCACACAAAACACACAAAAAAAAGATATTTATCTTCCGACATGTAGTCTGCTTTGCTAAAAATGACAAGGGTGAGATTCGAACTCACGCCCCTTTCGAGACCACGGAACTTGTTTGCTTTCCTCAAGAGAAGTATCCAAGTGTGGATTAAGGGAAGATCCTTAACGTGGCGCCTTAGACCGCTCGGCCACCTTGCCTGTTTGTTTCTGATGTTTTCCGAGGGCCGGAAGAGGCAATTTTTGCACAGGGCGTAGTGGTTGTGGTGGATATGGGGGATCGTGGTGAGGGTTTGGCTGGGGTAGCCCTTGCTGTATGGGTTGTGGGTTGAGTGAAGCCGATGGAAAGCCGATAGCGTGCAGACTCAGCCTCGACACGACCGAGGGTTCTGTAGGTACAGAAAACGTTGAATGTACCTAGGGTAGCTAGGGATGAGTGTAGAAAGATCCTGTCGTAGATCATCCCCAGAAAATGTTTGGCTGGCTTGATATTGGGAGCTGAGAGTAGGCGGTGAGGAAGGATAGGCAAGCAACCTAATAGTGAGGCGGATGAGATTTCTGAAGATTGGCACGTGGAGTTTTGTCTCATGGGGAGCATACTGTGATCGGTATGGAGGATGTTGGATCTCGCTTCTCCCTGCTTCGTGGAAGCGAAGGCGCAGTTTGATGGCTGGCTGAGAGACTGACTGAACCAGCAAAGAGGCCCTCAGACTGGAACGATTCTGCAATTGGACGTTTCCCGGGGAAGTATATGAGCTTGGCATCTGTTATAAATAACATAGCACAGCAGTAGAGTGGACATGTACATGTATGACCCCAGATAAGCGTGTTTCTGCCAAGAGACGGCAGGCGGGAGCCATGGGAATCTTACTCGCATGTGTCCTTGGCGAAACTGTCTCTCCGATGATAGATGTCATTGTTGCCATGGATTTTGGCGATGTCGAAACTCGCTGTCTCGGGCTTGCCGAACGGTGTTGAAAGATGCAGTTCAGATGGCCGATGCTTGGCTTTACCTGTGGGTCCGGCATTGTTTGTGCCAAGCATTACCGGCTAACGCCCACCAAGACGGGATGACGTCAAGCCTATGCGAAAAAGAATTTGGCGCGTCGGCGCCAGCTCCGAGGATCATGACGGCTCGTAATTTGCTTTGTATTCGAAGGTAGCGAAAAACTTTCTACGTATACGCTTGACTCTACGATAGTCTATCCTGCACTATACTTCCAACACGATCTACAATTCGGCCGTTCAAATGAATAGGCGGTGTCTTCTCACGTTCGCTGGTTCGCTCTTCAGGGATGGTCACGCCACGAGAATGATGTTTCTCCACTCGATACAGCTTCGAGGCTCGGTAAAGTCTCGCTCGCTCTTCGGCATAACTTCAAGTTCTATCGATGGGCCAAATCCTGCTCTTTTCAACACGGCGATGAGGATGTGGGGGAGGTCGAAGATCTTTGCCTGATGCCATGTTGCACAGATATACGCTTCACATCATGAATCGCTATCAGTGCCCATAGCGGCAACAGCTAAGACTTTCGTTGTATGACAACCGTTGTTCCATCAGTATCTCAAACACTCGGATGTGCCAGCCGGAGAATACCATTCTCGACGTTTCACAGCGCCGGCAAACATGTTTGGGGCCCTGAAGGGCTGACTCATGCTGTACGCTCGCACTTAAGTGCGAAGGGAACAGTTGCCAGCCACATCGATCGGCAGGTTCTGCTCCCATCTCAGGGTATCTTTTGAGCAGATTACCCCTCACCTTACGAGTCTCATCTTTACCATTATCCAAAATCACTCAGGTTCATGACACCAATCACGAAGGAGCGAATGGTGTTGCTGGTCCAACTTAGTGTCCTGTAGTGCAGTCCCACAGGCCCTCGTATCGCGCAGATTAGTACTGAACCCCGATCTTAGGTTGCCGTTTCCCCGGTCTTCTTCTACAAAAGACAATTAAGCAATTGCCAAGGCCCGTCAACTCATCCCTTGGGCCTGGAGATGCAAGGACATCATGCTCAAGGGGGACAATGCAATATCGACAAGGCTGTGGCGTCCCGCGCCCTGGGCCAGGATCCGGGGACGGGGACCAGAGATATCGCGACATTGTTATCGTTGTCTCTGGTTTATGGTGGGTACCCTACCCAACTGTTGCAATGCCGAGATTCAGGAAGGCACGGGTGAGGCCAAGACGAAACAAGACTTGGTGATATCTACCAGCTTCGGTGGCTACAATACCGAGTGACCGCCTTATGGTGAGCGTCAGCAACTGCAACGCTGTCCCCTAATAACGGCGAACAGGAGAACCCCTGGGCGGTGTGAATAGTCTGTCTTAGTCTGACCAACGAAAACGGAAGATGTCGTGCTACCCTGCTATATTGCCTCCTTCCGATACAGGTATCCCACAAGGCTAAGGATGCGGCCGAGGAATGTGACGATGCTGGACAGGCCAATGACAGGTAACGACCCCAGTTTAAGGTAGCCAGCGCTCTCGAAATAGTAGGCTGCCTAGGTCCTGCTTTGCTGAAGCTAAGCTCTTCGCCATGATCCTTCAAGGCGATGCTCGAGCTATGAGTTTGCCGATACATCTGGGCACTTTCATACGGGGACGGACTCTAACAAAGGGGACAGCAGGATCTGTATCTAGAGGACTTCCCAGTGGGCCCATAAGCATATCCAAGGCGTGTCTCGAAAAGGGGCATCACCGATCTGATAAGTGACTGATAATTGGGCTGTTTTTACTTGAGAAATACTTTTTTTGATGGCTTGGTCAGCCAGGCTCAACTCTGTTATTTGGTAACCACATTGTTCCAGTCGGGATTCGGCGAGAGTTGGGCTGTCAACCCCGATCCGACTGCTTCTCGCGCGATTAACAGGGCCCTGGTGCTTGCAAAAGAAGCAGGACGTCTGGTGGACGGGTTTCGGGTCTTCTAGGTTTCTTCCATAGCTTTCAGATGCATCGTGACAAGTCGGGATGAAACAGCCAAGCGGTTGATTGGATCGAGTCAAGAACAAGCCCCTCGTCCGCCATGTGGGAAAATGCACACAATATCTTCCGTTAAGGGCTCGGAGGTCGGCCTTTGGCACACACGAGCTCCGGGAGGACGACATGGAAAGGCCCCACCCGTACCGAGCCAGCGAAACAGAGAAACCCCCACTAGGGCAAGCCACTCACAATTCGAATTCGAGAAGCACAGCAGCACATCACCAACCCAACATCACCAACAATCGTCATGAACACCACAAGAGGCATGTCAGACGCACAAAGGGCAATTGAGCTGCAAATCTGCTCAAACACAGCGACAAGTACCGCCGGCGACACATTTCGACAAGAGTATTTGAATTCTTTCTCTCAAATGATATATCGACACTACTTCCCAGTTCGGTCGGCTCTCGGTTGCGGGAACACCCTGATCGGAAACATCCCGTATTGTCTCCGACCTTGATCATCCTGGTCTTTTCTGATCGCGAGCAAGCACCTCAGACTTCTCCACGTTGGGATCTCCCTTGTCACCCTGCTTTTCCACTTTCTTTCGATTTCTGGTCTTGGTTAATGGTTTCCCTTTTTTTTTTTTTTTTTTTTTTTTTTTTTTTGCGTCGATGAGCACATCCTGACGAATCGAGCCTCACACGGCAGCGGATCAAATTACCCTGGCCGCAACGGAGTAATCATGTTGAGATGCAGCAGAGAGAAGATCGACGCAGGAGCCAAAGGCGTAGTGCGGCCGCAGAGGTTCTTTTTGAAGGCCAACAAAGTTGTTGCTGCATGTCATGAAGAATCTTTTGGCTGGCCCTAACGAGGTGTCCACAGTCTTTTCTACTTGGGAAAATCATCATGAAGTTTGCGCGCTCTCGGGGATAACTAAGAGACCGACTGTTGAGGCCGTTTAAACACCGTCCAATACCACATTAAATCCCCCCCCACACACCCACCACCACCAATACGCAAAATCGAACGCCGCAAAGTGATTCATTCATACAGACAAGGTACTGTACGAACGGTATGATTCCATCCAGAAGAGGTGTTGGACCCGGCGCGTGGGCTTTGCCGGGTACACACACTCAGCGAGTACATGAGACCTGCAGACATCGCCTCGCGACAAGAAGTACTTGTGCTCTCAACCCCAGTCCCCAGTCTCGAGTCCCCATGTTCCTCATGCCCCTGTCGGTCCCCTTGAACCCTGTCAGCATACCTGATGTACCCGTCATCCTTGTCATCCATGTCAGTTCACTCACAGCTAAGAGAGGGCCGCGCAGCCCTTCATCTTTATGTACATTAATAATCCCCTGCTCTCTCCTGCTTCCCTCTGCTGGACTGCTTATGCACCCACTCCCCCCTCGTTCTCGAACACTGGTCTTGGCCTCATCCGTGCAAACCACCCCGATCTCATATATTATTTCTTCATCCCACACCCCCCTCCAGAACTAGCTCACCATTATAAGACCTCATCTTGCCACCATCGTCTTAACACCTTCTCGGTTCTAGAAGACACGAACTTTGACTTGACAGCTTGACAGCTTGACAACCAAGTTTACGGACGACATCAAGCTATTGCCACACAATACCTACACATTCAGCATACAATGGACGGCTTGCCAACACCACCCAACGAGGACTTCCTCGGTCACAAGAGACACCACACCATCTCCAAGTCAGTCAAGGCCGTTCACAGGACATCAAAACGCACCAGCTATCACGGCCACCCGCCTTCGCCTGTCCATGACACCCACTCATCACACAGCGGAGATGCCAGACATAAGAGAGTGTGGAAGGCCTGCGAGAGGTGCAGAATGAAGAAGACCAAGGTTGGTTTCAACTACCTACCAACCTGATCTCTCTTCAGCTATCTGACTAACCACTTTTCAGTGCGACGGAGAGTTCCCCTGCAAGAGGTGTAAGGACGACGGCCTTGTCTGCACAGCTGGAGTTCGCAAGAAGACCGAGTACAAGCAACTACCGCGCGGATACGCAGAGGTGCTCGAGAACACGCAGTTTGCCCTCATTGCCACGGTACACAAGCTTTATGCTATGGTCCGAAACCACCAGACATGGGATCTCGGCGAGCCAGATCTCAACGACAGAGGCCAGCCGGTGATTCACAATATTGCGTCCAAACTGGGGTGTATACGACCCAGCGGGGACATGGACCTGCCTCCTCATGCTGTTTTCCCCGAAGACGAAGCCGGCCTCACCGAACTTGCCAGACAACTAGAGGAGCAACAGAGGAGAGAAGCCATCGCCGCCCCATTATCCAGCAACGGCACCACCACTTCCATCCCCCACAGCCACCACAGTAGACAAAACACGATCGACTCGCGAACCGACGACCGGGCCAGCTCGTCCTCCCCCGAACTCGACCACTCGGACTTTGAGACCAGCATGGACAACTACCGAAAAGCGACCTTTGGTACCACCACGGGAGCAACCTCAGCGATCACCATGTCACCCGCCAGCCTGTCCTATCACGACTTTGACATGTCCGGCTGCCCTACGCCTTCGGTGGACGGCAGGTTCCCACCGCACACGACGCAGTCACCTACCTCGGCGGGGAGCATTCCCACCAGTCTGAACTGGCTCAACGCGGCAAGGACTTCTTCTACGGCTGTGATGGACGCGCTGGAGTTTACCTCGCAGCCTGCGGCGCACTACGGGGGGTATACGTTGGACATGGACATGCTTAATCAGAATCTGCTAGAGTCCGCGTTTGGAGTTGGAAGTGGGGTGGGGATGAAGGGGTTGGCTTGTGCGGCGAATCCGGATGTCACGCTTTTGGGGGGAATGGGGGACACGATGATGTACGGGGGGGCT